TTGTTACTCTTCATGGACGAGCATAGGCCACTCACTATCATTCTCCATCCAACTCTATCTTAGGCTATCCTTACCACTTGATTCCACTTACTATTCAACTTTTTCATGTTCGTTTCCAATTCCCGACGTAATATGTTTTTTGATCTTTTATTTTCCGTTTCCCTTCAGGATTCCAAATTAGTGCTTGCCTCGTGATGTAGTTTGATGATTTACTCAATCTGTGTCTTATCCACTTTCAATGTCTGTTTCTAAATTCCTTCTCATCTGAAATTTGGTTTGTTCTCTTCCACAATAGACTGTTGCGAAAACATTTCATCACTCAGCTTTCATGTTACTGAATTGATTTAGGTACAAATCCATTGCAAAATATTTCTATTTTAGATGTAACTATTACCAAGAATAATATAAGTGCTATAGAACTTATGATAATATTTAACCTGGAAACAGGAGATAATTTATTTATCTTAATACTTGAAGTTAACAAACTTTATATTTATCATCTGTCAGTCATCTGCAACGCAGGACCAGGCACACATATGCATCGGTTCAAGTTGCCACACCTCACTCATTAGCACAACAACATGAACACCAAATTCATAGAAGTAGTTACTTCAATGGTGTTAATACATAAAAGAAAGATTATGCATAAGGATTTAGTACAGGAAGAAAGCAAATTTAACTTGACGGTCTAAGGGAAGACAGAGAGTGTATACACCGACGTCATCGTGATTGATTCTGAACCATGTCACCCATGGTCTCCAGCCATTGATTACGATGGTCACGTGGACCCTAGGCAAGTAGTCTGCATCTATCAATATGACCAAGACTAGAAGTTAGTGACTTCAAGGACTGATACCATGTTTTGGTTTGGCCATCCCTAACTATATTTACCATAAGTCAAAGACATTCACAACATTAAATCTAATACTATATTCAAGTAACGAGAAATACTAATTTTTACTCACATATACACAATATACTTCATAGGGAACATAGCTGGTATGACTAGCCTTATTTATATGACCAGTGATCGTTTACATTGTTATCCTAAATACTTCTTAATGTTCACCCTATTGTCAGTATTTTGGTTCAATGAACTAAGTCAATCGGTTGTAAATCTCTTAAATATCATCACTACATTGTTCTAATCCTTAAAATTTCATCTAAGAAATGTTGTATTGAGAGCTTAGATTCTTAATATACTGCGAATAACGCGAGCACTCGAACCCTCTAAGTCGCGAATAAGAAAACAAAAGAAGACTGGAGAAAGTGCTTGTTGGGCAAGAATCAAATTGTACAGAAAATCATGGGTATTTATAGATATTAGCGTTTGTTAAACCAATATTATAATTCAACTAATCTGCAAAAAGAGGCATGTTATGCAACTGGCCGATAGTAGCATGCCATGTTGATATTCTGGAAAGTTCCATCACGTTCTGATTGGATGGAACTCTCCGGCTCCTCTAGGGTCTCGAAAGGCTCCATTGTAGTTCTCGGAAGCCGTTACAACAAGAAACAGATCATTTTCAACCAATTTAAACTCAATTATAAAAAGATAAATCCAATCAAGTTCAACAATATCAGAATATTGATAATCAATTCATTATTCACATATTGATTAGAAACACACATCTTTTCAATACTGAACGCTCAATTTATACTTGTTAAGACTATTTTTAAGAGGTTAGTTCGACAGTTACTTTGGAACAAGTTATTAGGACTAGAAGTTGGATACCGGTCTAAAATTCTAGGCATACAATATCCGTTTATTGTAGTGTGTTTATTTAGAAAAGAGTTCAAGATTAAAACCTTCTAGTCACTTTTCTGGTTTGTGTGCCTTTGAATGCTGACTATATCACATATAATACAACTCCTGACATTAAAGTGATGTATGATGAAATCAACGTAGACTGATCGAAAATGAAAACCTAAAACGTATGAAATAACCGTTCTGTTCTAGTTAAGTGTTCTTTTAAGTACTGCATATCACACACATAACAGTAAATCTTGAAGCCTGATGAAAAGCAATACATTGTCTAATCACAAGATTGGAATCCAGTGGTTAGAATTTCTAGACATTAGTACTATGTTTTAGACCCTAATCCTCATGGAAATTACGACTCATAGTGCAAATAAATTTGGAACAATGATGAAACTAATGCTCTGAGCTTCTTATTTTTCAGCTTAAGTTGATATTGAGATTTTAACCAAATATTTATTGCTTAAGATGTTACCAAGGTACCTTGACTAGAAGTCCTCGTTTCTGACGTCAAGCAGTCCTGGTCCATCTGAATGCTTGGATTAGAAAATGATGTAATCGCATTTTTTGTAAATAATATTTATAGGGATAATAGTAAAAGTATAGCATAAAGATGGGCTTGAGGTCTTCTCAAGATGACCATATGTTTTGAAAGTCACTTTTCAGACATTGAGGAGAGTCTGTATACACTAAAATTACTTTGCAACAGAAGTAATGAAATTTGTTGCAGGTTGGTAGTTTTAAGAAGTCTCCTGGTTTTTCAAGGCATATCATCAGTCTTCAATCAAAGCACTTTAGAAATATAACTACGTAGTGTTATATCACGATGAGAATAATGAATGGTAACTGTTGGAATCTATTTCTGAACTAATACTATATACATTCTTATTGTATAATTGTTGAGCAACTTAACTATTCATATTCGTGTTCCTCTTATTATAAGTTTATATTTTGACCTATGAACTATTATAAGGCCATTTACTATTCTTGTGTTAAGCCCAGTCTATTAATTACAGTCCCTCATATTCATAGACACTTTTGGCTGAAAACACATGATTCATATCACAGAGGCTGAAATAGGAGTTCTGGACTCTAACAGGTATGGCTAGGCAGGGAGAAGGACCGATAAGGACTGTAGACTGCTCGTACGGGTTTACGGGTCATTGGTCCAGTCAATAATTGACTGTTCTCTAATTGGCGGTATCATTACGCTATACATTGACAGGGTCACAAACCCACAAGCTATAGCATGTAGCATCATCAACATGAATTTATTCATACCAAACGTTTCGTTCTGCATATTCTTCATAGCCATAAATAATTTCATAGGAAAATTCACCATTCACTTGAATCTTCTCATTGATGTTTAGGAATGCAATCGATCAGTCTCTTATTGGTATATATGTATACTGTGCGTATTACCTTAATTCACAAGCATTATAAGGAAAGATTAGCAGTGAAGTGCAGGACGCGCGCTTTATCCTATTTGAGACTTGTCAGCTGCATGTATCTACATCTCAGAGTTGATGATCACTCTGGAACTCGAACCCAGTACTGTTCGCTTCAAACACCATCGCGTTCTCCACTTAGCTACTGAGCTCCAAATAGGACGAAATACGCGTCCTGGATTCCACTGTTAGTCATCATTAAGCTTTGCTTAAAATTCAGCATTGCCTACAAAATCTTTATCGGTAGATTCACTGAAGATTTATAATGATGAAGTTGTATGAAAACTTTTGTTGTCCGCACATCGATACGCAGATATTATGCGTTAAATTTGTTAGTTACTTTAGCGTTCCAAGCTCACTTATTATTCAGTGAACCATCATTAAAATGGTTTGTTTGCGAGTTCATTATGAAAAGAGGTAGATTGAAATGAAAACAGACTGATTCACATGTTCTGGGAAATCTATACGTTAAAATATGAGCACTTGATGAGTTTAAGAAGATCAATTTTACTCTATTCGTTTAAAAACATAAACATTGGTACAAGGAAGCAGCAAATAGATATGTATTATATAAATTATTCGATTTGAGTGAGGGCTGGGATACTGCTAGGGTGCTTAAACAGAAGCAGCGGCTCTTCTGAAAGGGTCACACACCGAACCTTCGACCTGAAAGTCTAATACACAAGGCAGTGGAGCAGCGTTAGAAAATGCAGTACCATGGTAGCCGGTCACAAACTATAAGTCCATACGCCTTTGGTTCCATCAGCATCATGGGGTCCGTGTACACCAACTGGTTCGAATCAGGATTTTCTAACTCTCCTAGGTGGGCCCTCAGTGTCCCCCAATCCCGTTAAAGCGTTGGATATTCGCTATTCATCCTCTCATTTTCGTAAACAACACCCCACCGCGAGAAGGCAGTGAGTAAGACTAATTAGAATAGTGAATATTGTCCACTTGAACACAAACACTAATACACCTTGTAAAAGTTTAGTTTTGTGTGACATTTTGTCGGATACTCTCTGTGTGTCTATTATCATGTTAACAATCAGTTTCCTTGATGATAATTTAATGAAGTCGTACTTAATAAGTTTTCATTATACATCCGTGATACACATTCAATTAGTTAACCATAAGTAATATGAGCCTTTGTGTGTCAGTTCAAGCTGTTACTTGTTCATTATATATGTGTGCAAAGTTAGCTATTAAATCAGGGATAAACTACCAGGGTGTTTGTAATAATTAAGGTGAACACCAACGCCACTTCATAAACCGATTATTAATACATATATACCCAATAAATTATCTGAAATGTAACGAAGTTATTAGTTGCGAGCAAGCGAGGGTGAGGAGAGTCAGCTCTCCCTCTCAAAATGCTCTCACATGGCCACGAGTATACAGCCGCTGTCAGAGAAGTCCTACTCACTGCCTTTTCGTAGCATCATTGTTGTTTACGAAATTGACAACACGAAAAGAGAATGTCCGGCGCTTGATTCAGATTGGTGGGTATGGAGGATCCATCTAAAGCAGTTGGACAACCCTGATTCTAAACCAATGATGAACATGGGTTCCAGTATTCTGAAGTATCAAATCACGTATGAACCAATTATTGATAATCGGTTACCATGAGACTACATCTCCTAAAGTAGCTCCACTGCCTTATGGATTAGACCTTCAGATTGAAGGTTCCGCGTGTATTCCTCCCTAAAAAAAACCATCTGTTTCGTTTTGGGCATCCGGATAGCTCTCTTTCGACCAAGATTTATGTGATTCAATCATTAAGTTTCCAAATTTTTAAAAATCGTATATTTTTTAGAATAAAAATGATAAACAAAATTAATCCTACTAATCAATACATATCAGAATCATATTTTTAAATAGAAACAAAACTTGGCAACGAGAAAAATGTGTTTTTTTAATTTTTTAAAGAAGTCCCCCCACTCTCTCTCTCTCTCTTAATACTATTTAAATATTGTTAATCAAAAACATGATTATAGAAAAACGGAAAAATCTGTTGTTGTTTTTTTTATACAATGATTTGTTTATCTAAATGAAAACAATAGAAAAAAAGAACTTAATGTTACATAATCAATAATCAATAAAATAGGGGTTCATAGTACCTACACACATATACACAATGAATCCAATCCCTTTTTACAGATAGTACAATAGAGATAAGAAAAGAAATAAACAGAAAAAAGAAAAGAAAATCTAATCATCATAATGATATAAGTTAATATACATATTAGGATATAATCAATTGAAATTTGATTGATATTTATGATGATTACATAAGTTGGCAAAATCAATGGAGGCAATATGGAAGGTATATATATACACAACAGATCATTTTTTCAATACATTAAATAATGTATTCTAGATCATAAAAAAAAGAATAAAATAGATCAATGATTAATATCAGATGGGTTTTGTAGATAGATTATAATAATTTCAATGATTAAGATCATGAATCAGAAGTAGTGACCAGTAGAGTTTAACCGGATCTGTTGTGAACTAGTAATTCACTGAAGACAGTGGTGAATATGTCGCTTAATTTCGTGGATTACTTGAAGTTAGACATTAACATCGTTTGATGCCGGCCATCTCAGTGGTCTAGTGGTTAAGTGCTCGCGCGCGAAACCAGTAGGTCAAGGGTTCGGATCTCGCAGAGGGCGAGGTCGTGGATGCGCACTGCTGAGGAGTCCCACAGTGGGACGAAACGGCCGTCCAGTGCTTTCAAGTCTTCCATGGTGGTCTAGCTTCAACTGACTCATGATCTCAACGATTGAGATAAATGATTAAACGACAGTAAAAATTGATTTATTATAATTTATATAATACTATGTTTGGAAGTGATTATGAGTTTACCTAGTTATGAGAACGGAACAAAGACTTTGTGACCGAAAACCAATAAGTTAGCTATGCATCCTAGCCTCGGTTAACTAAAGAAAGAAGTTCAAGTTCGAAATGGGGAAATATATTCCGCAAGCAGTCAAAATCACAATACTTACACCTGTTACTTCCAATGGAACATAGACTGCCGACCAGCATTCTGCAAACTACTCTGTCCTCCGCCTTCCTTTCTAGTTCTATCCGATTTTTGTTCATTTTTCTCGTGTCTGTCTCGATTTCTCGACGTAATGTGTTCTTTCGTCTTCCTCTTCTCCTCCTTTGGCCTTGACGATTTTATGTGAGGGGTTGCCTTGTGATGCAGTTAGGTGCTTTCCACAATGTGTGTCCTATCCACTCACAGTAGTTCTTCCTGATTTCTTCCTCTACTGAAATCTGGTTTATTCTCTCACACAGTAAGTTGTTGCTGATAGTGTCTTGCCAACAGATTCGAAGTATTTCGCGTAGACAGTTGTTAATAAACAATTGTATCTTTTGGATGATTGCTTTTGTAGTTCTCCAGGTTTCCGCCTCATACAGTAGAATTGTCTTGACATTTGTATTGGAAATTCTGACCTTGGTGTTGGTTGATAGACAGTTGTTTTGAGTTCCAGATGTTCCTCAATTGTAGATACGCTGCTGTTGCTTTGCCGATCCGCGCTCCAGGCGTAGTAGCAATCACAAGAGGTACAAATCAAACGTATATATACAGCATAAAATTGTCCTTGGGAAGCGTCAAAAAATAACATATTGAAAGATACAACGAACTAATAGCGTTTAAAATCTTCCCAAGTGGGAAATATAACATGAAGGTGAGAATGAACGCTTTTTGGCGTGAAAACAAGAAATTCAAATTTTTAAAATAAATTTACAAACATAAGGTATTTACCAAGTGAGTTCTAGGGATCTAACATCTCCAAAACATAGAACATAAAACAACTTTACAGATAGACAGGATTCTACGACATTATTATTTCGATAATGCAATGAGAAGACGAAGATTATCAGAACTATGTGATATATTTGCGCAATATAGGCGGCCTGCTTGAATATCTGGGCTACCTGTTTCTGCCATCTGATTATTTCAACAAGCCATTATTAATAATAATAATAATACATTTCGAACAATCTGATCACACATATACTTGTTAAGAGCATTTATATATAAAAATAAAAGGTCAACTAGACAGGAAATGGGGTAAGAGGAGATAAGGATAATGATAAGAGTAATAATAATAATAATGTGAACACAAAGCGAAACCTAATCACTCTGGATAATAAGTCAATATTACCAGGGTAGGTTTAAGGTAAGAACAAACTGTTTTTGAACACATAAAGGGGGTTTGAATTTTCGTATGGCTAAGGCTTCAATGAACCTTAGTATACGCCCTTTTACACTTTTATACAGCACTACAAAAGCTGAATTTAGATCAATCTTGTGACCTGTTTCAATTATATGTTTAGCAATAGAGGATGATGGATGTTTATCCTCTACTCTTATTGGGTCACTTGATTGTATTTGTTTCTGAAGCCATTTGGGTACATGTTCACTCACCCTAATGTTGAGATCACGATTACTCCTCCCTATGTATGTGTGACCACACACACATTTAAATTGGTAAACACAGTGGGATGTGACGTAATCGTTTCCATGTACTTTAGGTTTTGAATGAAGCATGCACCTTGTTCTTTCTTTGATGATGACCTTTGCTGCGCAATAGGTTTTATTGATGACTGATTTAAGACGTTGTTTCAGTAAAAGGCTATTTGAATCACCTCTGAATGGTAAGGTGATGTAGACAGGCTTTTTCCCTACCGAGGCTACAGTAGGTCTCGCTGTACCATGGACTTTCCATCTATTTATGAATTTCAGAGGATAGCCATTTTCTATTAACGTTTTATTCAACAACTTAACATCATCATTAATGGCGTCATTGGTACAAATACGGTCGAGTCTGTTGAAAAGACACCTTATCAAACCACGTTTGTATTGCATAGGGCAATAACTATAATAACTAAGATATTGACCTGTCCACGTTGGTTTTCTAAAGATAGATCGCTTTACTGAACCATCTTCTCGTCTACTCAGGAGTATATCTAGGAAGGGAAGCTGATCGTTTTTCTCCTCTTCACATGAGAGACTAATATGGTTTTGGAGAGTGTTGAGTTTATTTAATAAACCGTACATATCCTCTTTTTTCTCACAAACAACTAAGATATCGTCCACATATCTCTTATAAAGTGACATGTTTCCGATTAATTCATCAGTCTGATTTTCAACATGTGCCATGAACACATCTGCTAGTAATGGTCCTAGCGGACTACCCATAGCAACTCCATCAATCTGACGAAAGTATTCACCTTCAAAAGTGAACTGAACTTTGTCAGTACATAGTAATAGTAAATCTTTAAGAAGTTTTAAAGGTACACGTGATTGAAGATTGTTTTCAGATATGTAATCACATAATATATCAATGGTTTTTTTTAAAGGTACATTTGTAAACAAGGAATTTACATCAAATGAACACATTGTCTTTTCCTTGATATTAATATCATCTAAATGATCAACCAGTTCAAAAGAATCCTTTAGAGAAAACTTACATAGATGTCTTCGAATAGGATCCAACAACTTTGCTAACCATTTAGCCAGATTATGTGTAGGTGATCTGCACATTGATAGAATTGGACGTAATGGAACATTAGGTTTTTGAGTTTTAGGCAGTCCATATAAATGAGGGTACTCGGAACCCATAGGTTTTAGAAAGTTAAATTCCTCTTTATTAATAATATTCATGAGAAGCAATTTTTCCAGGTTTGAATTTACTCTTCTTTCTAGTTTGCTGATACCTCCAAATTCAACATCAGGCATAAATTTACTTTCATCACTAAGGATAGATAACATCTTACTTTTATAATCACATTTATTCATGATAACTACGCCTGATCCTTTATCAGGTTTTAACAAGACAATATCAGGGTTTGATCGTAGTTCTATTACTGATTTAAAATGCTGAGAAGTTAATATGCTTCTCTGCTTCGGGCCAACACTATGAAATTGGTGTGCTATATCCACTAGTTTAGCTTTACACCAGCTTTGATTATTTGAAGACGTAAGGGTTAAAGTACTCAGTTGATCATATAGATTTTCAAACTGGGCATTTATTTCCAATTCAGACATTTGCGTTATAGGGACGGAGAAATTAAAACCAAGAGAAAGGGCTTCCTTTTCAATTAGCAGATAATATAATGGAGGATAAATTAGTGACATACTTTTCAGGATTTACTGGGAATACATTAATTTGATTAGTAATAATACAAGATTTTTCGAGTTTATTACTGATTCTTTCCTTTGTTATCGAAATGACATTACTGCAAAAGTTTGTGAATTTAATATGGCAGACTATAGATATTTCATTTAATATAGGCAATGCTTGAGTGTGTAATTCAATTAAATTGATCAGTTTGTCTTGGCACTTATCTATATATGATTTCGACAATCGAATAAGATTTGAAATATTTGGTTGTAATTTACTTGAACGTAAATTCTTGTATAGTTGATTTGGGAATATATGACTCGTCAAACAAGATTTATAGAAGTTCAGTTTCACGCGTTCCGATACAATTTTACATTTAAGGTTGACAAGTTCAACTAACCTTTTGATAGTATGTGCAGGGAGTCTTCTTTTAAGAAATTTAAAACAATTAGTCCCTTTGATAAATTTCGATAATGCAATGAGAAGACGAAGATTATCAGAACTATGTGATATATTAGCGCAATACATTTCGAAAAAAAATCTTGTATTATTACTAATCAACTTAATGTATTCCCAGTAAATCCTGAAAAGTATGTCACTAATTTATCCTCCATTATATTATCTGCTAATTGAAAAGGAAGCCCTTTCTCTTGGTTTTAATTTCTCCGTCCCTATAACGCAAATGTCTGAATTGGAAATAAATGCCCAGTTTGAAAATCTATATGATCAACTGAGTACTTTAACCCTTACGTCTTCAAATAATCAAAGCTGGTGTAAAGCTAAACTAGTGGATATAGCACACCAATTTCATAGTGTTGGCCCGAAGCAGAGAAGCATATTAACTTCTCAGCATTTTAAATCAGTAATAGAACTACGATCAAACCCTGATATTGTCTTGTTAAAACCTGATAAAGGATCAGGCGTAGTTATCATGAATAAATGTGATTATAAAAGTAAGATGTTATCTATCCTTAGTGATGAAAGTAAATTTATGCCTGATGTTGAATTTGGAGGTATCAGCAAACTAGAAAGAAGAGTAAATTCAAACCTGGAAAAATTGCTTCTCATGAATATTATTAATAAAGAGGAATTTAACTTTCTAAAACCTATGGGTTCCGAGTACCCTCATTTATATGGATTGCCTAAAACTCACAAACCTAATGTTCCATTACGTCCAATTCTATCAATGTGCAGATCACCTACACATAATCTGGCTAAATGGTTAGCAAAGTTGTTGGATCCTATTCGAAGACATCTATGTAAGTTTTCTCTAAAGGATTCTTTTGAACTGGTTGATCATTTAGATGATATTAATATCAAGGAAAAGACAATGTGTTCATTTGATGTAAATTCCTTGTTTACAAATGTACATTTAAAAAAAACCATTGATATATTATGTGATTACATATCTGAAAACAATCTTCAATCACGTGTACCTTTAAAACTTCTTAAAGATTTACTATTACTATGTACTGACAAAGTTCAGTTCACTTTTGAAGGTGAATACTTTCGTCAGATTGATGGAGTTGCTATGGGTAGTCCGCTAGGACCATTACTAGCAGATGTGTTCATGGCACATGTTGAAAATCAGACTGATGAATTAATCGGAAACATGTCACTTTATAAGAGATATGTGGACGATATCTTAGTTGTTTGTGAGAAAAAAGAGGATATGTACGGTTTATTAAATAAACTCAACACTCTCCAAAACCATATTAGTCTCTCATGTGAAGAGGAGAAAAACGATCAGCTTCCCTTCCTAGATATACTCCTGAGTAGACGAGAAGATGGTTCAGTAAAGCGATCTATCTTTAGAAAACCAACGTGGACAGGTCAATATCTTAGTTATTATAGTTATTGCCCTATGCAATACAAACGTGGTTTGATAAGGTGTCTTTTCAACAGACTCGACCGTATTTGTACCAATGACGCCATTAATGATGATGTTAAGTTGTTGAATAAAACGTTAATAGAAAATGGCTATCCTCTGAAATTCATAAATAGATGGAAAGTCCATGGTACAGCGAGACCTACTGTAGCCTCGGTAGGGAAAAAGCCTGTCTACATCACCTTACCATTCAGAGGTGATTCAAATAGCCTTTTACTGAAACAACGTCTTAAATCAGTCATCAATAAAACCTATTGCGCAGCAAAGGTCATCATCAAAGAAAGAACAAGGTGCATGCTTCATTCAAAACCTAAAGTACATGAAAACGATTACGTCACATCCCACTGTGTTTACCAATTTAAATGTGTGTGTGGTCACACATACATAGGGAGGAGTAATCGTGATCTCAACATTAGGGTGAGTGAACATGTACCCAAATGGCTTCAGAAACAAATACAATCAAGTGACCCAATAAGAGCAGAGGATAAACATCCATCATCCTCTATTGCTAAACATATAATTGAAACAGGTCACAAGATTGATCTAAATTCAGCTTTTGTAGTGCTGTATAAAAGTGTAAAAGGGCGTATACTAAGGTTCATTGAAGCCTTAGCCATACGAAAATTCAAACCCCCTTTATGTGTTCAAAAACAGTTTGTTCTTACCTTAAACCTACCCTGGTAATATTGACTTATTATCCAGAGTGATTAGGTTTCGCTTTGTGTTCACATTATTATTATTATTACTCTTATCATTATCCTTATCTCCTCTTACCCCATTTCCTGTCTAGTTGACCTTTTATTTTTATATATAAATGCTCTTAACAAGTATATGTGTGATCAGATTGTTCGAAATGTATTGCGCAAATATATCACATAGTTCTGATAATCTTCGTCTTCTCATTGCATTATCGAAATTTATCAAAGGGACTAATTGTTTTAGACATTATTATTACAACAATTTTCCACTAAGCTATAGGGAGAATTTAGTTTACTCTACATTCTCAAAGGTTAGATAAAACTGTATCGATGACATAACCAATAATTAGTTGGATAAAAATTCAACAGGTAATGTCTATCCTTTTAGGTTTATTAACAGAAATTTGAAGGTGAAACAATGTGAAAGTTTATTCAAATAGATAATCTTTTTTATGAATATTGAATTCAGAGGCGATAATACCACTGTAAAGATGATGAAAAAACCCCCAGAATTTTGAGGGTTTTGGGAAAAATCCAACTTTATCGAAGTTCGTATACACTTTTCTAGTCGACAATGGATTTATAGGTATGTTAGGGACAAGCTAACCGACACTTTGAGGCACATATGGGCCCCACAAAGTAAGCCCATACAAAACACAACTCCATGCATTATTTATTCAGATGAAGAATGCTAGCCTATCGGTAGCTCAATTCCTGAATACGTTGTAAATCCTGATCATGTCATGACATCAAAATCCTCATTTAAAGTCATCCATGTAGTCAGAAGAACTGGTTCAGACTGCATGAAATCAAAAACTTATAAACTGCAGACATTTAAGTAACCCAATGATTCAAGCCTAAAATTTGTATAGAAAAGTACCATATTCAATCTCTTACTCTACCTGGGTCTTAATCCCATTTCTTATTGGCATTCAGACTACTACGTAACCTCCGTTCAGTATTATATATTTACTAGTGACCGACCACTGTGTAGTGAAGAATGTTATATTTTTCCAGTCCTTAGTGTTCATCGAATTCTATTTATCAAGCTGAAATATGGCCACTAGTTTAAGTGAAAAGACATGGCATCTTGATGTTAAGCAGCTTGAATTGGTCGGGAACAAACTATAGACCTAGGTTATTCGGTCGCAAAACCCATGTAAGAACAGGTGATGGGGGCTTGAAGTCTTCAGAAAGTATCAGTTTCTTCAAGAAAACAAATTCGTCTTGCTAACAACTACTGGAATGACATGAAACCTAAGTGTTTAGGAGTTCGGACCAACTTCTTCGAACCACTGAATATATTTGATATTTGCAAACAATTTATGACAGAATACAATTAGCTTTATTTTCTAAGAGACTGCTATATGTATTAAATTAGTAGTCTTAGTAAAGAACTTCATTGAAAAGAAAATTCTGCTTGTTGAATGGTTTCTATTCTTTAATATTAAGTAGGCCCCCAAATTCCATGGTACAGCCGAGAGTGAGGAGAGTCTGCTCTCCCTCTCCAAATGCTCTCACATGGCCCCTTTATACCAATATTTATGTGTTCAAATAAATAAAATAAAAATATTAAGTAGTTGAATGATTATCTGTGAAATTTCGAAATTCATCATTCTTTGTTTTGGGTTATTTTAAACTATGGATACATTTAGTATAAACTCTAATATATCGAGAATTAAACAAAGTTGGAAATATGGTGACTTGTAATCGGTTTACCATGAGAACTAAACAACATTCAGTCTTAGTATAATGAAGGTCATAGTTGTGTACTGCTAAATAATAGTTTCTAACCCGAACAAAACTGTTATCTAATGCTCTTCGTGAGTTCTAGTTATCAGTGAAGAAATCAATCTTCTAATGCATATACAATTGGAGATAGAGGAGTAGGTTGTTTCACACAATTTAACTAGTTATCTTCCAACTAATTAATTTGTGATTTATTATTATTGAATTGGACACATAAATATTGGTACAAAGGGGCACCGAATACATATGCGACACATAAAAGTCATTTAATTTGTGTGTGGGCTGTGATACTGACCGGGTGTCCAAACTAAAGCAAGTGGTTTTCTTAGGGAGCTACACCTGGAACCTCCGACCGGAAGGTCTAATCCACAAGGCAATGGAGCAACGTCAGGAGATGCAGTCCCATGGTAGCCAGTCATCAACATTAGGTTCATGTGCCTTTTGTTTCCCTCAGGATCTTGGAGCCTATGTGCACAATTGGTTTGGAATCAGGGTTTTCTAACTCCCCTAGGTGAACCCTCACTGTCCACCAACCCAATTAAAGCGTGGGACATTCGCTTTTCGTCCTCTCAACCACATAAACAACAGTAATATCTCGAGACTGCAGTAAGTGGGACTTCCCTGACAATGGATGTATACGCATGGACGTATGAAAGCATTTGAAGAGGGAGAGCGAACTTGATCCACTCTCGGCTGTACCAGGGGATTTGGGGACACTACTAACCAGGGCAGTTCTCCATGTACAAAGTTAGTTATGTTACTGAACTATGTAAACAAACCAACAATAATAACAACGACAGTAATAACAGTATTACTTACTTTCTTAACTTGATTATCATTTGAATGAAGTGATAAACAATTTGATTGTTGTTGTTCTTTATTAAAACTATTATGAGAATGATAATTTGTGAATGAATTTAATCGAATTGTTTGTAATTCTTCTGTTAAATTATTTATATGTTTAGCCATTTCATTAATTTGTTTAATTGTATTTATTTTAATTAATTCTAATTGTTGTTTTAATTGTTCATTATATTGTTTCATTGTTTTTATTTCATATTGTTGTTTTTGATGTAAATGAAGAAGTTGTAATATCCATGGGATAAGAGATTCTAACTTTTAAAAAATAATAAGACAAAATAATAACATATTTATGATTTCACAGATTGAAATCATGAGACAGTTGAAGCTAGACCACCATTGAAAACCTGGAAGCACTGGACGGCCGTTTCGTCCTGGTATGGGACTCCTCAGCAGTGCGCATCCACGACCCCGCACCACCCGGGGCTCGAACCCAGGACCTACTGGCTTCGCGCGCGAGCACTTAACCATTAGACCACTGAGCCGGCATCCAACGGTGTTAATGTCTAACTTCAACCAATCCACGAAGTTGCGCTACCGTACACCATTGTCCTCAGTGAGTTCCTATTTCACAACAGACCTGGTTGAACTTCACTGGTAACGACTTCTCACTAGGACTCCAGGAGTGTCTCCTGAAGTCAGTCACTAGTGAACAGATGATTATTATCAGAATGGGTTTTGTGGAGATTTTAGAAATTTCACAGATTGAAATGATGAGTCAGTTTTCAATGGTGGTCTAGCTTCAACTGACTCATGATTTCAATCTGTGAAATTTCTAAAATCTCCACAAAACCCATTCTGATAATATTTATGATTCTTATAGATGAAGAGAGAGTAAATAATCAAAATATATAAGAGAATAGTGTTTAAACAAAGACTAATGAAGCTAATATCTGTGTTAGATAGAGACAGGTATCTACCTTAGTAAAATGGATGATTGTGCAATTTCGTGAATTGATTAAGGTTAGGCATTAATACCGTTAGATGCCAACTCAGTGGTCTAGAGGTTAAGTATTTATGCGCAAAATCGACGGTCCTGGGTTCGAGCTCCGCGTGCACTGCTCATCAATTCCATACTAGAATGAAATGACTGTTCATTGCTTCCAGGTTTTCAATGGTGATCTAGCATTGATCGATTCATGATCTTAATCAAAAAACGGAGCAATTTTCACAAATCCATGGTGCAGATTTTACCTAACAATTGGTTAATTATGAATAGAATAGAAAAGTGTGAAATTAGCCTTGAGAATTTGTAGTATAGCTAATGAAGTACACCTTAGTCAACATCGGTTATATAAATTTCAAACATTCAATAATCCGTTAGTAAAGTGCCGTTGGTGTTCACCTTAATTATTACAAACACCCTGGTAGTTTATCCCTGATTTAATAGCTAGATTTGGGCAGATATGTAATGAGCATGTAACAGCTTGAACTCACACACAACGTTTCATATTATTTATGGTTAACTAATTGAATGTGTATCACGGACGTACAATGAAAACTTATTAAGTACGACTTCATTAAATTATCATCAAGGAAACTGATTATTAACATGATAATAGACACACAGAGAGTATCCGACAAAATGTCACACAAAACTAAACTTTTACAAGGTGTATTAGTGTTTGTATGCAAGTATACAACATTCACTATTCTAATTGGTTACTTTTTATTGTTACTATTATTATTGTTATTGATCATGAAACTAAAACTGAAGGTCTGCCTTATATTATCAACAATGAACAAGTAGCACTGTAGCACAATAAATAAATAACTAATTAACATAATTTTTGCATAAAAATGTATCTGTGATAAGTAACAAATGATTGTTTCCTTGTTAGTAAATTCAATTTATTTATTTGAACACATAAATATTGGTACAAATTAGCACCAAATAAATATGCGACATACAAGTCACTTGATTTGTGTATGAGCTGGGATACTCTTAGGTGCCCGAATCGAAACAGGTGGTTTTATTAAGGTGAAACACTCTGAACTTTTGACTTAAAGGTCTAATTTACGAGGCAATGGAGCAACGTCAGGAGGTGTAGTCTCATGATAACCGGTAACCAACAATTGGTTCATACGCCATTTGATGCTTCAAGATCCTGGAGCCCATGTGCACCACTGGTTTGGAATAAGGGTTTTCGAACTCCCTTAGATGGATGTTCCATATCCACCAACCTGGTTAATGCGTTGGACATTCGCTTTTCACGCTCTCAAATTTGTGAAAAACACCCCCATTTCGGGAAGGTAGTGAGTAGGACTTCCCTGATAGACGTCTTCTTTCTGTGAGCTGGACAAGTCAGTGTTTGTACATGGTGTTTTGGGGACAATGAAATTTGAACCCAAGACATGGAATGTCTCTGAAATAGACATTTCTGGACCACTAGGCGGATCATGAATGACTGCTACTACTTCGTTTACATTACCGCTTATCAAGGATTCACGGAGGCTTTCATCGACACGTTCATACATCCTGCAGTCATTTTCCAGCTCTGTATGCAAATTAGAAATTAATTTATCAACTGTCACATCTTCAAAACGTGGATGATTTAGCAGCCGTGTGTGTAAATTGTTTAAAACATTTAACTGGCTCTTTTTGAAACGCTGCTGTTGTCGCTCAAATAGCAACTGTAATTGATCGGAAGAGATAGCCATTTTCTAAATCAGCACGGTAATGAAATATACTATATGACTAATTAACAATCAATGTCGTTCAAGGACACCAGCGAGAATTCTGTATGCTGATAGTCTTGGCTCTTTTTTTCACGCCATCGCCAATTGTTATAAGTTGTCAGTCGAATGCTTACTTGTTATATCTGGTCATCGCTGATTGTTGTGTCGGAAACTCTTATCACTTATACTCGAAACGAGGGACCTCTGCAATTCACACGACGCGAAAGTAAGAACACAACGACTGGTATAAGTGAAGATTTATTAACCCCAAAACACGACGACGACCTAGTCGAAATGACACTCATTTGCATATTGATTGTACACCAATTTTGATTAATAATTAAATTGAAATCGCATACATAAATGAGTGTGATTTCGACAAGTTCGTCGACACTGTATGGAATAACATTCATTTCACTAGTCTTCTGTCTTCTAATTGTGACTTAGAAAGGGTCCTAGCGTTCAAGTGCTCAAGTTATACACATCATATCAAGAATATAAGCATCTAGAGATATAAAAACTGGTGACGGGGAAATTTGACTTCTCTTCCTGTCATATCAATATGCGTGGCCATGTGAGCGCGTTTCGAAGGGGAGAGCGGACTCTCCCCACTCTCGACTGTACCAGGGCATTTTAGGACAATCTGGACAATTACAAAAGCATACAATTTTGATAAGTATGTTTTAATAATAATTTCATTTTAAAAAAATCATGTAAGATAAGAGAGTCAACTTACTTCATCCTGTAAGAGATTAGCTCTTGAAGCGAAATAAATTGATTCTTCAATAGCTTTATGTAAACGTTTCATTATTACTTTATGTGGATTAGAAGTTTCATCAGATTTTCCATTATTACTATTAGATAATTGCTCAGGATCGTTTGAATCACTCACCTGACTATTGTGAACAATAGGCTTAGCGTCGTCTTTTGTTTCTGACTGCTTTGATAATAATAATAATAACAATAATAATAATAATAATAATAATAATAATAATAATAATAATAATAATAATAATAATAATAATAATAATAATAAAAATTGAACATACGTACAATACACACATAAAATCATTACCTAATTTAGGGTAGGAATGTTGTAAAGGAGAGTTATTACAGAAAACTTTAAAATCGAAAGACAATGGATGTACACAATTATTACATTCCAACTGGTCGTGGTGTTTGAATGCAGTAACAGCGAGCAAACCGGAAATATTAGGTGGAATAATAGTTTTTTAGGGTCCTACTATACCAGACAAGTCTGTTAGGAAGTAATAAGACTGTGAGCAGCAAACCTAAGGTTCGAGAGTGAAAACCTACTGTCGACTGTACTGGTAAGTAACAGGAGTAAGGTAATTTGCTCAGATAATCAGCATTTATAGCGATGTTACCTTAAAAAACAGACAGAAGAGCTAAACAAGATTAGCCCTAAAATAACAAGGTGATATATTACTCCATGGATTTCTGTTACTGGCGATTAAATTCTAAAAAGTATGAGTCTAACACATTAAAAACTTCTCACAGAAAGATCAGTGTATGATTGATCTCAAGTAGTTTATACTGTAAGCTCTGTTGTCAGTGAATTAAAATTATACCTGATTCGATTTCCTGTTCAGGTTCCTCAATAGAAAGTATTTTTTAACAGTGTACGCAACTAGGAAATAACGCACAACTACATTTGATTTGTGTGAGAGCTGGAATATTGCCCGGGAGCCCAAAAAGAAGCAGATGGTTTTCTTAGGGAGTCACTCCCCAAACCTTTGATCTAAAGGTCTAATACACAAGGCAGTGGAGCAACGTTAGGAGATGCAGTCTCACAATAGTCGATCACCAATAATTGGTTCATTCACCATTTGTTTCCTTGGGATCCCGGAACCCATGTTCACCATTGGTTTGGAATGAAGGTTTCCCAACTCCACTAGGTGAATCATCCTTTCAGTTTCGCAAACAACAATGGTTCCTCGAGAAAACAGTGAGTAGAACTTTACTGACAGTGGCTGTATACGCGTGGTCATGTGAGAGCATTTTGAGAGGGAGAGCTGACTCTCTCCCCACTCTCAGTCGTACCAGGATATTTGGGGTCAGTCATCATGTTGTCACAACTGACCAATTGACTGACACTCTTACAAAAGTTTCTGAAGCTCAATCCTTAAATAGAATACAAATAATAAATGATTAACTATGTTCAAATTAAAAAGTAAATGACAATTTAACTAACTGATTGTTCTTTTAATCGACGTTTACGTTCCAATTGATATTGTAATGAAATTTCACATAATTGACTTTCTAGTTGTGTAATACGATTCATAAGAATATGATCTAATTTTTCTTTATTTATGAATGATAAATTTTGATTTGTTTTCATTGAATTGATCCAATTATTTAATAATTGTACAAATTGTTCAATTAATTTCTCTTCTGTATTTACAATGAATGTCCAATCTTGATCATAGGAAGATGGAAGATTAAGGGTAGTAGTAGTAGTAGTACTAGTAGCAGAAGTAGAAGTAGTAGTAGTAGTAGTATTAGGAGTAGAATTAGTAGTACTGGGAGTAGAAGCAGAAGTAGTAGTAGTACTAGGAGTAGAAGTAGAAGTAGTAGTACTAGGAATAGTAGTAGTACTGGGAGTAGAAGTAGTAGTAGTACTAGGAATAGTAGTACTGGGAGTAGAAGCAGAATTAGTAGTAGTAGTAGTACTAGGAGTAGAAGTAGAAGTAGTAGTAGTACTAGGAGTAGAAGTAGTAGTACTAGGAATAGTAGTAGTACTGGGAGTAGAAGCAGAAGTAGTAGTAGTACTAGGAGTAGAAGCAGAAGTAGTAGAAGTACTAGGAGTAGAAGTAGTAGTAGTACTAGGAATAGTAGTAGTACTGGGAGTAGAAACAGAAGTAGTAGTACTAGGAGTAGAAGTAGAAGTAGTAGTAGCAGTATTTGGAGTAGAAGTTGCAGGAATAGTTATTGTTGTATTTGTTATCATTAATGTATCTTCAGATAGAAACGGTGATGAAGATGAAGATGGTAATTTTGATGATAACGATGATAATAAAGATTTAGATGGAAGTAAATTTAAACTGGATAATTTATTATAGGTATCCACAATAATATTATGACAAATATCAGTGGGAGATGATAGAATCGAATTTGTTGAATTATCATTAGTTACCATGGGAAATGAATTATGTTTTGTTATATGGATAGGTGCATAAGAAGCATCTGGTAGTGTCGTTTGATGCAAATTATTATTTACTTCCTATTCATTTAAAATAATAAGTTGGTATATATGAGTATCAATAGATAATTATTCACAATTTTATTATTATTATCATTATTTGAGCACATATTGGTACAAGGAGGCACCAAATACATATGCGCCACACAAATCAAATGGGATTTGTGTGAGGGTTGTGATACTGCCCGGGTGCCCAGACCGAAGCAGGTGGTTTGCTTAGGGGGTCACATCCCGAACCTTTGACTTAAAGGTCTGTTATGTCCCGAAAAGAATAATGAATGGTAACTTTTGGGATCTATTGATGAACCAATACTAAACGTATATTTCCATTGTATAATTATTAAGTAACTAAACTATGCATATTCATATTCCTCTTATTATAAGCTTTATTTTGACCCATAAACTATTATTATACTTTTTACCATTCTTGAGTTATACCCAGTATATTAATTACTACCTCCCTGATTCACAGCCACATCTGGCTAATTCTTGTACAAATTTTGTTTCATATTTTATTGGTACGTTGTGGTCTGTTTAATTGGTATATAAACTCAGTATGTTTGAGATATGATTCATATTGCAGAGGCTGAAATTGGCGTTCTGGGCTTAACAGGCTGGGCTAGGCGGAAAGCACGACCAACTAGGACTCTAGGCTGCTCGCACGTGTTTTACGCGTCCTTGGTCCGACTGAAAATTCGCTTCTTCTGATTGGCGGCTTTGGGTTATAACAAAATCTAATCCATAAGACAGTGGAACAACGTCAGGAGATGCAGTCTCACGGTAACCAGTGACCAATAATTGCTTCATACACCATTTGTCCCGTCAGGATCCTGGAGCTCAGGGTTTCAGTCAGTCAGTAACAACGTAGAACTTCGTACGTATGTACATCAGTTCGAGTTGCCGTACCACATTAGCACAGAGATGCAGTTGTCGATTCAAATCTGATTGTGTAAAGGTAGTAAGAGTATAAGCAGTAATCCGAAACTTTAGGGTTTGAAGATGTGATTCAAAAAGTATAATCCAGTGAAATAAATTTGGAAAGAGGAAAAAAGGGACATAAAGAATTCAGAGGATTAGAATTTGGAAGAACACAGAGAGTGGATGCAACTGCGCCATTGTAAACGAGCTCAGGGTTAACTCCCCAAACCGGTTAAAGCGTCGGACATTCACTTTCCATCCTCTTAATTTCATAAGCAACACCGCCACGAGAAGGCAGTAGTGGTTGTATGCACATGACCACTTAAGAGCATTTCGAGAAGAAGAGCTGACTCTTCCCACTCTCGGTCGTACCGAGCATTTGGAAGCTTCACATATTTAAACCAAAAAAAACACCACATATTACTAACCTGAGTAATGATAGATTTCTTTGCCACTTCATTTACATTGACAGTATCGATAAGACTTGAATGATTATTATCCTTGTTAATATTATTTAGTAATAATGATAATTTAGTTGAATTTTCATATGTAATTCCATTAATAGAAATATTATGATTGTTTAATTTTATTTGTTCAATTTCTTGTTTTAATTTTTCAATATATAAATCTTTTTGTAATAGTTTCTCCTATATATTTTATTAAATTTTAAAATAAAATAAAGAATGAATAATGAATCTATATAGAATATATAAATACAATAGAGAATAAGATACTCGAATTACATATACAAAAAATGGTTATCCAAAGAGAAGACTTGTTAGTAGAGAAGTTTAAGTTATAGGTTGTATGCATATAATAATAATAATCCAATGTTAGTTAGCTTGCCACTGTCACTGTCATGGAAGTCCTACTCATTGTCTTCGCGTAGCATTACTGTTGTTTACGAAATTGAAAAGACGAAAAGAGAATATCCAACGCTTTAACTGGGTTAGTGGATATCGAGGATCCACCTAGGAGAGTTGGAAAACCCTGATTCCAAACCAATGATGCATATGGGCTCCAGTATCTTGAAGGAACAAATAGCGTATGAACTTAATTCCGGTTACCATGGGATTGCATCTCCTGACATTGCTCCATTGCTTTGCGGATTAGACCTTTAGGTCAAAGGTTCATGGCGTGGTCTCCTGAGAAAACCGCCTACTTCGGTTTGAGCGCCCGGGCAATATTTCAGTCCTCACACAAAAATCATTCGATTCGTGTGGTGCATATGTATTTGGTGCCTATGTGTACCAATGTTTATGTGTCTAAAGAAATACATTAAAATATCCAATTAAAACTAGATGATGCTGGACAGCTGTTATATCTTATTATGGGACTCCGTGACAGCCTGCACCTATCTCACCAAGGCTCGAACCCAGAACCTTCATGTCCAGTGGCAAGTGCTTGACAGTAATACATGCTAAGAAGTAACTTCCGAAGTTTTAGTGAGAACTCATGAACAAAAAAGTTCAAGCATATCGAGTTTGAGGCAGTTATCTACCAGTGAGATTAGGGGGTTGCACAAAATAAGGAATTTATTAAGACTAGACAGGTGAACCAGTGAATGCAGAGTAAGTATTCTAAATGCTAAGCGCTCGTCGCGGGACATGGACGTCCTGGGTTTAGTCATTGATCAGATGATGGGTGGAGATTGTCGAGAAGCTTTATATAGGGATGAAACGGCTATTCAATGCTTCCTAGTTTCGAATGGTTGTCTGAGATCAATCCATTACCTGAACTCTTAATTGGAACATTTTAACAACTTCAAATTTATTGAATATTACATAAATGACACAACTAAAGGAAAAAGTTACATATGAACACTTACTTGTAGTTGTTGGTGCAATTCATTCTCATTGTCTTTCAACGTTTTGTACTTTGTACGAAGCTGCAAAAGTAGACAATTTGATGTAAACAATATGAAAAACAACAAACCTTTTTGAACTCCACACATAATCTTTCATATTTACTTTTTAACTGTTGATAATCGTCCATTATTCATTTTTTACTTTCATAAAGCATTAGTGCATAAATAAACATATATATATGGGTATATGTATGAATACATAATTATGAAATTTGTACTTGAACACAGGTAATTTTTATCCGTTTTTCAAAATAATCTAATTGAAGAGAAAAAGTATTATGCTTTTTGTTACCATCGAGAAAATATTGACATGTTAAAAGTTATGTACAAATAAATAATTGAAAAAAAGTGTAGAAAACAAACTGAATAAATTCGACAGTTCGTTTATATTATGAGATGCATTAAATTGCTAAATTGTCTGTGAGTTACATTTAATATTTATTTTAACACATATATATTGGTACAAGGAGGCACTAAATACATATGCACCACACAAATCTCATTTGATATGTGTGACGGCTGTGGTTCTGTCCAAATGTCCAAACCGAAGCAGGCGGTTTTCTTGGGGGGCCACGCCCGGAGCCTTCGACCTGAAGGTCTGATCCACAAGGCAATGGAGCATCGTAAGGAGATGTATTCCCATGGTAGCCTGTAACCAACGATTTGTTCATACGCCATTTGTTCCTTCAGGATACTGGAGCCAATGGGCACCATTGGTTTAGAATCCGATTAAAGCGTCGGACATTCGCTTTTCGTCCTCTCATTTTCGTAAACAACACCCCTGCCACGAGATTGCAATGAATAGGACTTCCCTGGCAGAGGCTATATACGCGTGAGAGCATTTCGAGAGGGAGAGTGGACACTCCCCACTCTTGGCCGTACCAGGTCATTTGCTATTGAACGTCGTTTGTTAATAATAAAGCAGCTAAGTTCGCAACCAGAAACAATAAAGTTCGACATGTTAACGTTTCCCACATAAACAATTAACTAATTCTATGGCATTTAAAACCAGAAGCCAAACATAGTACTTCACTTCTCAATATGGTTGTTCGCTCATTAAACCCAGGAACAATAGACAAGAGGTTCTGAGGCAATATAGATAGTATTTAAATTTTATTTATATAATCATATAATTATAGATATATCTTATCATTATAAATTTAGATCGCTTCACTTAAGAATCAAAACTATGGTCCTTGTAAGTAACAACAAGGATAATACCCGATAGTTTAGGAGTCAGAACCGACTAAAATTAGGCTACAGAGTATCTTTAGAGAATACAATGAGATGGATTGGAATGAAAATAGAGTTAGAATTAATAGCTATTAGTTTATAAATGGATGTTAACTACTTACACTAATGATCCTAGAATATAATTGCTAAGTGAAACGAATGTATGAATTGAAAATCGAATATTCTATGAGATGTGCATTTCAATCTTTATAATTCGTAGAACTGCATGAATCATGGTGACATATCATTTTATGTTGTGTCGATTTACAAGACTAAGGATTATTTTCCAAAAATCCACCCAAATTAGTAAATCTTGTATCAAGATTCAGTAATATTCAACCATTATAAGTAACACTGGTGATCATATGTTGAAACCGATAGAATATAATAAATATGCAGTCGCCCTGTTGAGTACCGTACATTCCAAACTACGCGCAGGATCTCTAGTATCGCTAATATAATTGTGATGATCTTGTAAAAACTAAATGATTTCTTTGCACTCTCCTCTTGTTATTTCAGCACGGTTTTAGGTATTCGATAATGTCTAGCGGAAGGTAGTCTAACTGCACGGTGAATAATTCTAGTCAATTTGACAGTTATTTATGGATTTGTATATATTGTAGTTTGAGTGAGTACGCTTGTCTCAGAACAGCAGGGTTTTTTGGTATCAGCAACTACCATATTACTAGGGAAGAGGTTGGTTGGTTGCAATGTGAAAATAATAAAGCGATAATTCAAGTGCCAAGAGAAGAAGACTGATTCAACAACCAATTAAATAAGTGAATTAATTAATTGGTAATGTTGACGAAGACCGGAATTAAAGGAACAAGAATGAAAACGGCGATGATAATGATTGGGTTGAGAAGTATTTACTGATATGTGATAATCGTGGTAATTTATGAGACATGCGTTGGACACAGTTGGTCCAGGAGGGTGATAGTAATCTATGGGTGAGTACGTATTTGTCAATTTTTCTCTCAAGGCTATCCACTGATGGGGCTGTGATAACTTTATCTGGAAGTACATTTGGAATGGGGCAACTCGTAATGGGAAAAAGTGGGGGGCGTGCTCTGATGTTCATTCTCTGATATGCAATCTGTCGCGAGTTGTCTCGAGGAGTTTGGCGATAATGTTGTGGTCAAATGCTCGAGTTTGATGAGTTGTCATGTCTCAGATGTTATATTTCATTTTCAGGTCAACTCTTATCCTCCGATAGCTCAGAAAGAACAGTTTCAATGTTTGGAGTTTACCTTCGTAAGCTTCGTATTTTATCTCTGTCTTTCACTTGGTTTAACGTCTCTCTACTTGGTTTAAGAGACTTGTTTCCTTTGAAGAGAGAGGGTTCAATGACGTTGAAGACCCCAAGGTGAGGCCGTGGGTACATTTTAACGATAGGAACGACTCGGGTGATTGCACCAATTTGTCTTCGCCTTAATTGGAGAGTCGAGTTGGTCTTGGTTACAACCTAAATATAGTTTGAGCTGTTTACAAGTCCAATCTCAGAGGAGACAATCAGGAGGTGATTTGCAAGGAGGTTGTAGGAGATTTGTGTCAAATGAGACAAAACGTTCATGACCAGACATATCAACAAGTTAGGCTTCAACATACTGTACTATTGTATTAAGGTCCTTTTGGAGCTCAAGTGAATTCTTTACACATTTTGAAGACCTCCACATCGCTGCGTTGTCCTCGTAGATCATTAACACCTATCAAATTACATCTAACAGGACGTTAATTTGTTACGTTAAATTGTCACTTGTGAAATTCATGAAGATGAGGCCTTCTAACTCGTGTGCACTTTACTTACCTTACTATTATTATTATTACTACTACCACTAACCGTTCTTTAGGTAGTTTAACAGCCAAAATAACGGTTGATTATCGAACCTCATCTTTGCAATCGTCACTATAAAAACTGCATTAGGTAATGTATCAAAGGCTTTTGCGAAGTCTGGTAACATTACATGTAGATACGATGTTCAACAATAGTTTCGCTTTATTTTAATTGGTGTATAGTTTTTATATATTGTGATATTTTTTCCGTGTTTTTGTATATATGTATATTTTTCTCCGTACATTCTTGTATTTGATATTTCGCTATGATGGATCAGAGACTTAAGGTACTCAAGTTGATGACTATGTCCTCACCTTCGTTTCATCAAATGCCCTTCTGTTCAGACAACATCGAAGCCTGGTTTTGCTACGCAGAAGACGACTTCACCGAGCACGGTGTGATCAACAAATGTGCACAATTCCTCGCAGTAGTCAAGGCACTACCGTGAGAATTCAACAGGTACGTAGCACCTAGTATGTTTCCTAGTGATGGTTCGGAACCCTACGAAACACATAAACGATCTATCCTTAAACGCGGAGATCTAACCGATCGACAAAGGTTAGACCAACTCCTTAATAACGTCGACCTGCAACACGGTTCTGTGATAGACATGTTACTAAGAATGAGCGAGGTCGTCGGCCAAAGAACTTTCGATGATGCCCTATTCAAGTTTCTTATCTAAACTTCCTCAACAGCTGCAAGCTGCGCTGGCCTTGTTTCAAAACAACGCCATAGACGAGCTGGTTGCATCTGAGGACCGCATCCCAGAAATCACGAAACCTTCTAACGTCGAGGTTTTTTCAGTCAGAGAAACGCCTCAAGCGACACCGAATAATGTTACGGAACTATATCATAGGCTTACACGTTATTTCAGATTTTGTAATGAATGTAGATGGTCACAAACCCCACGAAGAAGTACTTCACGAGATGGTTAACCCCGACTGGTGCTGATGTTATAGCCAGTATGGAAAGTCGTCTAGAAATTACAGAAAACCCTGCCACTTTCCCGACTCAAAATCGACCAACACGAAAACTAATTGGTGACACTTCCCAGCACGTCTTAATGGCAAAAGTAACCGGCAAACACAGCCGTCTGCCATACATCACAGATGTGATAACGAGAGTTCGCTACCTTGTCGATACTGGAGCAGAAGTTAGCGTTCTTTCAGAGAATTCTATCGACCGGCTTCATGAATCAGTTTTAAACCTACAGGCGGCAAACGGAAAGCCAGTCGATACATACGGTGAAATGTACGTTTACTTTAACGTAGGTTTACGCAAACCCATTCACTGGATCTTTGTTGTTGCAGATGTCTTTATTTCAATCATTGCTATAGATCTCCTACAACACCAAAAGCTACTCATCGATACGCGCAAACGGAGGCTAGTAGATAGGAATACTAATTTATCTGTTTGCGTATCTTCTTCTTCCGGTCGCAGATTATCTCCTGTCACACGAAGACACACAGTAGATCCATTCTATCAACCATTACTCGATAAGTATTCAGGGATACACCGACCGCAACCGAAAATGCAGTATGTAACCAGTAATGTTAAACATCACCTCACGTCTACAGAACGATCGGCGTCCAACTGGCGACTATCGGCGATTGAATGCAAAAATCATTCCTCATCGTCTCCTGTTGCCTCACATTCACGATTTGAAAGCTACCTTGAAAGGTACAACTGTCTTTTCGAAAAACTACTTGGTTAAAGTATATAACCAAACCCCTATGGCTACTGATGATATTCCGAAAACCTCTAGCATAACTCCCTTCGGACTCTTTGAAATTTTGCGAATACCTCTTGATCTAAGAAACGTTGCCCAAACTTTCCAACGGTTAATAGATTACATTTTTCAAGGTCTCAACTTCGTACATGCGTATGTTGATGACTGCTTGATGGAAAGTTCAGACAGAGAATCTCATTTCAAGCATCTGGACCTTGTTTTCAATCGACTGCAAAAGCGTGGCGTTACCGTAAACATTCAGAAATGCCAAATCGGAACCGACGCCTTAGATTTCCTAAGACACATTACTCTAAGAAGTGGCGGTGAAAATCCATTAGTCTGGACAATACCGCGCGGCAAGCATTCTCCACTGTTAAGGGACTTATCGCGAATGCAATCATGCTCGCACATCAGGACACCCAAGCATACGTTAGTATCGCAGTAGACGCACCAGGATCAGCGATCGGAGGAGTATTACAACATTTTGTTAATCACTCCTGGCAACCTTTGTCATTTTTCTCGAGACGGTTGCCAGACAATGCGTCGAGGTACAGCGCTTGCGGTAGGGAACTCCTTGATATGTATTGTGCTGTACGGCATTTTCAGCACTCCAATAAAGACCGAGATTTCACTCTTTTCACTGATCATAAACTTCATACCTTTGCTTTAGATTCATTTTCAGACAAATACTCCCTTCGAGAGCCTCGACAACTGGACTAATGTTCGCAGTTTACTTCAGATATTCAACACGTTTATAAAGCAAACAATGCAGTCGCAGACGCCTTGTCTCGCAGAACTTCCTTGGACATTTTCCCGCCCAACTTCAAAAAGAAGACACTGAACTTCAGCACGAGTTATCGTCAACAACACTTAAACTGCGCATTCAATTGATGGGAACAGGTAAAGAAACTTTACCATGTGACACACTGGTAGGGATCGCCCAATCAAGTGGAAACATTATCGACACAATGTCTTCAACACATTGCACAAACTTTCTCAACTAAGCTTATAGCAGGATGGTTTTGCTGGCCTGGTATGAACCAAGACGTGAGGGAGTGGGCACGCTCGTGTGTAAGCTGCCAGAAATTTTAGGTGAATAAATACAACAAATGTCCTCTAGGCTCATTCAAAACTCCTGATGCTCGTTTCGACCATGTTCATCTGGATTTGGTAGGTCATCTACTGGATTCACCTCTTAACCTGCGTATACCGTTTTACTCGACGGGCAGAAGCAGTAATAATCAAGGACATTACTGCTGAAATAGTGGCCCACGCCCTTGTCAAACTATGCGTAGCAAACCTCGGCTTCCCTTCAACCATCACTACAAATCGTGGACGCCAGTTCGAATCCGGACTTTTCTGTTGTCTGACCGCACTATTAGGAATCATCTGCTTCCGAAGGATCGCCATCCACCCACAAACAAATGGGTTGGTAGAACGCTTTCATCGACATCTAAAAGCTTCACTATCAGCTGAAAACGTTTCACAGTGGACCGACGCTTTTCCACTCGTCTTACTAGATATTCACACTGCAGTGAAGGGTGATATTGGATGCACTGCAGCTCAACTGGTCCATGGAACGACACTTCGACTTCCAGGATAATTCATGGCTCCTTTGTCTTCAGTAAACATGTGTCTAACCTCCTACACGAACGGGCTTACAAAGGCAATGCGTTCAGTTAAACCTGTTTCCACTCGACCGCAATAAACTGATGTTTTCGATCAACCTGACTTATGATATAGTACACACGTCTTCGTTTGTCGAGACTCAGATCGACGACATCTCGAATCAGCATTTGAAGGACCCTTCAAATTTCTTCAACGCGAACCCAAGTACTATATAGTCAGTAAGAACGGAACTGACGACATAGTCAGCATCAACAGCATCAAAGAAGCGTATCTAAAATGAAATTCTATCCACGTCGATATTCCTTCAGTACAATCGAACGACACGGATCCGACACTTATAATATCTCAACCAACAGCCAACACGCACGATGATACTTCGATAGTATCTAAAAATAAACTTAAAACAACGCGTTCCGGAAGAAGAGTAAGGTTTCCAGAACATTTAAACGATTATTGCACGTAAGACACTGGTCTACGTTTTGTTTCGTCTCGATTTTCCTTTGTATTATATATAATATAAAAAACCAGTTTTAATCTGCTTATATTTATATATTTATTCCAAAAACGTTTGTGCTAATATATGTATATTAAAAATTTTAAAAAACAAACAAAAAGACATTCTGTAAAAAATCGTTTTTTAACGCTATCGCATGTCTCACAAGTTGAAATTTCTTAAACTCTCCACAAAACCCATTCTGATACTATCGCATGTGCATGGGTTTTTCTTTTTTCTATTCGCTTTGTGACTTTACGCATGTACTTGTGTAATTCAACATGCACTTACACTTTTTTTCCAAGACGGCTGGAAAAGACAGAACGATGAAGTTTACGATGAACTGAAATTTTCATTCTGCCTTGTTTCTTTAATACTGTATTGTATTGCATAGTCCCTTATAGTAAGGAAAGATAACCAAAAGCTTCGGAACACGACAAGCTATCAGAAGAGTGTTCAACAAAGATAAACTTATCGCTGGCCACGTCTTAGTGTCATCACTACCCCACTAGGGAGGGAGTGATCTGTACCGATAAATAAATCCCCAAAATAAATAGCTCTGTAAGTTTTCGACATTGGATGATCACCACATTAGTTTTAATGGATTCACATAGCTGAAGGCGCTCGGTCATGCATCCGGTCTAGATCACGAGTTAGAACACCGTGCTCAACATCCCCTGCAATCGCTAGTCAGATTAGATAAGTCGATTCTCGATATATTGATAGCCTATCAAATATATCTTCGAACCTCTTTGCTTCTGTCTTATGATTTCACCTGGTGGGTATGATTCATAGTAGAATGAGTTACTGGTTAAAGTCTTGTCAAACTCCAAATACCTGTGGCATCTTCAAAATCTTTTAAACATAGTTCACACTGTATAATTAATTGTATACTTACCAATCGTTAACATCGATGGTGTATATGTGTTGACATTAATAACTGTCACAGGATTTTAGTTGTGAACTTAACGCTCAGTGTTTGTTCTTTATCGTTTCTCGTACTGAAGAACATATATTCTGGATAAATAATGCATCTTCGGGTCTCATTAGGTCTGATATTCATTTAACCATATGCTATGCATCTGAACGAAGCCAATAATCACTCATGTGCGACTCAAATCCTTTCATTAATTATTTGCTTTACAATACGAGATATTCGTTGATAGGGCTGGTTTACTGTGATTCTAGATAGTAGAAGCATAAACACATACATCTGACTCTATATCACCCCTGCGAGTTTGAAGTCAAAGGTCAAGTTATGTTTCATATAGTGGATTGGTGATGGATTGAGCTAAAGTGGTTATTCGTCAGTAAATCGTTTCAGTGAAAATGCTGTCATTCCTCTATTTAATCCAGTAATTCGCCATTGAAAGAGTTCTAACGAGTGTTTCGACCGTCAAAATTAAGATCTCAGAGGGCGCATTAACGTGGCCACTTATGTTTAGTGTTCTAAGAATATAGCGGTAACACTTAAAGTTCACGGGAACAGTAGGTGCTAAAGTGTAACGCATACATGTATTTAGGGTGTTAAAGTCGATTTGTAAATCTCCATGAGAAGGGATAGTTATTGTTTAGTGCATTCTTTGTCACTAGCGAACTGTAAATAATCTTAAGATTATCATTTATCCAGTTTTTCTATTTTGTATCTTAAAATGAAGTCATCGCACTTTTCGTTTTACTTGATCACATCAGTTCGTACTATAACCGCGCGTAAAATATACTTCGTTTGAGCTTGTCAACAAGATGTCGTTGTTTTCTACTCCTGCTTTAAACAACTATGTATCTAGCGCTACAACCTTTATTAAGAAATCTATAGAGACGAAAGTGTTCGATGATGGTGGGTCAAAGGGTGCCTTTATCGTAAGTACCTATAGATGCTTGTATGATTTTTTAATGTATATATGTCGTTTGGTTACAATTTATAGGTCGTATATATGAAAATTAATTTTTCATCTAAGTGGTAATTTTGCGATTCTTGGTAATCACCATTTTTGATGGTTACGTTTTTTATACGTGGATATTCATAAATATGTTTAAGCTGCAAGTCGTTGATCATAAATGTCATGAAAACCTCGTTTGCAATCGCGAAATCATTGATAATGAGATGTCACAGCGTACTTTATAATGTTGAAGAGGAATCGCTGTCTGCTAGTGATTTGATGCACAAAATTGTCAGATTAATATTATCGGAGCTGTGCTTCGATGGATGTAGAGCCATACCTCATAATAATTCTCTTCTAGTAAGCTTGTGTTTGTCTTTAATTTTCCTTCAAATGGACTAGTTGAAAGCAAAAATCCCAGGTACGATTGTAGATTCAAAGTGTTATTCATTTGGTTCACTAAGCACCAAATATATGAGGTATAATCCAAGATAATGTGTACCCGAAATAATCACGTAATGAGGATACCACTCCTATCTCTGGACATAGATAGTAAATTTATTAGAAGTCCGCTACTAAAGCACCTTGTAAGTGAGAATAAGAAGTGTGTGAACAGTGCATTTATAAGCGAAAACCAGTGTGTCGTATGAGCAGAGAAAAAAACGGTAACGGTGAATTAAGTTTCAATTTAAGCAATAATTTTACAATCACTTATATTAAATGCACAAGTTATATGGAACTATGTAAATGCGAATAATAACAAAAGTTATCAACAAAATAAAATCACGTTACCTGTCTCCACAGACATAACAATATTTCAAATTCATTAGCATTTAAGATATTGCTTTGTTTCGGAAAGAACCTATGCGTCCAGTTATTTCTCGTCAATTTTTACCATTGTAAAAGAATTTGAGATGGGAAAATCCAAGCAATTAGTAGGGATCTCTTTTAAAATTAGAATGGTCATCTAGCTCTAAATCTTTAATCTCAATAAGTGGGTTTATGTCCTTCGATATTATTTATCCGAACACCAACTGTTAGGCTCTATCTTGTAGTAAGTCATCAGAGCTCACGTTAGAGAAATTTCAAAATAAAATGAGACATCCATTCTGTGTTTTTTTAGTATTTTGCCATCTAACTGATATACCAACTCATGGTCAAACTTATTTGTGATGTGATAAATGTTACTTACTCTAACTTTTTCAGTTTTAAACTCTGAATTAAAAATCATTATGTTTCACCCTAGTCAATTTTTTGTTAGTGAAATAACTCACATGAAGAATACAACACTATTTTGGTCTTATTTATCTCTCATATTTGGTCCTGGGGTTATCATATTTTGACGAAAATTATGGTTGATTTTATTTGACTATCAATAACATTATTATGTACAAATGTAGAATGCAACTGTTTATGTAATTGCGAATCGATAGTTAATAAAAAAAGTTTGTTGGTATGTATAATAAACGTGTATTTTTACTGAGTATTAGCTATTATTCATGAAGGACGAGGTTTGTCAGTAAGAGTGAACTCTTCATAAAAAATTAGGAAAATGATAAATTTATATGTGGAGTAAAGTCTTAAAATTTGAGGCAACACGATAATGTTTTCTAATCTAGGATAAAAACACTTAATGTTAAGCCTTTGGTAAATAAGAAGTATTTGCAATCTCGATAAAATGAATCTTTATTCAAGGATTCGAAAAAAGGTTATTTAAGACCATTGTTGTAAAATCAATAAAATTCTGAGTTATTTGAGTTGTACATGACTGTATTATGATTGGTTATATCATTTCAGATATTTGATTTTACTCGCGTTAGACAGAATAAAATAGTCTATACATGATAAGCCCTTACGAAATTGCTTCAACTAATTTGTTCGATTACTTAAAGAAGAGTTAAGCATGTTACATCCTATTGGTCTTTTGAATTGTACCTGAACCTCTTCCAAAATCACCAACTTGCTCTCTCAAACTTCAATGAGACGAAATAGGTTTCTATTATATTGACTAGCACTACTTTTTTATGAACTCATATAATGTGGTTATCTTAGCATAGAAAGCAAAACAAAGGAGATTTAATGTCCTAAAACAATATGTGAAGGGATCAAGTCCTTGTGATGGTTATGTTGAAATAAATATTGGTACATTTAGTTGTTAAGATAAAAGATGCTAAAATGAATTTTTCTAAAGTAACCGTCTGTTAATTGCATTATGAATTACTCTCACTCTTAGTTGTTAATCCACTTGACTCTTGGTAGTCGTATTTTCAGTTTATACCTCACCTCACCTACTTTGGCTTATGGACAACTGATTAATATCATTAGTCTTTATACACAAAAATGAGTTGATAAACTTATGTTTAGTAGACGAGTTAACATTACGACTGTTAAAGGTAAAAATTAAACTGTGCAATTATGGGACAAATTTAGTGGATAATTTTCTTTTTTCATCCTTTATGTCAAGGGTATGAATGCACCATTGATTGGACGTTATGGCATAACGATCAGTTCAGGTGGTACAATCAATCTTGGCCGTTTCAAAGATCCACGTGCAACACTTCGTGATGCACGTGATAACAAAGTGGTTGTACCACCGGATTATGGTAATACGGCAAACAAGCCTATACCAGCCACAAGAGGTGGTGATGTATCCTCCGCATCATTATCGTATGACCAATTAAAAAAACAACTGCTTCAAAGTGGTAAATTATTCGAAGATCCGGAGTTCCCACCTAATGATAAAAGTTTATACTTCAGTCAAAGTCCGCCAAAACAAATTGAATGGTTACGTCCGCATGTGAGTTGCAGCTTCTTATTTCTATAATCAGTTAAATTTGGTTATGTTGCATTCACTTATTTAAAGATTCGTGTCTATTCTTCGATTCATTTACGTTCACTTATCCGCAAAACGGTTATATTCATCCACTAAATACTATTATGATTGTCACTTAACAAATAAATGGTAAAGTATATGCCATCAAATAATTCAACTTGCCAAAAAATATTTGTATAAATGAAACAGCGATCAAAGATTTACTTTGAGTTTTTATCTAAACATTTTGTACAAAAAGCCCTGCATAGTAATATTAAATCATCTATCCTGTTAGTTTATTACATATTTTTGCTCAATATGCTATGGTCAGTAATGAGATTTAAGCTCATTAATAATTCATAGAATAAACTTGTTTTTCAGGTGACTAGAGTGGTACAAAACAAAAGCATTGTTAGACAAAGCTATCACATAAGTTACGATAGTGCTACCTATGAAATGTACTTGGTAAATCTCTAAAAGTGGTAGAATAAGGATTAAATTTCAAAATCATTTGGAATTGTATTGGTTGACATTGAATTGTAATAATCATTACTAGCTTCTATCTTTAAATTCAATGTTGTTATGCTGGATGTGTTTGTCACTACTTTGTTCTGACTTAAGAGTAACATGCCAAAATATACATCAGAGGCGTCGTTTTTCTAGATCTTAGCAGTTCTGTCAATTTCTATAAGTTTAAATCTATTTGAAGTTCATAATTTCTCATAACATCAATTATCAGTTCCTTTTTAGTACCAAATAGGAGTGTTAAAAGGAATAACATATTACTGTTTTACAATTGTAACTCACAAATAGAATTACTGATGGAGTTTTAGGCTAGGTTCCATCACCCTAGTTATTATCTACAGTAAGTTAAAACTGGGGAGCTCCCGGTCACAGCGGTGGAAAAATGTGTTTTCATTAAAAGAGTCCATGAACGGAGCTGTGATTTCACACAAGGCTTTGTTTACAAAATATCGAAATATTTTAATTCATATACTGACGGGTATTATTTGTAAGAGAAAACAAATTGCTAAAGTAATCATAAGTTTTAACCCTGTCAATTCACCCCTGAGATTTGTGAAGTGACGTCTGAATTTCTACTAGTTAAAGTTAATTTATGGTAATGATAGTTGATCATTTGATCAAGAAAATGAAGCCGAATTTGCATGATTTAGGTCTTCATTCAAGATGTCATCAGCTTGAAGGTATATTAGTTCCATTTAAAAGCCACGAGAGCTCATTTCAATGTAAAAGGTTGAAAAAAACACTGAACAGTGGTTCATACGTTTTTAAATCTTGATAAAGTTGCAGAGGTTCCTTCTTGAGCACTGAAATACAAGAGTGTTATCTTTAAACAGGTCCTAGTTGAATATTATGTGTGTTTGGTGTTCCGAAAAAGAGGATAATGAAGTTTTTAAGTCGTATAAACAGCATAATGAGTTTGATTTCAACTATTATTTTCTACCCTTTCCTATTATAAAGGACTATAATTTTCAGTCCATGAAGACTTTAGTTGTTGACCTGGATCATGTAGGTAGATACAGATTTCTTGGTTGGAGTTCGTGTGCTATCTGGCACTTGTAGAAAAGACGTGCGTACGGTTTTTAAGAAACTGATAATCCCTTTGATATCCGAATATATACCAACCCGGTTCACAACTTGAGGCACTAACTCTGTGCAATTTTGGCCGTGGCTGACCTCATTTAAGGCTGATATATGTACATAAATATTTCACTGAGTGGTGGCTACTGGTATATTTATTTATTTCATGATACTAATCGAATTTCATCAAACAAGTTCTTCCTGATCATGTACAACTTGTTGACGAGTATTGACTAGCACAAAAACCTAGATCTAGAGTATCCTACTGACTATGTCTTTGAAGTATTGCTCGTATATCCCCGAACCACCTAGTAAGTAATGCAGTTGTTAGGAAATGGGTATTAGATAAGAAAGGCGAATAAATTGATGAAGTAGTGAAGCTTCATCAGTTCAGATGACTGATATATGTGTTAGGTTTGCCCAACCACAGACTGCCCAGACGTGCAATGTTTTATGGTGTAGGAGTAGGTTGGAAGAAAGCTAGGGACGGGCAGACAAAAACATGGCACATATCTATGAAATCAATGTCAAGTGGATTGAACCATGTTGGTAGGTATAGACTACCTGGTTAGAATCCACGAGATGATAGCAGCCGATGGTTAGAGACCTTGAATGACATGGCTCAAAATCGTTTCAATTGGGGCAGGTATATCCAATCTTCGTGTTCTTCCGAATTCTTCATGTCCCCTATTTTTTCTCTATCCAAATTTATTTCACTGGATTATACTCCTTAAATAACGTCTTCAAAACCCAATCTTTCCGATTACTGCTTATATTTTTACTACCTCTATCACTATGGGATTTGAATCGACAACTGCATGTCTGTGTTAATGTGGCATGGCAACTTGAACTGATGTACATACGTATGAAGTTCTACATTGTTACTGACTGACTGATAAAGCATAGTAAAGAAGGTGCTGTGAGTTACTTGGACTTGTGTTCCCAATTGGAACTTGACAAATAAACTCCAATCAACAACAACAACAAAACAAACATAACATTAATCACTATTCAGTAATCAATCAATACAAAAAATCAGTCAATAGTTTATCTATTATTGATCATCTCTTTTCAACCTAATAGATTAATGATTTTTCATAGGATAGATCAATAAATTGATTACCTAGTATTATTATATGTTACCCTGATTGAAAAATTTTCATCTTTACTTTTATGATTAAAATAATCACTTAGATAAGGGGTAGATTTTAAAATGATTATTATAAATGAAGGAAACATTGTATAGTTACATTCCATTCCCATACATCAATTTAGTGTTGCTACTATATCTAAGTAATAAGAATACTAATACTAATAGTAATAGTAAGAATAATAATGATAATAATCATAATAGTAGTAGAATGAAATGAGAGAAACGTTTCTATTGAATAGAACAGTTCTAGTTTTGGACAAGTCGCTGATTTGTCCAAGTTTATATATTCATGTTTATACGTGTATAGTTTGTTTGTTGTATTGCATGTTGTGTTTAATAAATGTGCGCAGCTTTCTAGAATAGTTGGTAAGTGAGAGAGATAGAGAGAGAGAGAAAAGAGAGGACAATATAGACGGAAATATTTAAGGCAAATTATTGATCTGTTTTTGTAATTAAAGTGATTTATTCCGGTTATTTTATGATAATGCTGAGAGTATAGTGCAAGATCGAGCTCAAAATGATCAATGGAAATATTGAGCAAGTTGTTAATGAATCAAGAAACTATTTTTATAGATAAATAGCTTGTAGAAAAATAAAATAAAACGTAATTAGATTAACTTGGTATTGTTTATTTGAATCTTCCCATTGATGTTTTGGATTTCAATTGATCAGTCTCTTATTGAAGTGAACGGCGCTGGGTTGGAGTCTCAAAGTGTACATCAACTCTGAGATGCAGGTACATCCAGCTGACCAATCCCAAATAGGACGAAACGCGATTCAAACTGGATTTCATTGCTACCCACTATCCATCTTTGCTTATAAAGCTTGTGACTTAAGGCAATATCGAGGCAGTTCGTGCAGGATGCACATATGTCAATAAGAAACTGATCAATTGCAGTTCTAAACATTAATTGTAAAATTCAAGTGAACAATATCAAGTGAATCTAAACTTCACTCCATTACACAAGCAAGTAGCTATCAGGACTCAGCAGATAAGTGGATCACGCAATGGTGTTTGAAGCGATCGGTACTGGGTTGGAGTCTCAGAGTGTACATCAACTCTGAGATGCAGGTACATCCAGCTGACCTATCCCAAATAGGACGAAACGCGAGTCAAACTGGACTCCATTGCTAATCACTATCCATCTCTCCTCAAAACGTAATTAGATTTTGCATCTCTTAAGAATCTATTAAATTTTCCTACAGATTATGCTGTCTATGAGAGAAAATGTCATAAAATATAAATTCGTCCTTATGGATGGATATAAATTATCCGTCTCCACAAATCCTAATAACAATCCAAATGGATTTGTAAGAGTTTGCACAATATTCTTGGTTAGGATTAGGATTAAGGATTTCAGCTTAGGATTTTCATCATGAACTGACATTAGCTGTAATTTTGATGGAGTTTTGTTCTCGGAGTTGGATGAAGCCTTTGGTCATGAAGCTTTTGATTGGTCTTCTGAACGATCCACCTGAACTACAAATCTTCATCATCATCATCTCATCAATTGTAATAAAACAGTACTTTACAGTGTTTACACAAGAATCTAATTAGTTTGTTTATAAAATATATTGCCATTAGGTTTGTATTTAAGGGTTAGGAATTCGGGTCAGTTACTTGTTGTAAACAATCTTAAAAGACAGGATCATTCATTTCAAGCGTTCAATACTATCATTTTCAATTTATTTTTGAAAAATGTGATTTCTTATTAACATTTTAAGCAGTATAGGAACGCATGTTTTTTTTTTACTGACGGATCACGTTCCCGATCCCAATCAACTTATTTCTATGATGTAATTGTACCATAGATATTTCTATCGAATTTGAAGAGAGTAAACATTAACTAGCTTAGAATACCTTGTTTGTTATAATCAGCTAGTAATAACATGAAAATGATTCAAATAGATTAAACTTCAACTAAACTCTCATACATAACAGCATGAATTATTCTCAATGATGATATGAGAGAAAGTAATTTAAGTCTGTCTAATTATTTTGATGATAGAAATGCTATACAACGCCATTCAGTCCAAAATAGGTGCCATACATTATAATGATCAGTTGTAATGAAAGTTTGTTAGTAAGCTCACATTATACGTAAACATAAACAGATGAAGGATGTATTCATAGAATATTCAGTAGAAATGACTAAACAAACAGTCAAATATGTGAGATCAGTTGGATCTATTTGCAAGTTTGCTGATTTCTATCATGTACAAACTATTTTTTAAATTCATTATAATGATTGTACATTAATATCAGCCCCCAAATGTCCTGGTACGGCCGAGAGTGCGGAGAGCCAACTCTCCTTATCCAAATGCTTTCACATGGCTACATGCATACAACCACTGCCACACAAGTCCTACTCACTGTCTTCTCGCGACATAACTGTTGTCCACGAAATTGAGAGGACGAAAAGAGAATGTCCGACACTAACCGGGTTGGTGGATATGGAGGATCCACCTAGTGGAGTTGGTAAACCGCGACTCCAAACCAATGGTACACATGGGCTGGCTCCAGGATGCTAAGGGAACAAATGGCCTCATCAGTCTCGCGCGCGATCGCATAACCATTAGACCACTGTCATCTATTTTCGATGTCAATCATTTGTTCATAATGAGCGACATTCTTTTGTGGGTAAATCCAAAAGTGTACACATTGAGAGTACGAAACCTAACTACATATTGATATATCCGTAAACGTGACTTATATATTGATCCGTCAATATTAGTCGAATAATTGAATGTCATAATTAGTTGTTTTTTGTGTCATATGATGATGTACCTTTTTTTCAATATTATACATTGAATTAATTTACAGATGGCAGTAGTGTTTACTTCACCTTTTTGTCCATGTTTTTAATCAATATGTACAAAATTAAAACGTTTCGAAGGTGGATAAAATTATGCAAGCCAATTATGCATTATATGGGTAGATTGAAATGTGTACATTTGACTTGGTAACTTAAGCAGTTTGCATCGTGTACAAATGGAGAATCTTGTTGTTTTAAAATTTGAAAACCTTGTGCAATGATTTTCGATTAACGATTTAAATTTGTTGTGCTTATGGGAAACTAAAGAAAGTGATGACGTTACTTCTTGAGTTTTCTTGAAACGCTTTCAAGAGTTGTGACTTAGGCCCATAAATGCCCTGGTACGGCCGAGAGTGGGAAGAGTCAACTCCCCCTCTCCTAATGCTCTCACATGGCTACATGCATACAACCACTGCCACACAAGTCCTACTCACTACCTTCTCGTGACATAACTGTTGTCCACGAAATTGAGAGGACGAAAAGAGAATGTCCGACACTAACCGGGTCCGGATCCCGCGTGGTGCGGGATCGTGGAGGCGCACTGCTGAGGAGTCCCATACCAAGACAAAACGGCCGTCCAGTGCTTCCATGTTTTCAATGGTAGTCTAGCTTCAACTGACTCATGATTTCAACCTGTGAAATTTCTAAAACTCTCCACAAAACGCATTCTGATGATAATGATAATATTGATTAAATTAACGATTTTATTGAATGTTGTACACACACATACACAAACCGGTTATGAATGATAAAATTTATATGAACTGATGAAAAAATTTTATACGATATTAACTAAGTGTAAAACTGTTTATATATATATATATATGTTCGTGTTGAGTAGAGATAGGAAGATGGTCGAGCAATTTTGTAGATTAGTTGAATTAAGACCTTAACACCGTTGGATGCCGACTCAGAGATCCAGAAGTTAAGCATTCACGCACGAGACTGAAGGTCCTGTGCTCAAATCCTACAAGCGCGATCATGGATGCACACTGCTGAAGTGTTCCACAATAGGACGAAACGGCAATTCAGTGGTTCCAGGTTTTCAATGATTGTCTGACACTAATCAGTTCACGATTATTGGTTTAGATGATTGATAAACATATAGACTTTGTGAATAGGATCTATAAAATTCTTCTTCTTCTAAATTGTGTCATTCTAATCCTCTTTATTTATAAATGATTTGGTGGCAACATCTTAGAATAAAGAGTTGAATAACGCCAATTCAATTATCGACTAGCTTATGCTTGTAAGTAAACTTTGTTGACGAGTTCAGTTTAGTACAAAACTTAGTACAGATATAGTTTCATATCCGACTACTTTAACTAACTTAACATCTATTATTACATTAGACTTTTGTATATATATTGAATGTCAAATTTGAAATTTTTTAAATTTTACTTCAGTTTTCAGTTTGTTATAAGTATGGTTAGATACATGAAATCTTGTTACACAGTGTTTCCACGTTTTCCCTGATGGTCTAGCTTCAATTGACTCAAGTTTAACAATTCATGTAGTTGATATACATATATATTAAAGTGATTAGAACGCCACAACAAAACAATATTGGTCTAAAACGATCACTAGAATTCTTATTTCATTCTATTTCAGTAGTATCTATCATCCGTATCTTCAAGATAGCTGACAACTCTATCACAAACATCATCCTAAATCACTCAATATGATGAACAGATAGTAGTTAGAAAAGTAGATTATTTGATGTCAATTTAATGGTATGAAAGATGAAAACTCACAAGAAACGCTAAAAGATCTAGGTATGATTATTGTTGAATTCATAGGTGAACACTTGATGAGTACCAAACAAAGACGAAACATTTGTCTAGTGTTTCCTAATTTTAATTGGTTCTTTAACTAAAATCGGTTTATGATACAAATTTACTGAAGATGTAGGTATATTTATTCACTTTTCAACAGTTCATCATAGAATACCATTATTCTTCTTCTTCTTCAGGAAATATGTCCAAATCCTGAATTTATTACTGGCGGTGCATCACGATTTGATGTACGTCAAGGTGAATTAGGTAAGTATTGATTAATGAGAAGAAATAGATTTGCCAAAATCCAGTATTCAATTGTTATTATTCAATATTTATATTTTGAAAAGTATGAAATTTCTTGATAAGTAGCTGATAATTTTGTCTTTAATAATGTTTATTATCAGTTATCCGATCTTAATATTGAAGAAATATCATTATCAGTCAGTCAGCTACAATGTAGGACCATGTACATATATGCATCGGTCCAAGTTGTCACACCTCATTAGTACAACAAGATGAACACCAAATTCATAGAAGTAGTTAATTCAGTGGTGGTAATACATAAAAGAAAGTTTGCATATAAGAACATAGTACAGGGAGAAATAATTAGTTCGTAGAAAGAAAGATATGAAGTGATTTTAATTTCATATTTTAAGGGAAGAAAAAGAGTGTATACATCGACTCCATTGTGATCGGTTCTGAGCCATGTCACACACAGTCTCCAACTATTGGTTATAATAGTCACACGAACCTCAACTATGTAGTCTGCATCTACCAACGTGGCTCAGACCAGACATTAGTGACTTCAAGCACTGATGCCTTGTTTTAGTTTGGTCGACCCTAACCTTCTTCTAACCATCCTCAACATTAGTCAACATTGCGCGTTGTGGTAATCGGAGTTCAGGCATACTTAACACGTGCCTCAACCATCTCAGTCGATGAAGATTCACAACTTCATCAACTGATTTACCGTCATTTCCTAATATCTTGTGTCTAACCTCATTATTACTTACCCGATGATACCAGCAGATGTAAGCACTACTAGTAATTTACGATTATCTGCTACTCTTAATGGCCATGTTGCGCAGCCCTAAAGTAGAACAGAACGAACTACTCAGTATACTTGTCCTTTTATTGATAGATAGATATCTCACCTTCGCCATAGGTGACGTAAGTTGGCAAAAGCCAAACGAGCTTTCTGAATCCGTGCAGTGATTTCGTAAAACATCAACCCATTAGGATTGATCAAACTTCAAAGATAAATGAAGCTATCAATGCGTTCGACTACTTCACTCTCTATCCTTAATTCAGGTGTTGATGTAGGCCAGTCCTGAAGCAATAACTTGCATCTTAAACATTCTGGCACTATTGGTCAGTGCTACTTAAAAGACTGCATTTTATCAGCATCTTCATCAATCTTCATCAAGTTGTAACATTATTTTATTTCATTCTATTTATTAAGTTAGTTTATCACTTAAGATTTTATTGTTGAGATCATATTTGAGAATCAATGAATCAGTATCAAAATGATCTCATTATTGAACTATAATCAAGTATAAACATTTTTCCCATGATTGATCATTGCAAAGGCTTCTTTATATTGAATAAAGTTGACTTTTATAAATGGTTTAATAGAACTCTAAAACAAATCAATCTTAATAGTTGATCCTTATTATAAGAATATCTATCTATTCAAATGATTGATAGAACATTTTCAATTCATTGAATATAAAGAACCCTTTGAATAAAATCATTCTATATATATCAATACTATTCGTAATACATTGATGTAATTGAACTCAACAATGTTCACATATAAATGATTACGCAATAGTGATTCATAAACTAATGTATAAGAAAAATATGTACAATATTACAATTTATATTATTATCAGAATGGATTTTGTGCAGATTTTTTTTATTAGAAATTTCACTGGTTGAAATCATAAGTTAATTGAAAAATCTAGATCACCATGGAAAACTTGGAAACACTGGATGGCTGTTTCGTCTTAGTATGGGACGCAAAACTGATAAATCCTGGGTTCGAATCTCGCGGGGGGGGGCGGGATCGTGGATGCTCACTGCTGAGGAGTCCCATACTAGAACGAAATGGTCATCCAGTGCTTTTAGGTTTTCCATGGTGGTCTAGCTTCAATCGACTCATGATTTCAAATAATTTATATTGTGAATATTATTCTAATCTAATCACTGTACTACTTTAACATGAAGAAAGATTTCTTTCAAGAAAAGTCAATAGTATCTAGACATTATTGAATAGATTATGTAATCCAAGAATTATTTTAAATAGTTCAGTTCATGAATTAATTGAAATTAGATCATCATAGAAAACTTGAAAGCATTGAACAGCCATTTGGTCCTATTATAAAACTGTTATAACTTGTGACCTGTATGCCCTGTTAATGTATAATGTAATAATACTGCCAATTAGAGAAGAAGTGAATTATCGATTGGATCAATGATGTGTGTAAAATCCGTATGTACAGTCTAGAGTCCTGATTGGTCCTGCTCCTTGACTAGCCAAGCCAGAACACCAATATCAGCCTCTGCAATATGAATTATGTATTTCAAACATACGGCGTTTATATACCAATCAAACAGACCACATCACATCATAAAATAGAAAACAACATTTGTAAAAGATTTAACCAAATGTGGCTGTGAGTGTGGGATGTAGTGATGAATAGACAGGCAATAATTCAAGAATGGAAAATCGTATCATAACAGTTCATAAATCAAAATATGTCTCATCATAAGAGGGATATGACTATGAATAGTTTAGTTATTTAACAATAATACAATAAAGAAAATATAGGCATAGTATTGGTCCACAAATGGATGCCAAAAGTTATTATTCATTATACTTATTGCGACATCACAAAAACTTTTCAGCAGTACGCATTTACGATTCTGCCCCTCAGGATTCAAATCCAGGATTATTCATAGATTTTATATATGTCTGGTGGAATCATCTGTTGATCTCTGAGTTTTTTTCTAAAGATCCGATTAGTTCATTCTCTATCTAAATAAATCTTTAAAAAAAAAGCTTAGAGATCAACAGATAATTCCATCAGACATATATGAAACAATTAATCCGATAGATAACCATTTACTTAGACACTTCACTTCTACCATGAAGTTTGTGCTGATGATGTTGTTTAGAAGAATGATGAAAGCTCCACGATCAAACCATCCAGCTCAGAGAACGAAACTTCATCAAAAACTGATTCTGGCAACCAACTTATATATCTATCTTTCAAAGAATATTCAATTAATTTACAAAGTTTTATTTAAGTATAGTACTCATAATCAGTAGGTTTCCTCGATGGCATAATGGGTGGCACTTAGGATCCGCAACTTTCTCTACATGAACTTAGTCTCCAAATTATTTCTAACTTTACTGAATTGTCAATATAAGCATCTTCCAGTGCTAACTATGAGCACCCTGTTTACACATGGCTTCTCACTAAAACTCCGGGAATTGTCTCTAGAAGCCGGTTACTGGTGAGCACATGATGATTATCAGCATGGGGGTTATAGATATTGTAAAATGTTGTCGAAAACCCATGATCAATGGAGTTCAAACGTGTTGAGTGTAAGGAAGATACGCGTCAAAAACAATGGAAAATGAGAGCGCAATATTGAGGATTGACCGAAGTTAGTCTTGTATACCATGGTATGCCGACTCGGTGATCAAGAAGTTAAGCACTCACGTGCGACACCAGGGGGTTACAAGTTTTATATACTGGTGGTGGGATCTTAGATGAGTACTGTTCAAAGGTCCCATACGGAGACCGAATAGCTGTGTAGTATTTCCAGGTTCTTGGTGGTTATCAAACTTAGATTTGTACGTGATCTCAATAAACTTGGTCTAATTATTGCAGTTGTTAGAATTAGAAATCAGAGAATTTATATCACCAACTGAATTCACCTGTGAATAATAATATAAGGCTGAACTTTTGTGAAAAGTATTGTTATTTTTGAGGTTATGAAAACTTTGTATTGTCAAGTAAAAGCTAATATGAAATTTGAGTTACGTTCTAGTGTGGATTTTTATTGAATTTTTCTTAAGAATAATTGGTTTTATTTATAAGAATTTTCGAAATTTTCATTTCTCCGACTCCGTGCGAAACGGGATTGAGCTGTACTGCTCGGATTAAGCCTTGGGTAGTGTCTGGCTCTCCTGTCAAACAAAGTTTAACTGTACCGTTTGGGTTGTTAGGTGAAAGTCTGAATGGGAACCGGTGATTTACTATTCTTATCAACCAACACCTAATTATCTACGCCTCAAAATGCCATGGTACGGCTGACGTTGGAAAGAATCAGCTCTCCACCTCCAAATGCTCCCACGCGTATACAGCCAATGTCACACACGTCCTACTCGCTTCATTTCAGCGTCATTACTGTTGTTTACGAAATTGAGAGGATGAAAGGTGAATGTCCGACGCTTTAAACGCGTTGGTGGACATAGAGGACCAACCTAGAAGAGTTGGAAAAACCGCATTGGAAACCAATGGTACACATGGGCTGGCTCCAGGATCCTGAAGGAACAATTGGCGTATGAACCAGTCGTTGGTCACCGGCTACAAATGTACTGCATCTCCTTATGTTGTTCCACTGTCTTGTGAATCAGACCTTTGGGTTGAAGGCTCCGGGTGTGGTCCACTAAGAAAACCACCTGTTTTGATTTGGGCACCCACGCAGTATCCCAGCCCTCACACAAATCGAATGACGAAGTGTGGCGCATTAATATTTGGTGCTTTCTTGTACCAATGTTTATATGTTTTAATAAATAATACAAGTATATATCCAAAAGTTTCGCTGATTTTATGTAACCACAAAAATGCTAATTTTGATCATTACAAAAAGTAATAAGTTAGATTAATTTAAAAAAATGTTCATTCCATTTGTCTGGCATACACAATTTTATGTTTTGGAAGTCATATTAGTTTAAGTGATAGACATCAGTAGACGAGTATGTAGGTGTATGATGGAATTTTTACACTCTGATTGTACGAAAAGTTCCGAAATAAACACTGTAACAAATCTTTCGTAATTGTTATTGTTTACATTGTTATGAAGGTCATATTTGTTACTAAGGCGAGAAAAGTATTCAGTGAAATACAATTTGTTTATATAAATGGATTTTATGAAAATATTTGATCAAATAATATAACAAATTTTTTGAGACTCTTTTTTTGTGATTTACCTTAAAGTTATAGATTGATTAATGATCTCAACTATTGAAATGATTATAATATCCACAAAAACTCCTTTCTGATAATATTCAGCATTTACTCATTAGTGACTGGATTCAAGAGGTATTTCCTGGAGTTCTAGTAAGATAGTAACTCATTGAAGACAATAGTGGATGTGTCGCTTTATTTTTTAGATTACTTGAAGTTAGACATTAACATTATTGGATGACGACCAGCTCAGTGGTACAGAGGTTATGCGTTCATGCACGAAACCGATAGGTCCTGGGTTCAAACCTCACGAGGCAGGATCGTGGATGCACACTACTGAGTGTTTTAATTATTTATTTATTTAAACTCATAAACATTGGTTCAAGGAGGCACCAAATAGATAAACACTACATAAATCATTCGGTTTATGTGAGGGCTGAAATACTGCCCGGGTGCCCAACTCCACTTAGTGAATCTTCCGTATCTAACATTCCGATTAAAGTGTCGGACATTCGCTTTTCGTTCTCTCAAAGAACAGTAATACCGCGAGAAGGCAGTGAGTAGGACTTGTGTGGCAGTGATTGTATACACGTGGCCATGTGAGAGCATTTGGATTGAGAGAGAGAGCTGACTCTCCCCACTCTCGGCCGTACCAGGGTATTTAAGGACCTGCTAGAGAGTCCCACAATGGGACAAGACGGCTATACAGTGTTTTCAGGTTTTCCATGGTGGTCTAACTTCAATTGATTCATGATCTCAACTATCGAAAGTTGAAGAATTGTTTATAAAGAAATAAATGAATTTTGAAGTTATAAGCTGTATTCAATATAGATTTATTGTACTTAAAGCATTGAATAGCTATTCCATCTCAATATGAGATTCCTAAGCAATAATCTACCAAGATCTCATCAATGAACGAAGCCATTATCTTAAAATTTCAAGACAAATATTTAATCATTAGAATTGAGATGGTGGAGAAGATTTGTAGCTCAAGTGGATGATTTTGGCGGAGTTTTATTCTCTGAGCTGGATGGTTTGATCGTGGAGCTTTCATCGTTCATTTGAACGACATCATCAGCACAAACTTCAGATAGAAGTCTATCTGAGAACAAAACTCCACCAAAATCATTAGAATTTCTAAGTCAGTATCTAATTGTACAATTTAAACTTCAGTTGATTTGTGTTGTTGTAGCATGATGATCATTCAACGCTATTGATAACAAGTGTTTTATTTTGTATAGATTAAACACTATTGTGTATAAGTATTTCACTATGTACAATGTCATGGTTTATTTTTTTTAATAAAAATTTATATGGTTAGAAACATACAAATTGTAGCATTAGTTACCATTTGGTTACAAATGTCATTTAGTTTTAGAATGTTTTTTATACTGCAGGAAAACATGAAATTTTTCATCAATAAATGTGAAACTATATATACTTAACTTGATCGTTTGACATTTCAACACCTAATTAGTAGTGTAGAGTGAATGAGAACACTAATGGGGACAATCGAATGTAGTTCACACAAAATTATAGGATGTTTTAATAAACTCTAACAATCATCAAGTAAATGGTTAATTTGCAAAATGTTCATCAATTATCTCATAATGATACAGACTTCATTGTTTTTACATTTTCATACAAATTACATTCTGTTTCTATTGTTTACTATTTGATTCTCTTGTCTCTTTGTTGCCAGACCTTCTGTTCAACGATTAACATCATCTACTATTTATGTCAATATAAGTAGCACACACCACAGTAGTATGTATGTATTACTTTAAATATCAATAAAATAAATACCATAAAATGATAGGTGTCATTACCAAGGTTTGATTTGATAATTTCGAATAAATTGAGCATTGGGTTCATTGTTATAAATAAAAATGATAATTGATTAGTGATTAGTTTGTTAAATGTTTACTTAGTAAGTATAATTCATTTACCATCCATATTATGTATCTTAGTAACTATGATTTTTTTTTTAATTTTAAAAAAAGTAGTATTAGGATAGATGATTATCAGAATGGGTTTTGTGAAGATTTTTAGAAATTTCACTGATTGAAATCATGAGTTAATTGAAGCACTGCTGAGGAGTCTCATACTAGGATGAAACGGTTGTCCAATGCTTTCAGGTTCTTCATATTGGTCTAGCTTCAAATGATTCATGATTTCAACCAGTAGAATCCATGATGTTAGTTTTACGAGAATATTCATTTAAGCTAGAAATCCAATAAGAACTGTTATTAGTTCTATATGAAATATGATAAAGCTTTTTGTTGTTGTTGTTGTTGCTGAAGATACCAATTTTACAGTCAAGACAATTGATTTTCAGTATTGATAATTAATGATTATTAAATAACTATTCTATTGCATATGAACTTTATCTAATTAGTGTTCATAAATGACTAATTTCAAGAAGTCATAAAGTTATGATAAGAATCCTTGATTAGTAAAGTTCAACTATATCTGATAACAGACAATTACTTACTAATAACATTGGATGATGATTATGCAACATCATGAGCTGATTTAAATTAGAGATGTAAACTATTGGATGCTGACTTAATGGTCTGAACGTTAGTAGATTGTTCAGAGGAATTAAAAATCTGGGTTTGATTTCCGGTTTGATTATGGATAAGTATTTCACAGTTGTCTCGTACTATGATGAAATAACTATTAAAATTTATAAACAAACTAATAAGAATCTTGTGTAAAGCACTGTAAAGTACTGTTTTATTACAATTGATGAGATGATGATGGAGAAGATTTGTAGTTCAGGTGGATCATTCAGAAGATTAATTAAAAGCTTCATGATTAAAGGCTTCATCCAACTCAGAGAATAAAACTCTATCAAAATTACAGCTAATGTCAAGTCATGATGAAAATCCTAAGCTTAAATCCTTAATCCTAATCCTAACCAAGAATGTTGTGCAATCTCTTACAAATCCATTTGGATTTTTATTAGGATTTGAGGAGATGGATAATTTATGTCCGTCCATAAGGACGAATTTATATTTTATGACATTTTCTCTCATAGACAGTATAATCTGTAGGAAAGTTTAATAGATTCTTAAGAGATGCGAAATATAATTACGTTTTGAGCAGAGATGGATAGTGATTAGCAATGGAATCCAGTTTGACTCGCATTTCGTCCTATTTGGGATTGGTCAGCTGAATGTACCTGCATCTCAGAGTTGATGTTGACTCCATCGCATGATCCACTTATATACTGCGTCCTATTAGCTACTTGCTTGTGTAATGTAGTGAAGTTTAAATTCACTTGATATTGTTCACTTGAATTTTACAATTAATGTTAAGAACTGCAATCGATCAGTTTCTTATTGACATATGTGCAACCTGCACGAACTGCTTAGATATTGCCTTAAGTCACAAGCTTTATAAGCAAAGATGGATAGTGGGTAGCAATGGAATCCAGTTTGAATCGCGTTCCGTCCTGTTTGCAACTGGTCAGCTGCATGTACCTACAACTCCGGAACTTGAACTCACTACCGTTGGCTTCAAACACCATCGCATGATCCACTCAGCTACCGAGTCCTGACATATTGATATTGTTCTATTTGAATCTTCTGATTGATGTTTAGGACTACAATTGATCAGTCTCTTATTGACATATATGCATGCTGTGTGTATTACCTTGATATTGTCTTAATTGACAAACATTCTAAGTAAAGATAGATAATGATCTCCGCTGATCATAACTTCTCACTAATACTCTAAAAATTACATCTCTTAAAGTGATTCACTAGTAAATACGTAAGTATTATGAGATTTTTCATTAAAATTATATATGACTGATTTCTTTTGTGTAGGATTGCCAAATAATCAAGGAAAGTATATGAAAGGTCATTCATTCTTTTATAAATAGTCATTGTCTGTTAGTTATTTTCGTCTTATTCCAATTATTTTGTCTTAGGTGATTGTTGACTATTAGCTGATATTGTTTGTTTATTAATGGATAAGAAATTATTTGAACAAATTGTAACAATCGATCAAAGTTTGTTAGTTATATAAGTTCTATAATATACCCTTATGGGTTAGGGTAATTTTACATTGGATTTCAGAAGAACCAGACACCATCCAGATTTTCATGTGACAACCCAAACAGTACAGTTCAATCTCGCTTCAAAGGAGAACCAGACATCGTATAGGCTTTAACACTACAATTTGAATAGTACAGCTTAATCCTGTGGCGCAACTTTTCAGGTACTACCAAGCACCCTAGTGGACCATTCTCACCATTCTTGTACACATATACATCATTGATTGCGTAAATCTATTGTGCACAGCACGAACAAGCCAAAGTTGACCTATTTCGTTTTTACACGACAGTTAAACTCATTAATATTAGCAATGGCGACATACCTTACAATTTCCCAATAACAACGGCCATTGAGAACCCTGAAAAGCAACCATCAGTATGAATGAAATCAGTTAACCGACAATCTAATTTTTTCTTCATTATAATGATATTATTGATTTTTTTGTTGTATAGGATTGCCAAGTAATCAAGGAAAGGATATGAAAAGTCATTCATTCTCTTTCCCAATTTATTTCACTGGATTATAACTCCTTGAATAACATCTTCAAACGTTAATCTTTCCGATTACTGCTTATACTCTTACTACCTCTACCACTATGCGATTTGAATCAACAATTGTATTTGTGTGGTAATGTGATATGGCAACTCGAACTGATGTACGTACATACGTACGAAGTTCTACGTTGTTTCTAATTGACTATTTCATTTTTCTATATATAGTCATTGTTTGTTAGTTATTTCTTTATCTTATTCCATATATGTTTCTTAGGTGATTGTTGGCTATTAGCTGCTATTGCTTGTTTATCAATGAATCAAAAATTATTTGAACAAGTTGTAGCAATTGATCAAAGTTTTACTAAAGAATATTGTGGTTTATTTCGTTTTCATTTTTGGAATTATGGTGAATGGAAAGAAGTTGTTGTAGATGATCGTTTACCAACTTATCATAAATCATTAGTTTATATACATTCAACTGATACAAATGAATTTTGGTCTGCATTATTAGAAAAAGCTTATGCAAAGTAAGTTTTAGTTGTCAATTAAAAATGATAGTTAAGAGGTAAGGCAATTCTGGATTCATGTTTTGTCTTGTTTTATAATTTGAATTGCTCAATGGACTTTGTCAAGCATCCGTTGAAAGCCGGGAACAACTGAATAACAGTTTCGTCTTAGTATGTGACTCTTTTATCGATCTACATCTACAGACTAACCGGAGATAAAATCCAGGATCTAGAGTTCTCTTTATAAATGCTTAGTCTTTAGACTGCTGAATCCTTGTTTAAGACTCCTTATCAATAGACAATGATTACATTATATACGGTCTCATCTACAGAATGTTCAGGTTTTGTTACAAGTATAACACTATTTAACCACATTCGTTTTAGTGATAATAATTTTAGTTAGCAAAATGTGTAATGCTATTAATGTTTCCTTCCTACTGAAGGAATAATGTATCCTAAACAGTGAGTCCTATGACTAACAAGAATGAGTAAATCAATTACATGTCGAATTATGATATGATAGTCAAGTTGAACCTGATCATCGACATTTATGTTAACAAATTTAGTTCTCTCGCACGAATCAAATGCATCATGTAATATCTTAAAGTCCTCTAAACCTTAAACGTAATAATGGCCAACAGTTATTATTGAACACGAAAATGTTGTGGAATATCAAGTTGTAACAATAATGTATAGACTGTTTGATTTATCTTTCATAGCACTTATCATTCCAAAATAGACATGATATCCTAGGTAGATCACCTTCTAAGGGTCAGTCAACTACAAACGTGGGACCAAGCATATATAAATGCATCGGTCCATGTTACCATACTTCATTAGTACAACAAGATGAACACTGGATTCATAGAAGCAGTTACTTCAATATTCCCTTCTAAGGATATTTATACTTTGCATACATTACTTATTAATGGCAAACTTTACGCCTACGAGATTAATGATTATTACGGTGTATATCATCACCACATTTCTATCTTCCCAAATATTTACCATTCCTGAAGCTAGCAAATAAGCGTATTCAGAGAGTAATACTTTATTAACATACAATTTATACAAACGTTTAATTGGTCAATTTTCATAGTTAAAATGAGTGATTTATTTTATATATTTATATGTATAAATAGATTATGCGGTTCATATGAAGCACTTAAAGGTGGTACAACTAGTGAAGCATTAGAAGATTTTACTGGTGGAATTGCTGAAATGTTTGATTTGAAAAAAGATACACCACCAAATTTATTACAAGTTATGCTAAAAAGTCAAGAGTTAGGTTCATTAATGGCATGTTCCATTCAAGCTGATCCAAATAAATATGAAGCTCGATTACCAAATGGATTGATTATGGGACATGCTTATTCAATTACATCTGTTAAAATGGTTAGTATAATTGTTTTCAACATTTATAAACAGGTTCAACATAAAATAATAATTGTTTTACAATATAATGTGAATATCAGGAAGATGTTTAATGGCGTAGGAGTAGGTTAGAAGAAATCTAGGGGCGGCCAGACCAAAACATGGCTCAAATCCATGAAGTCACTGACATATGGACTAAGCCATATTGGTAGGTTTAAATTAAATGGTTTGGATCTGCGAGACGATAACAACCGATGGTTAGAGACCTTGAATGACATGGCTTAAAATCGTTTGCAATGGTGCATGTAGATCCACTCTTTGTGCTCTCCAAAATTCTAATCTCCTGAATTCTTCACATCCCCTAATTTTTCTCTTTGGAAATTTATTTCAGTGGATTATGTTCCTTGAATAATGTCTTCAAACCCTAATCCTCTCGATTACTGCTCATACTCTTACTACCTCTATCACTATGGGATTTGAATCGACAATTGTATTTGTGTGGTAATGTGATATGGCAACTCGAACTGATGTATGTACGTATGAACTTCTACGTTGTTGCTGACTGAGCCTGTTATTTTAAGTTAGTTGTTGAGTATACAAGAAGGAAATCATGTTTCAGCAAACTGTAAAGTCACATATATTATGATGATCATTGATTCAGTTAAGTAGTAGCGGAGATTTCTGTGAACATCGAATCTTGTTACTTGTTTAGTTAAAATAAAAGTTGGTCTATTTAATTTAATATTCGACCTATTTTTGTGTAATGCATAAATAAATCAAATGCATGTGGTAGTACCATTCATTGATTCATGCTTTCCAACTTCTATATAACATAAGAACAATAATATTAATAGTAATAGTGCTATGCATTGTGGTTTTCTATATTTCGATCAGTAATCAATAATTTGTGCAAATGAATTAGGTGATTACAATCAATGATGACATTGATTAGTTGGAAGAAGAAGTGTCACTATGGGAAAAGTGACCTTGACAATGAGGTTGTGAATAGAAGTACTGGCCCAATTTTTTTTTATTATTTTACATTGAATTTGCACTGAATTGTGTTGTACTTTTTATTTGTTATGAATGTATATTTGTGTAGAAGTGGTTGAATGATGAACTTTTATTTTATTGAAAGGAATGATTAAATTGTCCTTTTCATTTTAAAATATGAATTGGTATAATATGATATTATTCATTATAGTTAATCAATTATTGATTATGGAAGCAAATCGATGAACAGGATTAGTGATATGATTTGTTTTTGTTACTTGATAAGTAATCACTAGTTGGAAACTTTTCAAAATTCACTGAATTGATGAGTTACATAATCATTTTTATAGTTGTTAGGGGGTAGTGGCCATTTTGTTTCATTTTTTTGATCGTATCTTGTTTCTACTTATCATGAAGACATGTATTACTATAATGAACCGAATTGTCACGATGTGTCTCACTGTTCTTATTGTTCATTTATAGATTATTTCACTAATGATATACTGACAACAAGTATTTGAGTAGTAAATACAGTATAACATTTAACTCAATAGACAATTCAATTACCTATATCTAGAAGTTGATCTGAAGCTCATTCGATTAATTCATTGTATTAAATCAATAAATTTTTAGGTTTGTCTGTATATATGGGACTTGTTGTTAAGCTCGTTGAACAATGTCGTGGAGATAGTAGTATAATTTCATACATTGAGCTTTGAAAAGACTAGTAAAATATTCACTAATGGTATGACCATAATATTTTAATGAATTCACTTTTTCGCAAGTGTACCTACTCTTAGATAAAATAGTCACTGTTTTGCCTTGTAGTTGAAATATCACTTTAAAATACCTAGAACATATGGTTTATGACTAGTAGGGGGATTACGAACTTGGTGACCAAATTTTTCTTCACCTATATGTTGATGTACACACTGGAACTTGTACCTTGTGGATCAAGTAGTAATATACTATTCAATGAACTAATAAGTCTTCTAGATATGCGCCAAATTAAACAAGTGGTATGATGTTTATATCATTATCTATAAGAATTCAAATGATCTCCTTTGTGATATTCAGGATTGAATTTCGATCATTCTTTGCTGGTAAATGAGGACATTGAATCTACTTTGATTGATGCAATTTACCCAGGATATTCCAAAAGAAAACCTAAACAGTCTTGAATATCAATAATAAGACAATTCAAACAACAATAATAACAATTATAGGTTATTGTATTTTCATTATTATCTGAAACTTAATTCAGTTTGATAAACATTTGAACATATAGAAGTTATTATTTTAACTTTTAATTGGGTTTGAGCTTGTTACTGGCAGTAGTTCCAAAGGAGCTCCAGGCGGAGTTATAATACATAGCTTATTAACCTAATTTCTATATGTTTATGTGTTAACAGTATAAGAGTATATAGATGTATTTCACTTATCATTTTAGTTAGATATATCGATTCCAAACAAAACTGGTAAGATACCACTAGTTCGTGTACGTAATCCATGGGGTGATGAATCTGAATGGAAAGGTGCATGGAGTGATAAATCAAAAGAATGGTCACTTATCTCACCAGAACAACGACAACAACTTGGTTTAACATTCGATGATGATGGTGAATTTTGGTAAATTAATAAAACATAATATTTATTGTTGTTGAAATATTCACTTATATTTATAGTTGAGTTTATACATTAACACAGTTGGATGTCGGTCAGCTCAGTGGTCTAGAGATTAAGCGTTCTCGCGCGAGACCGAAGATCCTGGGCTCAGATCCTGCGAATGGGATCGTGGACGCAAACTGCTGAGGAGTCCTACAATAGGACGAAATGGTCGTCCAGTGTTTCCAGGACGGTTCATGATCTTAATCAAAAACTTAATGCTCTTCCCAACCCTATATTGATATTTATGATATTGTTAGTTATAACTTTTTACAACTTCAGTTTTGCTATTCTTTGATATGATATTGAAATTGTTTTAAAAGCAGATTTCATAAAGTGTTTACTGGAAAAATAAATGGATTAATTACTTTGTGAAACAATTAACAATAGTCTTGTTTGAAAACTCGTCCTAGTTCTGGACAGTTCAGCGATATACACAGCCACACTACTACACATGTATTTCAACTTCAGTATAGTTAGGTCATGTCATAATTTTGAATACTATTCAGTTATGGACTTGGAATTTATTGATTCAAGGTTTTCTTACTTAATCCATTTTATGATGTAATATGACCATTGACCCAAATTATTAATGAATAACTATTCCATTTTGTACCTTGGTTATCACATTAAACATTCAACATACTGCATTTTGTTAACGTTTTCAAATAGATAAGATTATTTCATTTTCTTACTTCAGGTTGATTAAATGATTTTCAAGTATCAAAAAATTCTCACAGTTTTATCGTTTACTAGAGAATAAAGAATAAGTGAAACTAATCTGTGTCTCTTCTATAGGGTCATTCCGCAATATTTATTTATTATTTATTACATTTATTTAAACATATAAACATTGGTACAAGAAGGCACCAAATATTAATGCGCCATACTTCATCATTCGATTTGTGTGAGGATACTGCATGGGTGCCCAAATCAAAACAGGTGGTTTTCTTAGTGGACCACACCCGGAGCCTTCAACCCAAAGGTCTGATTCACAAGACAGTGGAACAACATAAGGAGATGCAGTACATTTGTAGCCGGTGACCAACGATTGGTTCATACACCATTCGTTCTGTCAGGATCCTGGAGTCAGCCCATGTGTACCATTGGTTTCTAATGTGGGTTTTCCAACTCTTCTAGGTTGGCCCTCCATGTCCACCAACCCGGTTAAAGCGTCGGACATTCACTTCTCTCAATTTTGTAAACAACAGTAATGACGCGGAAATGAAGCGAGTAGGACGTGTGTGACAGTGGCTGTATACGCGTGGCCATGTGGGAGCATTTGGAGGTGGAGAGCTGATTCTTTCCAACGTCGGCCGTACCAGTGTATTTCGGGGCAGAGCGTTAATGAATAATGTGTTTCATTATAAGTTAATATGAACGAATTTTCCAATCAGATTATTATTGTATGTAATCCTTTCCAGATTTCTACTAAATTCGTTTAGTAAACGTTTAATGTTTCCAGTTAATTGGTAAACCGTAATTACACAATAATCAGAAGGGTATTTTGTGGATATTATATTAATTTAATGATTGAATTCATCAGCCCTGAATGTGTATTGTTAAGGAGTCCCAAACTAGGACGAAATAGCCATCCACTGCTTCCAGGTTTTCATCGTGGTCGAGCTTCAATTGACTCATGAATTCAACTAATCGTGTAATTATCTTCACAGAACATAAGATATCTGTTGAACACTGAAACTTAGTAATTGAATAGATTTTTTCTGTGATGCAGCTACATTTGATGCACAATTATCCAGTTTAAAGAAAGTATACGTACCAGTTTCGTTTGCATTATCTCTCGTGTTACCATTACCTTCTTCAATGTAGATACATTTCTACATGAACAAAATAAATAATCATTTTCAAATTTGATTTATTATACAAAACATGTCTATACTATCCTTACCAGATAATTAATTTCCTCTCTCTGATTACTTCCTGTTTGGTTTAGGTGAATGTTAAAGTCAAATGTTCATTTTCCGTTTATCTGTAGTATTTTTTATTCATGATATTTCATCTTGTTAAGCGATTGAAGCTAGACCACCATGGAAAACATGGAAGCACTGGATGGCCGTTTCGTCCTATTATGAAATTCCTCAGCAGTGCACATCCACAATCCCGCCTGGTGAGATTCAAACTTAGGGTCTGTCGGTCTCACACGCGAATGCTTAACCTATAGACTACTGAGCCGTCATCCAATGGTGTTTATGTCTAATTTCAACTAATCCACGAAATTGAGTGACACATCCACCATCATCATCAGTGAGTTACTATCTCACAACAGAATTGGTTGAACTCCACTGGTTACGGCTTCTCACTAGAACTCTAGGAATTACCTCTTGAAGCCAGTCATGACTTATGATCTTAACTATTGAAATTACTATAGTATCCACAAAACCCCTTCTAATACAAACATTTTTCTTTATTCTAGGATGTCTTATCAAGATTTTGTATCGAATTTTGAAAAACTTGAGATCTGTCATCTTGGACCACAATCTATGGGAGAAATGGAAGGAAATCGTGTTTGGGAAATGTGTATTGAAGAAGGTTGTTGGCAGCGACGTGTATCTGCCGGTGGATGTCGTAATTTTCTTGGTAAGATGAAATTTGGTATTATTTTATTGTTGGACAAAACTTTTTCCCCGTGTGGCAAACAACTCAAGTATTGTTGGAATAAAACACTAAATTACAAGATACTTGAAAACATGTCTCCAGTTAAGTGAAACTTAACAAACTTAATATAATTGATGATTTGGGAGACGTCAGTGATTTCATATTTATTTTCTGGCTTTTATTTCTAGGTGTAGACTGTATTTGACGCAGATTGATCTTAGATGAGGTAGCATTAAATATAAGGGAACACTAGAAAGCCGTTTCATCCTAGTACGAGACACTTCACCAACGAGCATCTAAGACCTCAGTTGAAATTAAACCTAGTACCTATAAGTTGTTGAGTCAGTGTCTAATGTTCGTGTTGTGGTCGTGAGTGTTCACTCTTGAGTAGTCACGCACTAGAACAAAATAGAAATCCAGAGTTCCCTTGTTATCAATAATAGACTAATTGAAATTGATGTATAACACATTTGACCTTCAATTTGAAACCTAACTCCACTAAATCTTTTCAACTAAATTACCATACATTTTTATTGATGGTTTATTTACGTGCTTAAATATTTTGTACATAAATGACATCACATGACTTGTGGACTTTGTGCAGACCACAATGATGATGTTGTCTTTCGACGTTATATGTGTTGGAGTAAAACGTTTGCTAGAATACAGATTATGCTCGATCCATATTGAGACTAAGGTCAATTGAGAACTGGATAATAAAAGCACCAGTAACACTGGCTGCAGCCGGTACTACAATATATACGACTTGATTATGTGCATTATATCGTTGTCCACAAGTGGCATTTTATGGAACCAACAACCGGAGCGCACACAGTAATAACATTGAAGCTATGTGGTTGAGGTTCAAACAGTTTTTGTGACCTTATCACGTCTCCAGAGGCCGACTATTATGAAACCGTATAGATGATTACCCCTACCGTATACATTACGATTTTAGAACCTCTGAACCTCTTTCTAACCTTGACAAGTTTTTGAACTATGTAAAAGAAATATATTCACTTTAATTTTTTGATTTTGTGTAATATATTTTTACTATGTACTAACTGTTTTCTGATTGGCTGAAATTTCTCAAGGTCATTTGAGATTCATTTCAAGGTTGCCCATAAATATAACCTAGCTATCAACTGTATTGAATTTGAAATCTTGTCCATTCGTGTTTGGAGATCTCATTATGGAAATGCATTGAAACCATAGTTCTCAACTTATCAATTCAACATATCTTTCACAGCATAATTACCATTTGGTTTGTTTATCTCAATTTGTATAATGGATAGACATAACTTGTTAAGGCGGCCTGCTTGAGCATCTGGGCTACCTGTTCCTGCCATCTAAATATTTCAACAAGTTATCTATTTTTGTTTGTTTTAATATATTATTATGTCTATTAATCGCATAACCTATTCTGCTACGTTTCTGCAAAGTGTACAACCTTTCGTTGTCAAAGTTACAAAAAACTCAATAAGAGACAATGTGGTTGCTGGCAATATACGATGAAAAGAATGAACATTAATCAGATGTTCATTTACTGAACTGCTAACATCTAACTGGCGATCACTCAATATTCATCGCCAGGACCGACCAAGAAGAAAGAAACGGAAACTTGTTGAAATACTTTACGCTGAGAATTCCATATTGTACCAAAAATATAATATTGAATAAAGCTAATAATAATAATGATAATAATTTCCTTTTCCTTTTAAGTTATAATAAATTCTATAGGATAATTGTTCAGTTAGTTAGATATTAGAATCAAGCATATTCGTGTATTAAATTTATTTACATTATCATTACAGTAATACGAGATGAAATTGTCATGTCAAATGCTTGATTAGTTAAAGTAGAGCAACACTATAAGTGATAATAGCAAAGATTAGACATTATGTATATGATTTGTCTTTTTTTGTTTTGTTTTTTCTTAGAAACATTTTGGATCAATCCACAATATGTAGTAACTGTTGAAGATCCAGATGATGATGATGATGAAAATAAAGGTACATTAATTGTTGGTTTAATGCAAAAGAATAGACGAAAAATGAGACGTGAAGGTGCTGATCTATTAACGATTGGTTATTCTGTTTACAAAGTAAGTTATCATTAAGAGAAATATTTTATTTCATTATTACTGAATTGATCAATATCAGTAGTATGAAGGAAATGTTCATTTGATGTACAAATTTTGATGGATTTGTGTTCTTTGAATTGAATGATCTGATTGTGGAGTTTTCATTGTTCTCTTTTAAACAACATCATCAGTACAAATTTCAAGTTGTAGTGAAATGTTCAAATTATCTCCAGAGAACAAAACTCTATCAAAATCATCCATTCGAGCTATTAAATCTTCTCCATCATATAGCATTTCTGTTTGCTTTTAACCTAAAGATATGATTTGTTAGATAGTAGAATTATATTCTGAGATATGATATTCCATAAGTGAACCTGAGTGTTAAATTTTTATTTGTTGGTCAATAATCTATGAATTATAGATACAAGAGGTTATTGCTTTTGTGTTAAATCATTCAATATTAAGGCGTTCAAATGTTGGTTAATATGTAATCTTGTATGCTACGTTTTATACTGTGTTTCACCTTTGCATCGATTGATGGTGAAAATTGTTTTTAACTACGCTCACGCGCGAGACTGATAGGTCCTGGGTTGAAGTTAGACATTAATACAGTTGAATGCCGGCCTTGTCAGTGGTCTAGAGGTTAAGCATTCGCTTGCAAGACCGAAGATCCTGGGTTTGGATTCCGCGAACGGGATTGTGGACGGAAACTGCTGAGGAGTTTCACAATAGGACGAAACGGCCGTTCAGTGCTTCCAGGTTTTCCATGGTGGTCTAGCTTCGATTGATTCATGATCTCAACTATTGAAGAAGAAGATTTGGTAAACACTGAAACTAAATGACTAGATAAAATGTAAGCCTAATGTATGGGGCAATGACATGGAAATAATTCAGAAGTTTCTTGGTTTGTATGACTAATCTGTTAAAAAGTATTGATTAGCAAAACGTACTGTGACATGGCTTGCATTGTTTCACAAGAATACATGATGAATATGTTGAACATAAAGTTCTGCTTCCTCCTTTGTTCTACACATTTGCTTTTTCTCCAATCTTCATAAACATCGTCAATTCTACTGGTAGTAACCTGTTCTTTCAGGTCATTTATTAAATATACAAGACGGAAACAATGTCTCAGCAAACTGTAAAGTCACATATATTATGATGATCATTGATTCAGTTAAGTAGTAGCGGAGATTTCTGTGAACATCGAATCTTGTTACTTGTTTAGTTAAAATAAAAGTTGGTCTATTTAATTTAATATTCGACCTATTTTTGTGTAATGCATAAATAAATCAGATGCATGTGGTAGTACCATTCATTGATTCATACTTTCCAACTTCTATTCAACATAAGAACAGTAATAATAATGGTAATGGTAATATGCATTGTGGTTTTCTATATTTCGATCAGTAATCAATAATTTGTGCAAATGAATTAGGTGATTAAAATGAATGATGACATTGATTGGTTGGAAGAAGAAGTGTCACTATGGGAAAAGTGACCTTGAATAGAAGTACTGGCCGTTTATTTATTTTTTTGTTTTTTTTCGTTTGTTTTACATTGAATTTGCACTGAATTGTGTTGTACTTTTTATTTGTTATAAATGTATATTTGTGTAGAAGTGGTTGAATGATGAATCTTTATTTTGTTGAAAGGAATGATTAAGTGATCATCTGTAACTAAATTAAGGAATTGTTGATTTTAGTGTATCTTGATTCATAGTGTCTATCCACCGATGTACCAACGTTTTTTCGCTTCATTTCAATAGCAGAAGATATCAATGATTTGATGTTGTAATATCTGGTAAACTATTTCCCATAGTTACTTTTGGTAGATAGATCATTGTGGATAAACCCACACAGTTCTAGATATTGGTATGATGATAGTTTGCTTGTAATGATTACAACAAGTCTATAATATTTCTCCTGGTGTCCCACATTGTACGAGCATTCTATGTATGGAAATTAATGGTTATTCTAGTTGTCAGAAGAGGGATCAGCCTCGTCACTTCCGAACGAACTCGGCTTTCACCAATGAGATGTCATAATTCTTCTAAATGAATACCTTCTAACTCCCGGTGCAGATTTTTAATGGTTCGAATCATTTTTTTCAGGTTAGTGTTTTTTTAGTGAGTTAGTTTTCTACAGTATGGGAACACTAATCCCAGATCCAACCCTCATCCTTTATCTAAGCTTGATACCGACAGTAGTCCAAGATGGGCTCCAGGCGATTTTACTCTTATGCATATCATCTATGTTAACCATTACTCATAATGTCAGTTTAGCTGTTTAAGATTGTTTACCTTGAAATAAACAATACATATCTTCAGGATATTAGAAACAGATTGAAGTAGGCTATCGTTTCATTAAATGATCTAATGTAATTAACCAATACTCATAGAATGAAAAATCCTATAATCATGTTACATAACAACTATGTTCACAAGCCTATTGTCCATACTTGCTTAACAACTAAATATGTTCACAGGCAAAAAAAATATATTTTTTTAATTTTTTGTCCTCATTTATTGACAATTCTCATTGTGATAAACAATTTGGCTAATCATGTGATTGATCAAGATTATTGCCAAGAGAATAAAAAACAAAAATAAAAAGTGTGTTCACATGACTTGCCTTACATTATTCTTATAGGGTTGATAAAATGGACATCAGCTATTGATTTTATTTATAGGAAGGTGATTTTGTTTAACCTTGAGTAATATGGATAAGTCAATAAACAACACTTATGTACTTCGAATTAGTACAAAGAATAAGAAGTTGAATTCAATGTATGAAAAAAATTACACACATTTAGGGTATGATAAGAATAAAGAAAGAAAATAAACCACTGAGCTGCATGCAATGGTGCTAATGTCTAACTTCAACCAATCCACGAAGTTGCGCCACCGTACACCATTGTCTTCAATGAGGTATAAATCATACTAGGACGAAACGGCCGTCCAGTGCTTCTAGGTTTTCCATAGTGGTCTAGATCCAATTGACTCATGATTTTAATCTGTGAAATTTCTACAATCTCCACAAACCCCTTCTGATAATAATCATCTGCTCACTAGTGACTGACTCCAAGAGATACTCTTGGAGTTCTAGTGAGAAGCCGTTACCACTGGAGTTCAATCAGTTCTGTTGTGAGATATCAGCTCACTGAAGACAATGGTATACGGTGGCGCAACTTCGTGGATTGGTTGAAGTTAGACATTAATACCATTGGATGCCGGCTCAGTGGTCTAGTTGACTAAGCTCCTTGTGCAAGTCTAATGGGTCCTGGGTTCGGGTCTCGCGGGGTGAGGGGTCGTGGATATGCACTGCTGAGGAGTCCCATACTAGGACGAAACGGCCGTCCAGTGCTTCCATGTTTCCCATGGTGGTCTAGCTTCAATTGACTCATGTTTTCAATCTGTGAAATTTCTACAATCTCCACAAACCCCTTCTGATAAAGAAAATAAAATTGGTGAGATTTTTAAGTTATGGATGAACCAATCAGATTATAAGCCGATAATAGGTCTTGGATTACAACGTGGAATTGATTCATCCATTTGGTTAAATAGAGTTTTTGGCATTATAGCTAATTTCAGTTGGTGATAACAGAAAAAACCCCTTGAATATAATTCCTAGCCCCTAACTATCATTTGTAAATCATTATTCTAATTTTGATGAAGATTTGTTCTCTGAGCTGGATGGTTTGTTCGTGGAGCTTTCATTGTTCTTTTGAACGACATCATCAGCACAAACTTCAGATAGAAGTGAAGTGTTCGAATTTCTCCATATGCGTTTCACAGCTTGTTCTCATACTGTTTTATAACCCACATTTGGTTCTGGTTATTAAGTGAATACTATCAAGATCACTTTAGTGTTGCTCCATAGCGTCGTCCATAAATTATAGTCTCATCGAACGTGAAACAAAGTGAATAAAATCTTTATACATCAATAGAATAATTTATAAACTGATTAAGTCAACATACAGTAGTACTATGGTGTAGGCTACATTATATCCATATAAATAGTATATAACGATGGTCAGGCATAGAATATATTTCAGTAGAAGATCAAGAAGGAAAGAATAGAAAAACGGAAGGCGATTGGTATGAAAATGTAGGAACAATGAAATCTGAGATTATGGACTGATATAAGCAAAAGGAACAGCCAATTTTGAGACAATTGATGGATATTTTGTGAGATATTCTGTAATTTCATGTCCAAATACATTCGATTACCCCCACTCGCGTCCTCGTTGACTACAGTACTACTGGAGATAAAAGATGATAATAACACAGATAATTAAGTCATCAAGAATTTATATTAAGAATTCGGAAAGAAACAAATATCATTATTACAGTAACATAGATGATGTAATTATGAGTATACAATATTACATAATAATTAGAATGATCGATTTCCATAAGAAGGAATGATTTAAAATGAATTACATACTATGTGAAGTGATGTATCGTCTACAATAAGATGATATAATTAAGTTGTTTGAAAAACATTACTAACTTCATCAAGCCTGAGTTATTCTTTAGTTTAGCCTATTATTGTGATCATATACTGGTATAGAAGATTATAATTTAAAAGCAGACATCTTAGTATCCACATGAATCTAAATAACTTAATCTCAGTACTATAGAAACTCCGCCTAGAGTCCCTCTGGGACTATTGTCGGTATCAAGCTTAGATAAAGGATGAGATCCAGTAGAAAACTAACTAAAAAGACGCTAACCTGAAAAAAATGATTCGAACCATTAAAACTCTGCACTGCAAGTTAGAAGGTATTGATTTGGGAGAATTATGACATCTCATTGGTGAAAGCCGAGTTCGTTCGGAAGTGACGAGGCTGATCCCTCTTCTGACAACTAGAATAACCATTAATTTAGGTACATGGAATGCCCATACAATGTGGGAGAAAGAGAGAATCACCCGAATTGCTAGCTGATGATACGATCTTCATTTAGATAGTAATCATTATTTAATGAAATTGAACAACAGCCATAATCCAACCAATGTTATTTTATATCGATTAATTAAATGATCAATATGTCATGTAATTTTAGCTAGATCATTATTTCACGAGAAAAAGGATTCAGGACATTGTATGAGAGGAGCCTTATTGAAATGTGTTGGAGTTAAAATGGTTTCATTTGAAAATGCAGTTATCATAAATTTATGATTTACTTTGATGTTTCAAACACGAACAATGTTAAAATGTTGCCTAGCATAATGTAGACTAGTTTCGATTTACAATCATCTCGTAGGTTATTATATGAGTTTCAAGTGTACTATAATGTATTGTAAATGGGTAAACCATAGAGGTACAATGTAGGAAGTAAGCTTAAGACTTAAAAATAGCAACCACCAGTATCAACGTTCAAATCGATTCATTGAAATAGGAGGGAAACGGCTTGTACGAGTCGAGAAACAATCATGATACGTTTTATACTACTTACAAATATACAGTAATATAGTTCTCAAATACATAGTCCATCTATTTAGATTACCTTAGTGTAGGTAAATCACCGATCACTTTGAGATAATATGTCGATTGATCGAAATGTTTAGAAGGAAACTGTTTAGTATCTAGTTCTTTGGGATCCGGTTAATAACTGATTACTGTAGATGGTGACAAGCAAATAATTATGGTACCACGGCATATTTTATTAGTTTTCTTTAGATATAATGTCGATAGTAAAAATATAACGAAATTTATTCACTTATCCAATACAATTTTAATATCATACGTTACTGATGAGTACTGAATAGTAAGAAACTTATATTCAAAGTTTTCCACTAATTTCTCCTAAACAACTAACATAAAAACATAGTCCACACGATGCCTTGTCTAGTAGGATTCAGTCATCATTGAAGGATCTAGACAAATATGACATTGGTCACTACTGAGCGATCGATCAGCTGAACACATTTATTTAAATATACATGTAACTTTTGGACACATTATATGTTGTAGTTTACTTTACAAAAAAAACAATTATTTAGTTACCTGAACAGCATCAAGGTACATTGGATATGAAATTTTTCAAATTCAATGCATCAGTTGCACGTTCACCAGCGTTTATTAATCTACGTGAAGTTTGTGGAAGACATAGATTAGATACAGGACGATATGCAATTATTCCGTCAACATTTCAACCAAATGAAGAGGCTGATTTTATGCTGCGTATATTCTCAGAAAAACCACGTACAACTCAGTAAGTCAATTTGTTGTGTTTTTGTAAATAGAAAGATTTATAGTACATTTTTATGTACAGTACTGAAGTTTAAGTCGTATACTTTTTAAAGATGTTCTTTCATAATCTACATTTATCCTAAACTTAGAACCATAAATTCTTTAGCGAACGCATTAGCTTTCGTTAATATGGTAAGTTTTAAGAGCTATTGATCTTTGGTATGGCTTTGAGTGGTGATTCTTGAAGTTCTAGTGCGAACTTGTGGTCAGTGGAGTTCTCACATGTCTGGGATGAAGTATATGTTACTGGTGACATAAGCTGATCATCTCGTAATTTCGCGAATTAACTGGATCTAAAGCCAAAAGTATGAGGGTTAGCTGCCATCTAATAGGCCTGAATGTACTGTACATGATCCCATGGTGGGTTGTGTTGGGACAGCTTCGAAAAACACGACGAAGCCTCCAGAGGCTCTAAAGGAGCCGAAGTGATTTCGTCCAATCAGAACCTGATAGAGCCTTCTGGAGTATCAATGTGGCACGCTATTATTGGACAATAGCATAACTTCCCTCCTTACGCATTAGCTGAATTATATTAATGTTATAGCCAATAAACCTTTGATTCGTACCCAGTGATCACTTTCCCTACTTCTTACGTCTCCTGATCTGCGACTGTAGGATTCTACACATTCAAGTGCTGTTAGTCACATATCGTATTCTGCCGTAGCCAAGTAGAGGACGTAAGAGGTTGTGTGTGTGGACCTCTTGGTATTCCCACAGGAGGATGGAATGGTTGTAAACTATCTCCTGAGTTTCAATGGTAGTCTGACTAAAGTCGGTTCGTGGAGTAAAAGCACGTAAATAAATATAAACTGCCCCTAAGTTGTTTATGATTAGAAAAAACCCAGTCATTTATATATATTGTGTATATGGTACATATCCATCTTCTCTCACTAGATATACTTACCTTTAATTGTCTTGCTAAATCAATAATATAATAAATAAAAGGGCTATGGAGTATTGAACCAGCCATTTATTCGAATAATTTGGAGTTGCCGTAAAAGTCGACAATTGAAATTTAATGCTTGATCCACATATTTCGAACTCAATCATTAACCGATACCATTTAGATTGTAATAGGCAATATTTTGGGAAATTGGCATCGACATATCTTTTCAAATAACATTTACTTCTGAAGCAGAAGCATTCATCGATCAAAGCTCATCTATTGAATGTTGAGTTTTATAGTTTTCATGACGAATGGATCGTACTTACACAATTGTTGAAAAGCAAGAAGCCAGTGAACACCTGTTTCATTATAACATAAAACTTCTCAATTATACACACCGACGACGCGCCATTGGTATTAAATGGTTGCTAAAAATTTCAAATTTGTTGGATTAAGAATTACAAGCAATTAAGGGCCAACTCAGGAGTCTAAGTGTTAATCGTTTGTTGTGAGACTGATAAATTCTGACTCTCTTCCCCGGTTGGGTCGTAGGTGCCTACTGCTGATGAATTACATACTAAGACAAAGAAGTTGTCAAGTACTTCCCAGTTTTCAGTAGCTGTCTAACTAAGCTTTTTTGACTAAAACTATAAGAAATAAAGTAGTTTAAAACGAAGTGTTCACGGTAAGAAAAGGTTAATTCATGAACAAATGGAAAAAATCTCCTACAAACTTTCAGTCAGTCAGCTACAACGTATGAAGAGGCACATATATACATCGGTCCAAGTTAAAACCCCTCACTCATTAGCACAACAAGATAAACAACGAATTCATAGAAGTAGTCATTTCAATGGTAGTAATTTATAAAAGAAAGATTGTGTATAAGGATATAATACAGAAAGAAAGAATTAGTTGGTAGAAAGGTATAAAGCAATTTTAATCTCATAGTTTAAGGGAAGACAAAGAGTGCATACACCGACGCTATTGTGATCGGTTCTGAGCCATGTCACCAAGAGTCTCTAACCATTGGTTACGATAGTCATGCCGAACCCAACCAAGTAGTTTGCATCTTCTAGCATGGCTGAAACTAGTAGATAGTGACTTCAAGAACCTATGCCACATTTTGGTTTGTCCGCCCTGAACTTTCTTCTGAACATCCCCAACACTAGTGAGCGTTGCACGTCTTGGTAATCGGTGTTGAGTCATACGCAACACGTGACCCAACCATCTCAGTCGATGAATATTTACAACCTTATCAACTGATTTACCATCATTCCCTAATATCCTGCGTCTAACCTCACTACTACTCACCCGATGATCCCAGTAGATTCTGGCAACATTTTTAAGACACGTGTGATAAAATACTAGAAGCTTACGAGTATCTATTACTCTCAATGGTCACGTTCCGCAGACGTAAAGTAGAATAAAATGATCTGTCGCGCAGTATACTCGTCCCTTAATTGATGGGCGGATATCTCGCCTTCGCCATAGGTGACGTAAGTTGGTAAAAGTCAAACAAATTGTAAGACTATTGGATTAATGTTCATCCATATTTACTTACTAACAAATATTTTATTTCTTGTTTAATTAATGAATTCTTTTAACTTCAGTGAACTAGATGAAAAGATTGGTGAAACTGAACCGACAGTAAGTAATACAGTTTTCTATTAAGATCATACTGGATTGTACAGTTTTTGTTGTTGTTGTAAAACAGGTTTGTTTTTAGTACGTATTTATAACATTTATTATTCGTAATTTTAATACTTGAGATCATGAGTCAGTTGAAGCTAGATCACTATGGAAAACCTGGAAGCACTGGATGGATGTTTCGTCCTATTGTGAGACTCCTCAGCAGTGCGCATCCATGATCCTGTCTCGCGAGATTCGAATGAACTGATGCATTGCTAATTATATTTTGCTTGTTTATTGAACCGTCTGCAAATAATTCACACGAGAGATTAATAATAATGATTGACTAATATTGGGAATGTATGCAATTTGTATTTATTCGTATATTGTGGTATAAAAGTGATGAGAGGTGGAGGTCGTGAGCGAATTGCTGGTTTGAGCTTCCTGTGATCTTCCAAACAATGAAGAAACAATTAATTAAATAATATCTTACGACTATTTAGACTTTTTGAATGAATGTTTGTTTAGACATCCGGTTAACTGTTCTAGCTTATACGATTCAGATTCGTCCCAGTTTACTTGTGTATGATATAAGACCAACTAGGAATATAACGGGAAGCTGTTTATTGATGATAAAGATGACGATTCTACTGACCAAAAAGTTTTCATGAACAGGAAATGTTTACAAATTACGTTTAACTGAGAACCATCACTTTCACGATAGGATTTCCAGTGAAATAGTTTCCACTACATCTAAAGTGGATCAACTATCGGGTTTTATATGATACTGAAAATAATGAATAAAAGTAATGAGTTTAGAAATAGTATGAATCGATATCCAAACTGTTTGTATGTAATTCATACACTGGTGTATGCTACTGATATCGACAAATATATGTCGTATGTGTCATCAGTTGAAAGTTAAATGTCTGGTGATAGAAAGTTAAGAAGATTGAAGAAAAGAGAATGAGAACAGCCAATGATTGGTGTAGAAACGAAGGAACAATCAAGTCTGAGACGATTGATTGACATTTTGCAAATAGTGTATTTACTATATGGCTCTCAGATTTTACAAAGATGTTCTGTAAATTTGGTGTTGAAATACTTTCGATTGTCCCCACTGGTGTTCTTGTTCACTACAATACAACACGGCGTTTTGATTATTCCATTTTGATATTGTTATAAACTCTTTCTTACAGTTATGACCCAGCTATTCCTATTGCTTAGTATTCTCGGACTATCGGCTAGTGCTGATTGGATAAGAATTAGACAATCAGAGTGCAGCAAAGCAATCATGCATTGAGCATGCTTTAATCCAGTATATGTCCCGCTAACACCTCCCCTTTGAACAGATTCGTAGGATCTGGTGTGTCGAGAACGTTTACACTTCTTCTTGGGCTGAGGCGTACGATTCGGTGGACAATGACCTTCTTTATGTCCACGTTTGTTGCATATCTGACATTTATGCTTCTTAAATGGACAGAATCGTACATAATGCCAATCACCACATAACCAACATGCAGTCGTTGGTTTGTTACGAGTTGTTATCGGCTTCTGAACTCTTAACCTAGTAATAGCATTGACACTACTGAAGGTTAAATTAGGATTTGCTTGTTCAATCAACTCGTTGTCGTGTCTGATGCTTTGTAGACGCTTACACTCATCTGTCAATGTTCTGAGTGTGACGTTTGGGTCTTGATCCAGTCGAGCCAAAAGTCTAGCCCTGATCTCAGCATCTTGTGGTGACTGCAGAGCTTTGATGAATATTAAGCATTTAAATTGGTCTTTTGTCAACGAGCGTAACTTGAACCGTTCACATTCTCTGTTGACGATGTCTGCTAGAACACCACATTCATCGGCTTCGCGTTTCACCAAATTTACATACCGATATTGAATACTAAACAATGAGGATGACTCACCGAATATCTCTGATAATTGAATTACCGTCTCCTCGAAACTGAGCTCTTGAGGTAACTTTGGTAATATATGGTCAGTATAACGTGCATGTTCATTGCTTCCCAATTTACGTACCAAAAATCGAGTCTTCCACGCATCGTCTTGGTTACAGAATTCTGTTCTAAATGTATCTTCCCAACGTTTGAACCACGTGAGAAAAGTATTTCCACTTTCGGGATCATAGATGAATTCTAGGATGCTGCTAGCAACTGCATCACAAGATGTACTTGAAATAGCATGTGAACTCGAGCAGTGGATGTTAAGCTGTTGAGTCAGAGTCTCCAACAACCGCATTTGTGCATCAAGTTGTGCTTGCTGTTGTTGTATTATTCGGTCAAGCTAGTCATCTGATATGGGTATCTTGAATTTGTTTTCCTTTTTCCTCGTCGCCACTGTTATAAACTATTTCTTACAGTTATGACCCAGCTATTCCTATTTCTTAGTATTCTCGGACACCGATTCACTCGACAAGTCCCCAAATCAGAACACGGTTGAACAGGAAAGAGATTATATTCCAAATAACAAGGTTAGATGGAAGTAGGAAGTACAGTAGGGAAAACGTTAGTATATTTATAGTTTTCACATGAGAAGATTTATAGAGTATTCTCCAAGTATCGACCAGTGCTGATTGGATAAGAACTAGCCAATCAGCGTGCACCAAAGCCATCAGGCATTGAGCATGCTTTATTCTAGTCTATATCCCGCTAACAGATATAGTAAAAAGATTGTCAAGTAACAAGTGAATGTCTCTGAGCTCCATCCAAATACACAGCTTCTAACTTGTTTATTTTTTTGATTTGATCATAAGTTCAATTCTATTCTGAATAGTAGCTCGAATGGTTTCATTTAATCCATTGATTAATTATGATCATTACCTCAATGACAAGTAACTAATTCTATATACTATCAGTTAGAATACACTTTGAAGGTTGAGTGTTTGCATATTGTAATGTACGTAGAATTAACTGCTGATACACATGGATCGTTGTCATTCTTAGTATTCTTTTCTCTCATTCAGAAACCAATCATGTTAACTTGACAAAATAATAGACGCTATATGATTAAGAATTTGGTAGATTTGAGCCATGTAGGTTCAAATCTTGCGAAGTAGAAATCGTGGATATGGGTTAGGACGAAGCGGCCGTTCAGTGCTTCCAAGTTTTCCATGATGGTCTAGGTTCAATCGACTCATGGATTCAACTATAAAATTACTATGTAGATTAGTTTGTAATATTCGTTTTTAAGGCAATTGCGTGAGAAAAAATATTGAAGAAAATAATATTTGTGTACATTGATTATCATCGGTTAAGTAAATATTGAAGCTTTTTTTGATAGTTAATAATTTATCGTAAAGTCAAAGTAACATTACAATCGGTTAGTGTATACAGTCATAACTCTGCATGACACTGTATTCATAACTAATGAAATGTTTTCAGTGAATTCGGTACACTGAATCAGACTCTAATAGTTTTAGTTCTAAGCCTTAATCTAGTTAAGATAAAGTGCTCGAAAATTCAACACTCTCTAATTCGGGATTCAATAGTTTAAGAGTAGTACGATAATATGAATACAGTGGTTTTGAGTGCTTTTGGAGGTGTGAGGGCGGTTATCACTTCTCAGCTTTTCACAGATGGTCTTATTGACCTGAGATCGCGACCACAGTGCCCAAGGGACAGCTGCTTGAGGTCGGTCACACACGACCGTTTTGTGTAATTTTCGAGTTAGTTTTGTACTTGTTGAGACCTTACTGCAGGAGACAGAAATTTGTGGGATAAGGTGAAGTGTGGGTTTTTAGGGTCGACTTTTTCTAACCCCATCCCTCCTTGTGGGAAGGCAGCCTCGCTGTTATGCTGGTTATCTCAAGGAAACACCCTACTGCCGTCACATCTCTGTACAGTCAACAGTACGACTTTGACTTCGGACCTTGGTTTTGCTGCTTTTAGTCTTCCGCACTTCGACCGACCTGTCTGGCATGGTGAGACCTTGAGTAACAATTGTTCCAGCCAGTATAGCTCGATTGGTTCATCATGATAGGCAAACCCGATCACCACCTTAATATAACTAATGAAGTATGGCAACTTGCATATATGTGCCCGATCCTAGGTTGTAGCTGACTGACTGTAATATTCTTGAAGTATGAGTGTGCACTGTTGAGAGGTTTTCTGCCTGACATTAGTTTGTAAAGAAACATTTACTTTCAAAGTGTCACATATTGTGTATGTGACTTGAATTAAGTTAAAATGTATGAAAATAGAAAGAAGATTGTTTGTTTGTGAATATAAATTTAACGGAAGAGTAGATATCATTATGATGAATAGTTACTAGTCTAGAAGTTCGTCTATTATTTTTAAAATATTCTTAAAGGTAAGTTACTTCTAATTCCTGAGAAAATATTTTTTATTATTTGTACAATACTATTCTTTTTTAATGAGTGAATTAATGGCTTTAAAACAGATGATTGAAGAATGAATCCTTCAGGAATTCTTCAACCAATTGGAATAATTTATGACGAACTGACTGATCAATAAGATCGATATTTCTTTATTTGAACACATGAATATTGATACAAAGGACTACCGAACACATATGCACCACACATATCACTTGATTTGTTTGTGTGCTACGATACTACCCGGGTGCTCAGACCGGAGCGGGTAGTTTCCTTAGGGGGCCACATCCCGGAGCCTTCGACTTAAATGACTGATCCACAAAGAAGTGAAGCAACGTCAGGAGGTGCAATCCTATGGTAGCCGATCACCGACAATTGGTTCATACGCCATTTGTTCCTTCAATATACTGGTGCCCATGTGGACCATTGGTTTGGAATCATGGTTTCTTAACTCTCCTAGATGGATCCTCCATATCCACCTACACGGTTAGAGCGTCGGACACTCGCTTTTCGTCCTCTGAATTTCGTAAACAACAGTAATCCCTTGAGAAGGCAGTGAGTAATACTTCCCTGACAGTGGTTGTATACACGTAGCCATGTAAGAACATTTAGAGAGGGATATTTGACTCGTTCCACTGACAGCCGTACCAGAGCATTTGGAGCTTCAATGAAAAGACACAATAGTACTTGAATATTGATGTGTGCGTAAAAACATTATGATCGTCGAAAGTGCAAATACTTCGATGATTTCACTTCACGAATTTGTGTAATCAACGCATTTTGCATATTAAATTAGAACAATTTATATGCATCATGCAGGAGTTTCATACTACTTAAATTGTCCTCATCAACGATACTATGCTGTTGTAAACTGAATTATTTCAGCCGATATATATGGTATTATATTGATAATTTTATTCATCTATAACATTCACTTCAAAAAATAATAAAGAAGCTTTCATACAAGGCTTTTAGAAATATGAGGATTGTAATCTATAGTACTTTTCCATGTAATTGGGGCTCCGCATTGAGCCCCCCTGGGGCTACTGCCGTTCCTAAGCCCGGATAAAGGAGGAGCATTGAGCTTGAGATTAGTGACCCTATCCCATAGGAAACTAACTCACCAAAAAAACGCTAACCAGAAAAAAATAATTCAAACTCAAAGTAAGGGTTATGAATTTATTAACGCTAAATCTACAATTTATTGAATCTTCTCTTTGTTTTCCTTCATGGTTACCTAAAAGCTTGCGATTAATTTACAGTTGACTTCTTAACTGAACACTAAATACACTTATGTCTTTTAGGTTCGAAAAGATAACAACATTCTTAAAACGACGGTTTGTTAATTGTCCCTCCACCCTCCCAAAAAAAAGTTTTGTATTTTCATAAGCATTTATTTCTATCTTATTTTTCTCTCACTAAATATTTGTTAATGAGCAATTGTTTAAGCTGTTTACACTTGTTGCCAATGTGTTTGTTAAGTTTGTTGCTGTTAGAAACAAAGTCTGTTTGATTAATGTATGTTCGAAAATTCCTCTGATTCACTTTCCACTCTCTTTCTTTCTCTGTCTCTTTCTCTATGTGTGTGTGTATATTTGCGCACTATTCTTGTTTAGGTTTGTTATTTGTTGCCAAGTATTGCCGAAATTTCACATTTTCTCTGTTTACCTTAACTCCCACCCATTTGCCTTTTGAAAACAAACAAACAAACAAACAATTTCACATACACTTATGCACAATCTGATGATAAGTTTGTGTTTTGTTCAGAAGTAATCTTTAATGTTATTTTGTTTTTATCAAACAAACCTTTATATAAATGATGACTGGGATTAGAATACTGAAACTGTATCAGTACTTATTCAGCTAACTGAAGAAGGTAGCAATCAGATCATAATGGATGAATGCGTTTATAGAAGCAACAATTTATAGGATAGTCGTTTAATGGTTCATGATTACTGTCCAGTTATTTTCTGGAGAGTATAAAACTGTAAATGGTTTAAAACTATCTACAAACAGGAATCTAATTTAAAAACTTTAGATCCAGGACAATCATCAACCAACTAATTTGTAAAACTGGAATTATAATCATTCGATTTCAATATCCAACTATCAGTGAATGATTAGTATGCGGTTGTAAAGATTATTCATTTTTTGATTGAGATCATAAACTGATTGATGTTAGAACACCATTGAAAACCTGAAATTATGTGGTCACTAATGAGTAGCTTCATGAGGGAATTCTCGGAGTTCTAGTAAGACGTTGTGACCAGTGAAGCTTATCTGTATCGGGTAAAGACAGTACAATAGAAGATGGTCGCACAATTTTGTAGATTGGTTGAAGTTAGACATTAATACCGTTGAATACCGGCTCAGTGGTCTAGAAGTTAAACGTTCGCGCGCAAAACAGAAGGCTCTGTGTTCAAATCCAACGAGGTGGGATCGTGGTCGCGCACTTATGAAGAGTCCCACCAAAGGATGAAATGGCCATCCAGTGATTCCAAGTTTTCAATGATGATCTAACATCAATCGGTTCATGATCTCTATCAGTGAATTAGCTTGTTAACCTCTTCACGTTTGCACTTTAACACAATTACGAGATGTGTTATGTAATAATGTGTGTGCGCGTATATTTTTAATGAGGTAACATTGCTAACTCCAATCCATCTATGATGATAATATTCATGATCAAATTTTGGAATTAATAATAAATTGTGTAAACTGTTTTTTTCTCTCTACATTTCTAGCTCAATTTGGATGATAATGTATGTTTCTTTGCCATACGAAAATTATGTTTTTCTTTTGCAACCATGAAATGCGTGTGCGCCTGCGTGCGTGTGTGCGTGTGCATGTGTGTGTGTGTGTGGGAGAGAGCCGACGCATGTATTCGCTTCTGTTAATTTACATTTTTCCTAATGTAATAGGTTTTGATCTTATGAATTTTTACTACTGAATTTTGTTCGTTTCGATTTATAAAATATGTAGAGTTTGGATGTTTATGCTTGTTCTATTCTTTTGTAATATCCGTTCTATACATAATCTGTTCAAGATAAATACACGAATTGAGATTGTAAAACGTCAATCTGTAAATGTTTAAGGTGTATTAATCTCATATACTTAATTACTTACTTATGCCTGTTGTCCCTCTATAGGGAATAAGCCGCCGAACACCATTCTCCAACCCACTCTGTACTCCACCTTCCTTTTTAGTTCTATCCAATTGTTTTTCATTCTTCTCATGCCTGTCTCTATTTCTCGGTGTTATGTGTTCTTTGGTCCTCTTCTTCTCCTTTGACCTTGACAATTCCATGTCAGGTCTTGTTTTGTGATACAGTTGGACGCTTTCCTCAATGTGTGTCCTATACTGATTTCTTCTCCGACTGGAATCTGGTTTTGTCCTCTCCCAGAGTAGATTGTTGTTAATAGTGTCTGACCAACGGATTAGAAGTATTTTTCATAGACAACTGATAATAAACACTTTTATCTTTTGGATGTTGGCTTTCGTAGTTCTCCAAGTTTCCACTACATACAGTAGAACTGTTTTGATATTTGAATTGAAAATTGTGACTTGTTTTGGTTGACAGTTTGTTTTTAGTTCTAGATGTTCTTCGATTGTACATTTGATGCTTTTGGTTTGCAGATACTCTCCTTCACATCTGCATCAAATCGATTGTGCTCATCAATGATGCTGCCCAGGTGTGTAAAGGTTTTTACATCTTTCAAATCTTCTCCATCAAGTGTGATTCGATTGGTGCATGTTGATATTAATCTCATATACCTTCAAGAAAATATTCACATATGTAACAATACAAGTGTTTTATCCCCATATTCATTGTTCAGAACATGCCTGAAAAACTCTTAAAATATAGTGTTTACAGTTAACACATCAATTCACATCGATTGTTTTGTCATCGTATCAGTTCCCTTCAGGGAAAGTTTGAGCAAAGATTTTCTATTCAATCAAAACACTCAGTTAGAAATTAATTTTGTCACAATAGATGTACGCAATATACTTCTGAGTTATCAATCTTAAAAAGGTAATAGTGTTTCACTAGAGATAATCATATCTAGATATTTACACAGTTCTCATGATTTATACAATACCTCTTGAAGCTAGTCACTAGTGAGCATATGCTGATTAGTATCAAAAGGGGTTTTTGTGGATATTTTAGTAATTCCAATGGTTGAGAGCATCAATCAATTGAAGCTAGGTTCAGGTAGAACAGAATGACTTAACTATTAGATGAAATATTTGTTGGAAAAAATGTGAATTATTGTTAGATACATAAATTACAATACACCATCCGTCGTTAGATCGCACACTCAATACTACTACCACCACTACTACTACTAAGGTGCAGATCGGTAGAGCAAGAGCAGCATATCTACAATTAAAGAATGTCTGAAACTTAAAACAAGATATCAACCAACACCAAAGTCAGAATTTTCAATACAAATGTCAAAACAGTTCCACTGTATGTGGCGGACGATCTAGACTTTGCAGATGATTTGGCTCTTCTATCGCACACGCAACAACAAATGCAGAAGAAGACTACTAGTGCAGCAGCAACCCCAGCAACAATAGGTCTCAACATCCACAAAGGGAAAAAAAGATTCTCCAATACAACACAACATGCACCAATCGACAGAGAAGCTTTAGAGGAAGTAAAGACCTTCACATATCTGGGAAGCATCATTGTTGAACACGGTGGATCTGATGGAGATATGAAGTCGAGTATCGGCAAATTAAGAGCGGTATATCTACAATTGAAAAATGTCTTGAACTCAAAGCAAACTGTCAACCAAAACAACTCAGAATTTTCATTAAGAATATACAAGTATTTATTAACAGTTGTTTATGCAAAATACATCGAATCCGTTGGGCAGACACTATCAACAACAACCTACTGTAGGACAGAACAAACCAGATTCCAGTGGAGGAAGAAATCGGAATGAAGCGCTGGAAGTGAACAGGACACACATTGAGGAAAGCACCCAACTGTATTACAAGGTAAGACCTCACATCGGATCCTTTAGGTCAAAGGAGAAGAGGAAGACCAAAGCATACATTATGTCAAGAAATGGAGACGGACATGAGAAGAATGAACAACAATTGAATAGAACTAGAAAGGAAGGATGAGGATAGAGTAAGTTGGAGAATAGTGTTCGGCGGCTTATTATCTATAGAGGGTAACAGGTGTAAGTAATTAACTGTTTGGAAATTTGAAAAATCGAATATAAATATGAATATAAATGATAATGATGTCTTGAAATGTTTACAATCTTACCTTAACACATTTATTCTGATCACTTATTTAAATCCATTTGCTTGTAAGTGTTTTGCGTCAAGTTTACACCCTTGTTTTGTTATGTAATGTTTATTGATTTTTTTTGGTTTTATTGTTGCTTGGGTAATTGAGATTCTAATAAAGTGTTGATTTTGTTTTAAAAATTAGAATGTTCAAATGTAGATTTTATAATGTAGGTTTTTATGTTATTTTCTAATGATGGGGGTAAAATTTAAGACATGGTAACATATTTTATGCAAGTTACTTGATTGGTAATGTTAGTTGTGTAGTAATGTACATATGTCTTGATGTATAATAGGTTGGAGCATGAATCTTACATTTGAACATTTCAAATGATCATATTTTATGTTTGAATTGTTTACAATTGATTGATCACTGTGGTGTTGATCAATGTCATGTATGTTAGATCCTTCTTAGTGCAAATCGAATGCTATTGACCAAGTTGCAACGTTGTCATTAGTCTAGGTGATTCGACATTGCGTGCACTAGCTCAAAACTCCAGTCAAGATTTTTGTGTTGACTACCTTCAATCAGCATCTTACTTCAACATAGTGGTTGAAGACTCTGTGTAACATGGCTCAGAATCGATCACAATGGCGTCAGCGTATACATGATGAGATTAAAATCGCTTTATAACTTTCTTTCCACGAACTAATTCTTTCTTCTTGTACTATGTCCTGATATGCAATGTTTCTTCTATATATTACTACCACTGAAGTAGCTCCTATGAATTTGATGTTCATCTTGTTATGCTAATGAGCGAACTATGACAACTTGGACCAATGCATATATGTGCCTAGTCTTACGTTGTAACTGACTGACTGATTGATATTCACTTATTTTGAATGACTAATAGAATTGGTTTAAATCACCAATATGAAATGTCATTTTCACAGATTTTCATTTCATAGAACTGTATTATTTTGTTTTTCTATTTGGGAATTTTGAATATTTCCCAGTATACACATTGATCATATTCACTTTGAAACTGTTCTTATAGTCCACATTATTCAACACTGTTAATATGTACTTTTAAATATTTTTATTCCACCATTTGTTGTTATGCAAAGGTATTTTTTATTTAAAAGGAAATAACTTTCATTCGGTAATAAATTTTGTATCCAACCCGTTGATTACGTTATTTATTGCCAAGTAAAGTTAAAGGATATCAAAGTATAAAATTTTGATAGTATGGTAGTTATGGTGGTCATTTAGTAAGAATAACTTAAATAAACACAACCATAATATGGTGTAAATCAAATTACATGGAACGAACTTAGTCAGTCAGTTAATCAGCTACAACTTGAGACCAGGAACATATATGGATCGGTCCAAGTTGTCATAGTTCGCTCATTAGCATAACAAGATGAACACATAATTCATAGAAGGAGTTACTTCAGTGGTAGTAATATATAGAAGAAATATTGCATATCAGGACATAGTACAAGAAGAAAGACTTAGTTCGTGGAAAGAAGGATATGAATCAATTTTAATCTTATAGTTTAAAAGAAGACAGAATGTGTATACACTTACGCCATTGTGATCGGTTCTGAGCCGTGTCACACACAGTCTACAACCATTGGTTACGACAGTCATGCGGACCCCAAACAAGTACTCTGCATCTACCCATATGGCTGAAACCAGAAGTTAGTGACTACAAGAACTGATGCCACGTTTTAGTGTGGTCACCGCCCAATTCCAACCAGATCCAACACTTATCAGCATTGTGCGTCCTGGTAATCGAAGTTCAGGCATACATAACACGTGGCCCAACCATCTCAGTCGATGAAGATTCACAACCATCATTCCCTAATACCCTGTGCGTCTAACCTTATTATTACTTACTCGGTGATCCCAGTCGATGCTGATAATATTTCTAAGATATCTGTGATCAAATACTAGAAGCTTACGAAAATCTTATACTCCTAATGGCCACAAACTACTTAAATTATCCCATTTTGATTTTATTTTTCTCTACAAAATTAAGTTTACTAATCAATGCATGCTATATGGGTAAATGAATGATTGTTTATAAATGTTCTCTAGCTTGTTTTATTTAGAGGTAAAAATATAATGAGTATTTCAATCAATTATGTATCATTGTTTATATGGCTTTTAGCAATGTTTCTCAGTATGTATTTTATTCTGAAATTGAAAGTTTTCATTGTTACTATGGGGGAGTTTTTTGAGGCTATTGAATATCAATAAGATTATGAAGTGAACGAATTTAAAAATTACCAATGAAAACCAGAAAACACTGAGAAACTGTTCCTTTTTAGCATGAGATCTTCAAATTGTACACATCTATGATTCCAACCAGAGACCAAATGTGAGGTTGTAATAAGAAATCGTGGCCAATGAATCTCAACCGTGTCAGTTGTGACGCAGTCACTCACCGAAGACAATAGAAGATGGCTGGACACTATAGAATTTAGATGTGAAAACGACTGGATGCCGACTCAGTGATCCTATGTTTTAAGCTATCTCAATGAGAACTAAAGTTGCCAAGTTCAATTGTGGGTGAGATTGTTGATGTAGACTACCGACAAGTCCTATACTATCCAGTGCTTCCTAATTCTCATTGTGTATAATTTCAATTATTTCTTCTTCTTCTTCTTCTTCTTCTTCTTCTTCTTCTTCTTCCACTTCAATAGTATCCAATAATTCAGATTTTTCAATTAAAATAAGCTCAAACTGTAAGCATCACTACTATCTTGTTACTATTCAGAAGTCTGTGTTTTTCGTAATCCGCTTCTTAAGATCATTGGCTTTGTCAGCTAATGGTTTACTTAAATAGGAATTTTTTCGAATTCTCCATTGCATATCTGATGTCAATTCGTGATGAAAACCCTAAATGTAATTTTTAACCCTAATCATCAACTGTAATTGAGAATTCTGACTGTTTTATAACCTTCATTTAATCCTATTCAGTGAGTGTCTACTCTCAAAGTCATTTCAGCATTGCTCAAAGGTTGTCTATAAATGATCGTCTCACCAAAAAATCTTGTAAAATGATTCTCTAGTTTGTATGAATGCGGTTTCTTTTCTCTCTCCCTCTTTCTTTGCCCCCTCCCCTTCTGTCTGTTTTTCCATTGAATATGATTGACTTATGTAATTGTATTTCATTTCTCAATTGATATTGTGTGTTTATGTATTTGAATATTGATTTTGTAGACCGTTGTAAAACCATTAACGGATATACAAGTGGAAGCATTACACAAAGCATTTAATAAAGTTGCTGGAGATGATGGTGAAATTGATGCAGATGAATTACGTGATATATTGAATTGTGCATTTACTCGAGGTAAGACATCTAAAAAAAACAATAGAATATATCAATCTCTTTTTTTTGTTGTTGAATGATCCTCTTTACTGAAGTAAATGATCAAAAGTATGACAAATCGAATTGATGTACATACACACGAAGTTCTACCTTGTTGCTAACTGACTGAACATTAGCGATATTCTTTCTTTTGTTGTTAGATTGAAATAATCTATTTATCAATCAGTAATCCAAATTGTTCCTACTTACTTACTTACTTACACCTGTTATCCTCAATGGAGAATAGTTCACCGACCAGCATTCTCCAACCCACTCTGTACTCCGCCTTCTTTTCTAGTTCTATCTAATTGTTGTACATTCTTCTCATGTCTGTCTTCATTTCTTGGAGTAATATGTTCTTTGGTCTTCCTCCTGGAGCCCTCTGGGTCTATTTCAGGATTGGGCATAGAGTTCGAGATCCAATCTTGTAGAAAACTAACTTTCTATAAAAACTCTAATTACAAGAAAATAAATCAAAATTGTTCCTACACACAAGATTAAAAGTTGACTTTTTGGAATTCTCTATATTTAACCAACTTCTACCTAGTTGTCTCTTAGTACTAAGTAAATTTTATGCATTAAGATTCTCATATTTACTACGTTTTGAGTTGATTGATTTGAAATTTTAATCGTAGTTGATAAATAGAGTTTGTTTCCTTTCTTAAGAGTGAGGATTAACATCGTATTGATCATCTGGTTGTTCTAATGAAGTCTGGCAACTTGGATCGATGCATATATATGTGTCTGGTCCTATGTTGTAGCTCACAGACTGACTGATTGAATATCAATTTTCAGATTATTTACCATCCATCTATAAGAATATTGGAATAGTTTTTTGTAATTCCTAATTGTTCTATTCAATCAGTCAGCTATAATGTAGGACTAGGCACATATATTTATCAGTCCAAGTTGCTATACCTCATTAGCACAACAAGATGAACACCAAATTCATAGAAGTAGTTACTTCAGGGTTAGTGATATATCAAAGGAAAATTGCATATAAGGACATAGTACAGGAAGAAATTATTAGTTCGTAGAAAGAAAGATACAAACTGATTTCAATCTCACAGTGAGTGTATACACTGACGCCACTGTGATCGATTGTGAGCCATGTCACACACAACCTCAAACCATTGGTTTCGATAGTGACACAGACCTTAACCAAGTAATCTGCATCTACCAATATGGTTGAGACCAGAAGTTAGTGACTTCAAGAACCGATGACACATTTTGGTTCGGCCTCCCCTAACTTTTGTCCAACCATCTCTAACACTAGTGAGCATTGCGCGTTGTGGTAATCGGTGTCCAGGTATACGTAACACGTGACCCAACCATCTCAGTCGATGAATATTTACAACCTGATCATTTGGTTCACCATCATTCCCTAATACATTGTATCTAATCTCACTAATAATTACCCGGTGAACCCATCAGATGTGAGTAATATTTCCAATGCATTTGTAGTCTTATTACCTCTATCTTTTGCTCATATGCTTTCTAATAAAATAAGGATTTATATATATGTGAGTTTCCGTCATACCAATGTATTGAAAAATTCAATCGGTTACCCTGAAGTAGTCAATTTAGATCTTTCATCGACTATCATTTTTCAGAATGATGTACAAGTCCATAGGTAACTGTACACACATAAAACAATGTTCAAATATTTCAGTTTATCTTAGATGTCGCTTTGAAAAACAGATAACGATGAAATAGAAAATAATTCTCGTAAAGTAATAACAAATCTGTATAAAGAACTGTAATTCAACTTGAAGACAGATAAAATTCAGTTGCTAACGAATATAATACTGAAGAAGAACCTAAATCGATTACTTCCTGCTAATTCTTTCATAAATGATATACAATAGAATGAAGGAATCGTGGATAGAAATTTTACAAATCAGTACCTCTAAAAGATGTCAGTATGTACATATTATAAGGAGTTGGTAACCATTGTCAGGGTATTATTATCTTATCATATACATATGGACTCATCCATTGTCATTTATTTATTTATTTAAACACATAAATATTGGTGCAAAGGACTACCGAATACATATGCACCACACAAGCTACTTGATTTGTTTGGGGGCTGTGATACTACCCAGGTGCCCAGACCGAAACAGATGGTTTTCTTATGGAGCCACGTCTAGAGCCTTCGACCTAAAGATCTGATTCGTAAGGCAGTGGAGCAACGTTATGAGACCCTGTCCCATTATAACCGGTCACCAACTCATTTAGATGGATCCTCCATATCCACCAACCCGGTTTAAGTGCTGGAAATTCACTTTTTGTCTTCTCAATTTCGTAAACAACATCAATGCCACAAGAATGATGTGAGTAAAACTTGTGTGGCAGTGGCTATATACCCTTGGGAATGTGAGAGCATTTAGAGCGGAAGAGCTGATTCTTCCCACCATCGATCGTACCAGAGCATTTAGGGGCATCTATTATCTGTCGTCTTTTATTGATTTGTCATGAACTGTCATATAACATTCGGGGGTTATAAATGAATTTTTACTTTCTGTACTGATAATGTTGTTTAGAAGGTCAAAATAGGTTTTACTAACAAACCATCTAACTCATACAATTTTAACTTCATCAAAAAAACACAGTTTCCACCTTTGCTTATGATTGGTTACTATGGTGATATTTGAAAGGGAACTATGGTGATGATTGAGGAAGAGATCACAATAAAATATTTTTTAAATGAAATAATTACTTTAGTTTAACATTTTGATAGGTTATTCGATAACTTTACATTACCATTATATTGCATTTTTTAATATCTAGCTTTTCTTTGAATGTAGGAATTGACCTTCAACAATTTCGGTATAATAGTAATCATAGTTTATCAGGTGGTTATATTTTGTTGACAGGAAACTCAGCTTGGATTTTGTGCTAGTTAGCATACATCTACAAGGTGTACCTGTAATTCTTAGGTGACTGATTCCCTCTGTGGGGTTCGAACTTCCATGTTACCCAACTTCATAGTTCAACCATTTAACATTTCAACATAGTCTGTACGATGTTGAGCCGCTTAGACTAGGAGCTATATTGTTAGTTGACTAATAGAAGTCGATCAACACTAAAGGACTAAACAAACAAACTGATGGTTACTACATAGGTATCAATTTCAAGTTTAGTTATAAAACCTAATTTCAAAGTAGCATGGTTGTCTATTTTTATGCCTAATAGCAACATATTTTATATTTCAGCGATATCAGTCTCGACTTGTATGGTTGTTGATATAAAAGCTGTATTGGCTTGGGAGTATATGAAAATTCAATTCATTAGTCATCTTTACTAAGTTTCTATAACATTTTCATAAGTGATTCTTTGTAACCACATTCAAACCTTCATATGAATCTAGTTGGGATAGTAGTCTTCTGATTGTAAAACATGAAAAGAAATCAGTTAAAAAGTGGCGTCTTCCTGAGATAAACTTGGAATGATTATTTTATAAAAGCTTATTTTAAAATTGAATATTGGGTAGCAGTGGGATTCATAACCTATTTGAGACTAATCAGCTTGGTGTTCTTATATGCGTGTTGATTTCTATGCTGTGACTTCAACTACAGGCTTCAGTTCAAGAAGCATTCATTCATACATATGAGAGAGTTCGATTATGATTGTCTCCGACAAAACACTTCTTTTATTATACTATCAGTATTGTCTTTTAAAGACATGATGGTATACACAATAATAGTCACATAGTTGGTCGCTGCTATAATCATCTTTCTGTTCGTCTACTCCTGTTAGTCATGGTCAACTAATTATGCTCATTTTCTATTTCTAAAATATATCGCCAAACACGTATCTGAGTTCTTCTATGCAAGATGGAATAAAATATCGTACCATTATTTAGGTAGTTCAATTACTTTCGTTGGTTGAGTGTACACCGAAGAAGTAACTTAAGTGTCATTGACAAACTTTGTTCAATTTTAATGATAATTATTCTCATAAGTTTGTAGTTGAATTCATAAGTCAATTGAAGTTAGACAACCATGGAAAACCTGGAAGTACTGTACATCCTAGTGTAGGACTTGTCAACAATGCGCATTCACGATCCCACTTCTCGAGATTCGTACTCACTACCTATCAGTCCTGGGTACTTTAAATCATTTGGTGTCATTAAAAGTCACTCTTATGAGCGTTAAAATTTGTTACAAAGTGAATTCATCCACTCATTTCATCTGAATTTAAAATAATCTACTTCTCATGTTTTTACTTGACTATTATAGTACCGATTCCCTTTTCTCCTTTTGAAACTACGCATCAGTAGTAATAAAATATGCATAGAAATATTTTCTAACATTTTAATAGTTAAATTTGAGTCGATTGAAGTTAGACAATCATAGAAAACCTGGAAGCACTGTATGGTCGTTTTATCCTAGTATAGGACTTGTCAACAATGCGCATCCACGATCTCATCTCACGAGATTCGAACCCTGGACTTATCAGTTTCACGCGCGAGCACTTAACCTCTAGACCACTGACATTTATCAAATAGGATATTTTTTAAATTCATTCTTTGTTTCTGTTGTAATTATAATTTATATATAAAGTTATTATCTAATAAGATTTATCGTTTTACATATATATCCTCTCTTACAAGACACATTTGGTTGTAAGCTCAAAAATAAAGAGTTATCTAATTTGAATTAACCAGTTGCGATTGTTATTGCATTCAAAACTTCTTCGCTTTTTTTCGTTAACTTATTGCTAGTTTGCTCGCTTTTCTGTTTCATCTTCTTATTTCTTACCCATTTAGTTGGTTTAGTGTAGTATGTACAGGGTTGTGTACGTTACATTTCCTGTTTCTTAAAGTGTATAATGTTTTACAATGTTGATGTAGGATTTGTACTTTTCACAGTGAGTTACATTTGTTATTCAATATTATTTCACTCATCATTATCATTATCATTATAGAGGTAGTTCTGATACACTTTTGAATATGCATTTCAATTTGACTATAACATTACTGAAGTGATAAAACTGGTGTATATTGAAACACAACTAATCATGAGTAGTAATGAAGTATGCATAGAAATATTCTCTAACATTTTAATAGTTGAATTAAGGAGTCCATTAAAGTTAGACAATCATGGAAAACCTGGAAGCACTGTATGGCAATTTCATCCTAGTATGGGACTTGTCAGCAGTGCGCATTCAAAATCCCGACTTGTGAGATTTGAACCCAGGACTATGATTTAATGTTTGAGTCATACTTCTCTGCTTAAACATTCAATCTGTTATTGATATTTACCATTTCTTGGCGAGGAGATGGTATTATCATATTTTTCGCTTTTTTTTCTCGCTCTCTTTCTAGTTTCTTTGGTTGACTTTTATTCATAAATGCTCTTGTTTTTATTGATCGTATAAAATATTACACTTTGGTTTTGTATTTCAATGCACTGCTATAAATTCACAAAACAATTTTTCTAAAGAAATAATAAGATCTGTTTTACTGTAGCTTAATGCGTGTGATTTTAGCGATTTTAATTATACTACTCAAATATATATTAAGTAGGTTAAAGTTTTATTTTCATTTTTTATAATTTACATTATTGTAGATTTCGCTTTTGATGGATTCAGTTTGGAGTCGTGTAGAAGTATGATTGCTATGATGGATGTATCCTTTTGTTCACTTTTAAAATGACTACTTTTAAATATTTTGATTATCATATATTCAATAGGAAAGGAATACCCGGAGATGGTGTGGTTTGTAATGGTTAGACCCATAATCTATTGTATAGGAGATAGATTCAGATATTATGATGATTTCAAGAGTTGTGTTCGTTGTTAAATTTTATTTTTAACATGCATGATTCACCAAATAATCATTTTATTAATGGAAGGTGCGATGTTTCAAAAACGCTAAGTATCTCTTACAGTTTTCGATGAGGAAATCATCCTCAAATTATAAAATATCTCGGCGAATTACCCAACAAATCAATGATCGTGACTATCTTCGTGACAGACTTTATAAGAGATTCTACTGAGAGCTATGAAAACATACAAAACATTTCAACTCAAAACTGAGTAGACAACTTATTGATGTCATTGCAAACTGTTAGATTCTAATTTAGCAATTTAGATTGTTTCCATTTTACCTGATGTAACTTAAGTTTAGTTTTGCTTAATTTGAATCAGTTTTAATATCTACATATTGTTTATAACCATTATAACTATATACACCTTAACTCAGTCATTTTCTGATAGGTCGATCGTTCTGGTATGTTAAGTTTTACGGAATTTCGGAAATTATGGGATCTGTTACGTGTTTGGAAGGTGAGTAGATGATTATCAAATATACTTTGATGATATTTACCATTTATTAAGTAACGTCTTATGTAACAGATGGTTAAATTTACTCTCCATCATCTATTTCAGTGTTGCCTTGATATTGAAACTTTTAGGAATCAATCGAGTAATGTTAAAGGACATTCTTTTTCAACAACTCTTTAAGCATATAACACTGTTGAATGTTAGTCTATTGTATTGAATATGATATGGCTTTCATAATGATAACTATGCTTTTCCTTAAAACCATTATTTTCTGTGAATTCAATAATTCATTACACATGATTCGCATCGTGTGAAACTTTTCATCGTAGAATCTCATTACCTCAATTTCTTAATCTAAAGTAGTAAATGGACTGTACTTAAAATAGTTGACAATATTAAATTCAATAAATCTATATTTCCTGTTGTATATTACAATTTGTCCAGTCAATGTGGTTAATTTAGCTGTTTTATGCATGAGATTTTTGATTGAGATCATGAACTAATTGATGCAAGATCACCATTGAAAACCTGGGAGCACTGGATGGCTGTTTCGTCCTATTGTGGGACTCCTCAGCAGTGCGCATCCACGATTCCGCTCACGGGATTCAATTTCAGGGCCTTTGGTCTCACGCGCGACTGTTTAACCTCTAGACCACTGAGACGGCCAGCAACCAACAGTGTTAATGTCAATCAGTTCATGAACTCAATCAAAAACTTCATAATCTCCATAATGATATACTGATTATTCATGAGATGTATGATTTACCATATATTATGATGAGTTTCACCGACAATATTTAAACTGAAACGTTGAAGTAAAAAGAATAAAAAAAAGCTCCTAAGATTTATTTTTACCTTCCCATTCTGATAAAACACTCATTCATCATAACATATGGCAAATCGTAGACGAGACTATAGTTGATCGACAACCTTTGAACGAATCTCAAGTGACCATGACAAATATTGACCATTCAGAGAACAGTTAGTATAGACTGAAAATAAATTATACGAAATTAAAGAATTAAAGTGAATACACTTGTTTTACATAGTTCAAAAACTTGTCAAGATTAGAGAGAGGTTCAGAGGTTCTAAAATCGTAATGTATACGGTATATGGTTCCATAATAGTCGGCCTCTGGAGACGTGATAAAGTCACAAAACTGTTTGAACCTCAACCACGTAGTTTCACTATAATTATTGTGTGCGCTCCGGTTGTTGGGTCCATAAAACGCCACTTGTGAACAACGACATAATGCACATAATCAAGTCTATTTTGGCATCTGTTCGATCTTCAATCATTCGTAAATATCGTAGTATCCGGCTGTAGCCAGTGTTACTGATTCTTTTATTATCCAGTTCTCAATTGAAATAAACCTATTCTAGCAAACTTTACGCTCCAACATATATTACATCGAAAAACGACATCATCACGGTAGTTTGCATAAGGTCCACAAGTCATGTGATTACTACAATGACAAATAAAAGAACTTCTTAGTAGTCCTATTTGTTGTAGCCGCTCAATTATCTCGTTTTCGCTACCACCTATTGTGAATCGATCGTACGTGAGTTTCAAGTACTGAAATTAGCGCTGTGACATTGAGATCTCTCAAACGCTCCACGCTGGCTCGTCCATAAATTGTAGTCTCGCCCCGAAATATTTGGATATATATATATCGATGATCACCATAATCTAAGGTAACTTGAGTAACCATCAAGTACTATAAAGTACTACGTAACAGTTTTGTTTTTATTTAGGAACAACACAGTAGTGCCCATTTCAGCAAACAATATGAGTTCACGAATAAAACCCATTCATAACAGTCTTGATATCAGTTTTGTATTGTGTACAACATGTTACACATTGAAAATACTGTCAATATATAGATTGAATAATAATTTTTACGTTTAACAGTTTATATAACTGACGAATATCCACAATAAAATAAATTGTATATCTACACAACCGATATCACAGATTTACTAATTCGTAACCTAGTTTACTTCACAATACACATAGATATTAATACAAGGAGGCACTAAATAAATATGCGCCACACAAATCTCATTCGATATGTGTCAGGGCTGTGATACTGCCCGGGTGCCCAAACTGAAGCAGATAGTTTTCTTAGAGGGCCACACCCACAGCCTTCGACCTGAAGGTCTGATCCACAAGGCAGTGGAGAATCGTAAGGATATCCAGTCCCATGGGAGCCAGTGACCAGTAATTGGTTCATACACCATTTGTTCCTTTAGTATACTGGAGCCCATATGCACCACTGGTTTGGAATGAGGGTTTTCCAACTCCCCTAGGTGGACTCTCCATGCCCACCAACCCGGTTAAATCGCCGGCCGTTCACTTTTCGTCCTCTCAATTTCGTAAACAACAGTAATGCCACTAGAAGGTAGTGAGAAGGACTTCCCTGGCAGAGGTTATATACGCGTGGCCAGGCGAGAGCATTTGGAGAGGGAGAGTCGACTCTCCCCACTCTCGGCTGTACTAGGGCATTTTGGTTGACTATTGACAATGACTTACTATTTCCACACATATATAATATGAGAAATATCAACAGATTTCTCTACCATTTGAATCAATAAACTGCTAATTTACTTCTAATCATCATTCATATTACTTTATTTACTGGAATAGAACGTTAGAAATCAATATAGTAAATAATCCTCTTTTGACGTTATTATCCAGATTTCTTCAATAGTCTGTAGATATTTAAATATCGGTGATAAATGAAATTTACTGTATAAACATGAGTGTAATCTTAGTAATAAGATGATAAATATCTATGACATTCATTAATATATAAGCATTATTAGGTTATTATAATTAATTCTTTGAAGAACTACTACAACCATCATGAAGAAGGTACAAGAATTTATAAATACTCAACATTTATTGACCGGATACCGTCATCAAGAGCCTACTGTGAGAGAGGACAAACCAGCTTCCAGCTGAAGAGGAAATTAGGAAAAGACGATGGAAATGGATAGAACATACATTACGCAAACCATCAAACTGTATTACAAGTCAAGTCGTAACTTAGAATCCTGAATGGAAACGGAAAACAGGAATGTCAAAGAACACATTACGTCGGGAAATAAAAGCAGATATGAAAAGGATGAATAACAAATGGAAAGTGCTGGAAAGGATTGCCCAGGACAGGGTTGAATGGACAGTCCTGATGGGCGAACTATGCTTCTCCACGAGGAGTAACAAGAGTAAATAATTAAGTAAATAACAATTCTGTATCTTTATTTAGGCCGAATTCATAAACATTACTGACAAACTAATCTCAAATTCTAGTTACTTTTCATCTAATCTCATACAAATTCTTTTGTTTTATAATTTGAGTAACTGTTTAATGAGTTAATTCATATTCTAAATTGTGTTGGACTTTCTTTTCTTTTCCGCATTTGTATTTCAAAAAATAATCACTACCTCAGTCTGCATTTAAACAATTCGATACAGATAAAAGTGGTTCGATGAATTCAATTGAATTAAGAAATGCATTGAAACATGTTGGTATGTTGACTATTTCTTTCAATATAGTATTATGGAGATTATTATGTTTTGGATTAAGATCATAAACCGATTGATTGTAGAAGATCAATAAAAACCTGGAAAGATAGGACGGCCGTTTCGTTCTATTGCGGGACTCCTCAGCAATGAAAGATGCTTGCGCAATTTCTTAGGTTTGTTGAGGTTAGACATTCACACATTTGGATTCCGGCTCAGTGGTCTAGAGGTTAAACGTTGCTACACCGAAGGTTCTGTGTTCGAATCCCGCGACCGAGATCATGGGTCAGCACTACTCAGGAGTTCCACAATAGGATGGAACAACCGTTCAGTGCTTCCAGGTTTTCTATGGTGGTCTAACAATAATCGGTTCATGATTTTCATCAAAGAATTTTTTATTGATGAGATGAATTTAATTACTTATGTACATATTATAAGAAACATTTTGAGATATTTATTTATTTAGCCCTAGGTTAATAACTTTCCTTACTTGTCTCCATTTAAATCTGGTTAGTCCATGATATATCGTTAAGCCGATGGTGAATGTGGAAACTGTTTTCACAACACAGAGTCATTATCAAAATATAATCCAACATTAGTGTTAGTAATTAACATTAAGAATTAGGTTTATGGTTTTTATCACAAACTAACCTTGGCTATAATGTTGACTAAACGGCTTAAGATCTGATAGTCATTCAGTAATATACTTTGGCTTAACCATCAAATCTCACATATTCATGATGCAGGATTCGTAATTTAGTGTAACCAATCTAAAAATAAGAATTAAACTATTTAAAAGCGTACACTAAACTACTTATTTACAATACTGACTTCGATACAATGAATGAAACGGATACTATCCTCTTCTTCTTTACCTACTAACTAGAGTGAAGTGTTCAATTTTATATAGAAGCTTTTCTTGGAATAGATCCGAGAAGAATTCAGTTACATTTCAGTTAATTTAAATTAAATATCAATGAATTATTACTGGACATGAAATCTTACTTACTGACTTGTTATTGTCAAAGGAGCATAAGCCGCTGACTAGCATTCTTCAACCCACTCTATCATAGACCTTTCTTTCTGAAATCACTGTGAATCAAATCAATACAATAAAAATCCATTAAGAATCAAATAACCAACTACATACTGAATGAATAGACCTGAAAATTCACCAAGAGTTAATCAATAGAATTCACTCTGAACTAAACGATACAATGAAAAATGCATTGAAAGTTAATTGAACAAAAATTACTTTGAAATGATGTATCAGTTTTAACATTCATCTTATAAGGTATATGTTAAAGGTTGTAGAGAGAAAATCTTGAACATAAGTTTCTGATTATTTATTTATTTATTTCAACACATAGATATTGGTACAAAGAAGCACCAAATACATATGCGCCACACAAATCTCATTCGATATGTATGAGGGCTGTGATACTGCTCGAGTGCCCAGACCGAAGCAGGTAGTTTTCTTAGGGGGCCACAACCCGAGCCTTCGACCTGAAGGTCTGATCCACAAGGCAGTGGAGCATCGTAAGGAGATTCAGTCCCATGGTAGCCAGTGACCAACTATTAGTTCATACGCCATTTGTTCCTTCAGGATACTAGAGCCAGCCCATGTGCACCATTGGTTTGGAATCCGGTTAAAGCGCCGGACATTCGCTTTTCGTCCTCTCATTTTCGTGCAGAACACCCCTGCCACGAGAAGGCAGTGAGTAGGACTTCCCTGGCAGAGGCTATATACGCGAGGCCGTGTGAGAGCATTTCTAGAGGGAGAGCGGACTCTCTCCACTCTCGGCCGTACCAGGGCATTTGGGGGCAAAGCCGTATTCTGAAAGGACCTATTTTACAACCTTTTTGGTCATGTAGTTAGTCAACACCAAACATTGCATCATCTTTCTATCATAATTTTAGGCAGTTTTAAATCATATATAAACGGTTGAATCTTAGAGAGAGAAAAGAAAATTGATTCTTCTCAGTCAAAGATCAAGTATTTTTATTTGATATGAACCGAGTTCAGATTTAGAACTCCAAGTCCAAAGAAATCGATCGTCTACCTTCACTATGTACTATACTATACTATGTTGAGTTTCGTAAATATAACTGATACAATACTCAATAGCCAAGTAAATCATGATGGCTTGGTTCAGCTAGTTTAATACTGATAAGCATTGTTGAGTTGGAAGAAAATGACTATTGGATTAACGTATCTTATTCTTAATGATTATATAATGAATGCTTCATTCTATGATAACATGAAATTCAATAGTAAGTAGACTGTTGAGTTCACTTAGAGCAGTGATTTCTATACCCAGTAAAATCAAAATGTCTAAATCATCACTCTTCTTTACCAATATATATGAGTGAAATTTGACAAGATGTTTTGAGGAACTTCGACAGTTTAACTCTGTCAAAAGATCAAGGAATTATGATTAAGAATTAGAAATTAGGAATTACGGTTAGGGTCTCTATCGTTAATAAATTTCCCAACGAAATTCAAGTTTCCCTCTCTCTCTCTTTCAAATCTGATTGGTTTATCTGTAAACTGTAGTCTTGACAATAAATTCATATCAGTATAGGGTTGTGGAGATTATTAAGTTTTTGATTGAGATCACGAACCAATTGATTTTAGATTACCATTGAAAACCTAGAAGCATTGGGCATCTGTTTCTTCCTATTTTGGGACTCCTCAGAAGTGCGCATCCATGATCTCGCTCGTGGAGTCATACTCAGGATCTTCGGTCTCACTGAGACAGCCAGCATCCAACAATGTTAATTTCTAACCTTAATCAATCCACGAAATCGTGCGACCACTTTCGACTGTACTGAGGTAGATACGCGTTTCTAGCCGACATAGGTTAACTCCACAGGCCACGGCATCTCACTAGAACTCCAAGAATTCCCTCACGAAGTTAGTCACTAGTGAGAACACGGTAATTATCAGGATGGGATTGTGGAGATTATTAGGTTGTTGATTGAGATCTTGAATCGATTGATGTTAGATCATTATTGAAAACCCTGAAGCACTGAACGGCTGTTTCACTTTATTGTGAAACTTCTCAACAGTGCTCATCCATGATCTCTCTATTGTGGGATAATAATGATTTAATTTTTCTTTTTAGGTTTTTCAATTAATAATGCAACATTTTCTACATTGGTTTTACGTTTTTCACGTCGTGATGGTAGTGTACCATTTGATAGTTATGTTATTTGTTGTGCACGTTTACATACATTATTTGAAGTATTTAAAGTGACACCGAAAAATGATAAATCACAAGCTTTATTCACTGAAACTGATGTAAGTCATCTTGTTTTCCATAAAAATGGTTCATTTATGTTGAATATAACATTAAAGTTGTAGTTATCAATGAAGAACTTTAAATTAGACATTAAGTTTTATAGGATTATGTCATAGTTAAATAAATCTATTTTGGACAATGAATGTAGTAGAATGAGATGTAGTCATTTATGACATGTTTGTTATAATTGTCTCTTATTACAAGTCAGCTATTTCTATAGAAGTAGTAGTTTTGAATAATAATTCAGTTGACAGATTAGTCAGTCAGTCAGTAACAACGTAGAGTTTCGTACGTATGTACATCAGTTCGAGTTGCCATACCATATTAGCACACAGGTACAATTCTCGATTCAAATCCTATAGTAGTAGGGGTAGTAAGAGTATAAACAGTAATCAGAAACATTAGGATTTGAACACGTTATTCAAAGAGTATAATTCAGTGAAATGAATTGGGAAAGAGAAAAAAAGAAAGGGACATGAAGAAGTCAGAAGATTAGAATTTGGGAGAACATAAAGAGCGGATGCACCTGTAACATTGCAAACGATTTTGACCCATGTGTTATTCAAGGTCTCTAACCATCGGTTGCTATCGTTTCGTGGATCCTACACCTACCAACATGAATCAGTCCACTTGTCAATGACTTCGTGGATTCGTGCCACGTTTCGTTTGGTCGCCCCTAGCTTTCTTGCAACCTACTCCTACACCATAAAACATCACACGTCGGGCAGTCGGTGGTTGGGCATACGTAATACATGTTGCAATCATCTGACTTGATGAAGCTTCACTATTTCATCAAATGATTAGCCATCCTTACCTAGCACCCGTTTCCTAACAACTGTATTACTTACCCGCTGGTCCCATGATATACGAGCAATGCTACGAAGATACCTGTGATCGAGTAGTAGTAAACTACGAATATCCTCTAATCTTACCGACCATGTTTCACAGCCATAAAGTAGGATAGTACGAACTGCTACGCATTAAACACGTTCTTTTGTTGGTAGACAGATATCTCGCCTACGCCATAAATGACACAAGTTGGCAAAAGCTAGTCGAGCGTTCTGTATCCATACTGAGATTTCGTCACACACCAGACCACAGGGGCTAATGAGACAGATCCTTAAATCAGAACACGGTTGAATAGAAAGGAAATTATATTTCAAATCATAAGGATAGATGGAAGTAAGAGGCACAATAGGAGAAACATTAGTCTATTTATAATTTTTATATGAGAAAATTCTAGACTGTTCTCCAAGTATGGACTAGTGCTGATTGGATAAGAATTAATCACTCAGCATGCATCAACGTAACCGTGCATGGAACATGCTTTAATGCAATCTATGTCCCAATAACAACGTGGTTTTTTCTCAACTTCTAATATGAAACTACTCTCTGGCTATTTTTATCTGCGCGATTCAGTGTTTCACTAATCATCTTCACTTGTAAAATTTATGTTAAAAAGGTCTGCTTTATAGATAGCTGTGAACTAAAGACGTCATCACGCTTATTAAATCTTAAGACAAAAACTGATTTGTAAATAGGAATCCATTTTAGGAACTTTAAAGTTTATAAACTCTAAAGGTTACAGGTCCAGGAGTCATTCAAGTTATCAGTCAGAGGTGAAAATCTTTCCTGAAATATTAGAGAGGACCATGAATATAATGTGTACTGTAAATGAACAAATATTATGAAGCTATTTGTAACAAGAGTATCAGGAAAGAAACGAAAATAAGTTGAGCTCTATCTATTGACAACAGGTAGGTTTTAGAAGGGTGCGAATCACAATGAATTGTGTAAATATATTCAGTTTTAATTAAAAGATTCAGTTTAGCGAAAACAATATTAAGGGGAGAGTCTGCTTCGGCCGGTAGATCATGTTAGATTACCTGAATTGACGAAAGAATTCAAAGGTAGAACTGAATCACGCAAAACGATTAACTAATAATAGATAAAGAATTTAAAAGACATGTAGTTTTGAAATTTTTAGTGTATCATTACTACATATTTAGTTTATGGAGAACGTTGAGATGATGGAGAAGAATTGTAGTTCAGATAGATGACTTTCAGGGAGTTTTATTCTCTGAGTTGAATAGTTTAATCATGCAGCTTTCATCTTTATTCTGAACGATATTATCAGCACAAACCTCAAGTAGAAGTGAAATGTTCGAATATCACTGTATGTGGTTCACAGCTTGTCTAGAAAACCTCGATGTTAATTGGTTTTTATTAACCTTAAACCTGTCATTGTTCACTTCTTTATTTTGATTGTACAACCGAAACGATGATATCGTTCAGAAGAACGATGAAAGCTATATAACCAAACCATCCAGTTCAGAGAACAAAACTCCATCAAAATGTAGAATGTTGAATTATATAATCCACATCATGGATTGATCTTAGTTCGATTCTCAGCAAAATCTCATTATAGTGAAACAAATGTACAATCATTGTTCAATGAGACTATAATTTATGGACGATCTTTGAATGACCCTAAAGTGAGCTTGAGAGTATCTACCTGATAACCAGGACCAAAAGTGGGATATAAACCTATGTGTGAGGAATTAGAATTATGATGTACAGGTGATAGTAATGATTTTCATCACGAACTGACATCAGCTAAAATGCCGAGACTCCATTTAGCCAAATAGATTAGTGTATGTCACTTTCACAACCAATGACCTGTTATCTTCTACCTGATTGGCTCGTTCATAAATTACAGTCTCATGACCTTTGAACGACCCATGATTGACTTTGAAAAATGTCAACCAATGAGAAAACAGTATAGAGTAAAACTTCATATGGTTGGCCCGTTCAGAAATTATAGTCTCGTGGCCCTTGAACGAATCTTGACTGACCTTGAAAAATGTCAACCAATGAGAAAACGGTATACAGTTAAAACGTATCTGATTGGTTCGTCCATAAATTATAGTCACACTGATTGTTCAATTAAGATTATTCCATTATATTAATGAATCATATCTACTTTAGATATTATTATTAACTTTTTGAGTTACTAGTTTTTTTTTATTTTTTATTTTTTGTTTATTTTCAAAACAAAACAAAATATATAGTTTGTGAATTGTGCACTTTATATGTAAACGATCAATAAAGATAGATTCAATAATATCTTGGAAGTTCATATATTATCCTTCTTATTATTATTATTCCTTCATATCACTTTGTTTGTTTATTCAATTTCCCACCTTGAATATTAATTAAACAAAGATTATTTCATTGAAAATCTTTGAAGTAAACTGATCATTTATATCGTTACAATCCATCTATCCATCTATATATACAGATAATATGTCTAGTTGATATTTATGCTTTGAATTTGCATTATTGTCTTTCTTCTTATATAACTATTTAGCTTTATCTTGACAATTGAATATTCAATTTGTTGTACTGTCTTTCTCTATATTATTATTACTATTATCATTATTGTGATGATGATGATGATGCATGGACACTACGAAACTATATTCTATTCTAAATTGTGATTTCGTATTAAGATTGTAACTTTGAATGTCAATCATTGAGAAACTTAATAAGAATAATCATAAAGTATCCGAAAAGCATTTTAAATTTTTTATCATATCCAATGTGTTTATCACTTCATAGTAGTGAATAGTTGAAGATGATAGTGTAGTGTGGCATCGAGTCGTAATTGACCATGATCAGCACTACAGGAAGTTTGCGTACAAAATATTAGAAGGCAATTGAAGGTTGTAGAGATATATATTTGTTGGTGATCTCAAGGTATCGAAAGAATACCGAGATCGTATCAAAGGAGTACAAGCGGATTTTACTGAGCAAACGTAAGTTCGTGCAAGGTCATAACCAACGGAAGGAAGAATGGAGGAATAATGGATGTCTTTAGTACAGTTAAACAAACAAGTACATTAAAACAATTACTGGTACAATTGGTTATAATAATGATTGTTTCCATTAAACCGATCGTGTTCTCTGATAAAAGTAGGTCACTACAATATAATAAACATTTATGCAAAATGATGCATACACCTCTATTAGGTTGAATGATATGAGTTGTATGCTGAGAGAGGTGAATTCTTACAAAAGATTGTCCATATTCAATGATCTAAACATGATTGATTCATATCTTAACAGGGTAATTAGTATCAAGATTATGTGATCCATTTTAGATTATCATTCCATGTTAACGCCATACATATTGGGTAGAATGAATTGGAAATAGTAGAAATGAATCAAACACCTGAATGCACGAGCAAACGTACATTTCCAAAATTTCAGTAGCCTTCAGAAGGTACTCATAAGATTTATGGTGAACAATGAATAAACTCTTTCTCTCCTGGAAAACGAGAAAAATCCATCTTTCAACGAAATAATCAAGGAATTTAAATCATAGCTTTATTGTATTGAAGATTCATTCTAAGATTATTTTAACAGTTTACATTTGATAGACAGTTTCTTTCGTGAAGAATAACAAAACAATGAGTTTCATGTTCTGTCATGAAGTATTATTATATTTATTTGAACACATAAAGGGGAACCGAATCCATATGTATCACCCAAGTCAATTGATTTGTGTGTGGATTGTGATACTGTCATATCTTTTGACAACCGATTAATGTGCAGTGACTTATCGATCGGATCAATGACGCATAAACCCGTATGACCAGCTTAGAGTTCTGATTGATCCTGCTTTCCGCCTAGCCTAGCCAGTTAAGTCCAGAACACAAGTCTCAGCCTCTGCGATATGAATCATTTATTTTAAACATACTCTGTTTATATACCGATCAAGCAGACCACATCGTACCATAAAATAGAAAATAACATTTGTAAAAGATTTAGTTAACAGGAAAATGACACGTGAAATAAATATTGACCAATAGGAAAATGATACCATTTCAAGTTTAATGATAGCATTAGTCTTAACAGGATAACTCTTGAGATATTCTTCTGAATATCCCAGCAGATGCTACCCAGGTGCCTATGGCAGCCGTTAACTAACAATGGGTCAATACGCCATTCGTTCCCTGGGGATCCTGGAGCCCGTGTGTACTGATAATTTAAAAACAAGGTTTCCGGGTTCCCCTAGGTGGATCCTTCATGTCCAACAACCCGGTTTCCATGTTGGACAATCGCTTTTCATCCTCTCAATTTCGCTAGCAACAGTAATGTCACCAGAAGGCAATGAATAGAACTTGTGTGGCAGAGGCTGTATACGCGAGAGAATTCGGAGATGGAGAACCGGTTCTCCCCACTCTCGGCAGTACCAGAGCATTTGTAGGCATGTCCTGTCAAACAAACAAAACATGAGCCAATCAACTAAAAATATGTGCGTCAGTAGGTTTACCTTACGAACTTTTGAACATTTAATAAGCTGTTCAATATAACACATATATTAATGAAATATTAAAGATCACCATTTTATGCTTAGGTTAAGCTTAATGAAATTTCAATTGGGGAGACTAATTTATGGACGACTTTCGAACGAATCTTAAGTAACCTTGAGAAACATTAGCCAATCAGCAAACAGTCAGTATATAGTATAAATATGTTATACAAAACCAAGGAAATAAAGTGTAAAACTTCTTATACGTGGTTCAAAAACTCATCAACGTGAGAAAGAGGTTCCGAGGCTGTAAAATCGTAAATCCTGAAGTAGAGGAAATTATCCATACGGCTAAAGAATAGTCGGCCTCTGGAGTCATGTTAAAGTCTCAAAAACTCTTTCAGCCTCAACCACATAGCTTCAACATGGTTTATATGTACTTCGGCTGTTGAGTGCACAAAATGCTACTTATGGATAATGTCACGACGTACATAACCAAGCCTACGTAGGGGTCCATACGCTCTCCAAACATCCAAATATATATTGTAGTACCTGGCTGCAACCAGTGTTACTGGTGCTTTTAATATCTAGTTCACGATAGTCGTCATAATTTGCGTTTGTTAGGAATTGTATACGCGGTTTTCATCACGAACTGACATCAACTATAATGCCAGGAGTTTATTTAAACAAAAGGATGAAAGGCTTTCGCATTAAAATCCGAGGTCTATTATCTTGTACCTGATTGATTCGTTCACAACTTATAGTCTCGCCGTTTTATTTGTTATGGCCGCTCAATTATCAAGTTTTGTACAAAATTCGTTGTGAACCCATCGTACGTTAGCATTAATCCTGAGGTTAGCGCCGTTACCTTGAAATCTTTAAAACGCTTACGATTGACTCGTCCATAAATAAGAGTCTCGCCAGTTTCTTAATAGGTACGCACATTGATTGACATTAGTAGATGAAAACGTCTGATCAGACTTCTTTCCTTAGTGGCTAAATGACGTGAACCTATCAAATCTCAAGTTCATTAGTTTCGTCAACGACTTTTCTGTTTTATTTGACAGTCAGATTTTACAAAGAATTCTCAAGATAGGATTATGCTTTACTTCCTGTTATAATGCTAAATATTCTTATACTGTCCAGTCTATTCTAATTTACTTCGAATCATGTTTCAGTCATCTATTACTTACCTTCTACATTTCTCTGTTATCTTCTAAAAAAGGCAAAAATAAGCGGTCATCCCTAAAAAATATATGAATAAGAACAATGAAATTCTTCATAACACAATCCCACCAAATTCTACAATTATAATCCAAATCAATGTTCTGGACGAGTAGTCAACTTTAAGTTAAGTACATTTTTTTGAAAATTGCCGGTAAAATAAAATAGAAATCGTTAGTGATAATGAGATATTTGTGAAATCCCAATAAACAGAAAGATGAATGTTTTATTTGCTACACATAGGGGGGAACTGGAAACTTTGTCATTGGATAGAATTTGGTCATGAACATTATCAAGGATGTCAGTACCTTTCTTAAAAATATCAGCTGGATGCTAAGAAGCAGTAAGCTCTCACGTTGGCTGAGTATGTAGTGTGGCGTCGAGTCGCACTTGACTATGATCAACACTACAAGAAGACTACGTGTCAGTTAACTGATAAGACCCCCCGTAGGCCAAATATCAGAAGGCAGTTGATAGTTGTATTCGAGATGTATTTTTTGGTGATCTCGTAGTATCGAAAGAATGCCGAGATCGTGCCAGAGGAGTACAAGTGTGGTTACTGAGCGCAAACGAATTGGTGTAAGTCCACAATCAAAAGAAGGAAGAATGTATGTTCTTAGTACAGTTAAACAAACAAGTACAGTAAAACAATCCCTGGTACAACTGGCTACAATGGTAATTGTTTCGATTACACCAATCGCGTTCTGTTGATAAAAGTAGATCACTACAAGTATAATAACCAAAAGTTTCTTTACAAGATACACAAAGACTTTCATAAACTTGAATTCATATTATTTATAAATTTAGAAAAACTGACGTGAAAGGAAGAATAGAGAAATGATACGGAAACATTGACATATTTCATATAAGACTGGATGTATCATTATTTTGTTACGTTCTTTTTATTCAAATCAACGCTCAAATCCGTCCAATCATATTTTGCCAACAAAGGTCATATAGCAGATAGAACTAAAGTATTCAATGTAATTTATCTTATACCTAGAGGTTTTCTCATTTAGACTGATTATTTCTCGTACATACAAGCAAAGGCATATGGATTCGAGTTAGCAGCTTGTCTTTGTACTCTAAAGAACTTCGTTATATTTCTGTCTGTTTCAAAAGAAGTACAAGAGCCTATGAACAAATTTTCTAGTTATTCAGATCCTCTATTAGCATTCTTAACTTACTTCTCCGAATTTCGTTTTGAATAGTTGTATGCTTAATATGATTGCTCATATAAATCTTTTATCACACTGACTTTGACTGATTGCTGTTTCTGTGCCCCGATTTTTGAAAGATTCAAACATCCCTAAGTGCTAACATGTCTGTTCATGTATACTATATCGCTTATTATTTACTACTATACATGTCACTTTACTATCAGTTCATACATTTCACTTATTATGATTAGTTGTACAGTCCTGTTTCATTGTTAACATTCTTCTGATAGATTGACCTGAATGGTTTGATATTTCCATTCATGTTTAATAACAGAGGAGAAATACTGAGCCTCTGCCATAAATCATTCATCAAGCTGAGTAGTTATTACGTTAAACGACAGCGCTGAACATTGAACAACGCAAATTACAGAACATCGTCATGCTCGAAGATGATTAATGCTGATGAAACAATTCAGTATCATGTACCGAGACATCCAGTAATGTTGTTAATTTGTACTTCTTTAATTTATTCTCTCTAGCATAGAATGTTAATTTAGTAATATTCCATTTGTCCTAGTCGAGAATTCTCCTTCCCTAGTTAACACTATAAGGTAGGCCAGGGTAAGAACTAACCACATGATGTGATTTCCATGTAAGCTAAATCATGTCATTCTCATACAACCAGATTAGAACCAATGCAAGCATTGTTGATCTATATGTCCATATAAATACTATTAGTTTTTAAATTTGGTGAGGATTTAATCGAAGACACCAATTTAATTATACATTTTTGTGGGAATTAAAAATATTGAAATCTCAGTAGTTTCTTCTAAGTCGAACTCTTCAGCAATGTGCCTCATATTTTAGCT